TTTTATATAACCTTCTCGTGAATTTGAAAAAATAATAAATTTGATGAATTGATTTAATTAAAAGACATTAATAGTAGATATAGGAATTTGCATATTTTTATAAATATTGAGCGATTTTTCTTGTCAAGACCAAGACCAAGACGAGAGTCTCGAGAAAGAGTCTTGGCCTTGGCCTTGAACGTCAAGTCTTGGTCTTGGTCTTGAGAAGATTTATTAGGTCTTGGTCTTGAGAAGATTTATTAGTTCTTGGTCTTGAGAAGATTTATTAGTTCTTGGTCTTGGTCTTGGACTTGCTATCAAGACCAAGACAAGACCAAGACTAGTCTTGTGGTCTCGCGAAGCCCTAGTTGCGGACCATTCGTTTGGAACAGCTCTCCCCAGGGAAATAAGACAAAAAAATAGGATATCTGTGGAATGAGACCAAGCAAGCTGAATTTTTGCAGAGACCTTCGTTTTGTTTTTCTAATGAAGCACAAAAAAATCTAATATGCCTTCCCTTGTGCGTCTAGAAATATCGAAGGTCAAAGGTAATAAAAATTGTTTTTTCGCGAAAATCTTGCTTCCAGTGCATCTGACGTCGAAGAACTCAAAACAAAACTTACGTGAAATAGTATTCTCTACAAAATTGTTTATCTACATTTTTTTCGTACAACCAACCGTTTTCGAGATATAGGGTGATAAAGCGGGAGCGCGCATTCAAAATAGGTACATAGGGAGCTATAGCTATAAATACATTTTACCTAATCTGTTAGTCTAAAAAATAAAACTTTCAAAAATAAAATCGTTAGAAATTTGTTTATTTATAATAATAGTTATTTATGTATCAAGGGAATTATGAGGGTGTAATACCCCAGGGCAAAGTTTGTTATTATCGCGCATTATCAATGCGCGCTCCCGCTTTATCACGCTATATCTCGAAAAGGGTTGGTCGTACGAAAAAAATATATTTCAACAATTTTATAGAAAATACTATTTCGCGTAAGTTTTGTTATAGGTTCTTCGACGTCAAATGCACTGGAAGCGCGATTTTCACGAAAAACAAATTTTCATGACCTTTGACGTTCGATATCTCAAGATGCACAAAAGTAGGCATATGAGATTTTTTTGTGCTTCATTAGAACATCAAAACGAAGGTCTCTGCAAAAATTCAGCTTGTTCGTCCTCATTCCACAGAGGAAGTCTAATTTCCCTGGAGCTGTATTTACCCTAAATAGGTCCTACATATCACTTCCAACTTCCAGTCTGCATCTGGAACCCTCTACACAAACTCTTGTTAGTTTTATAATCTGAGGTATCCCGAATTCTGCAATTGCCTACCAGATCTTAACTCTTTTCACACTATCATAGACCTGTTGGAAATCTATAAACAGTTGGGGTATATGCCTATTGAATTCCCACCTTTTTTTTAGTAGCTGTCTAATTATGAACAGTTAGTCGGTTTGTTGATCGGTTTGTCCGAAAGCCGCACTATAGTCTCCTATTATCTCCTCTGTGAATGGAGTTATTCTCGACAAAATTGTATTTGATAAAACTTTGTATGCTACGTTTATGAGCGATATTTCTCTATAATTTTTGCATATCATTCTGTCTCCTTTTTTGTGTAAGAGGTGTATTATACTTTCTTTCCAGTCTCTTGCTAATGAGTTCCTGTAGTTGGTATGTGGCTGTGTTTCCGGCATGTTTCAGGAGTTCGACGGTTATCGTGTCTTTACCCGGATGACAATTATTGTTTTTCAACTCTTCATAGCGTTCTCCATTTCCATTCGGGAGGGGTATTTTTCTGGCATTTCCGTAGTTTGGAAGCTGGCCGATTCTTCGCTGTTTGTATAAACCTGGTTAAGTAGTTGTTCAAAGTACCTACTCTTTCAATGTTTGCAGTACCTATCAGTTGTCATCCTTGATGATGTTGTTGGTTCTGGATCCAAGGCCATTCTTTCTTATCCTTATAGTGTCATAGAATTTCCTGGTCTTGTTCCCTCCATCGACTTCCAGCTCCTGCAACTCCTGATCTTGATGTTCTCTTTTTTTCCTTCTTGGTAGTTTATTAGCCTCTCTTCTTAGTTGTCTAAATTTACTGTTATTGTCTTCATTGAGATCTTGCATCATTACTAGTCTTGCATTATTTCTCTGCTCCTCATAAACTGCAACCTACTTGACTGACCACCAATTGAAAGAGCAGGAAATTAAGAGAAATGTTACACAACGTGAACGTGAACGCACACAATTGTATGAACCTAACGTGTGGGCTGGGTCTGGTTGACGAGTATTCATTTACCAAAAGATAATAAACAGAAGAGTTCTAGTCAAAGTGCAGAAATGTCATAATACACTGAAGTCCGGATATAGTGAATTCGAAAATTGATTCACTATATCCGAGGTTTAATATAAAGGGTAAAATATTGCATCATTTGTCTAATGGGAAATTTCTATGGAAATTTGGAAAAGCGTTCATTATTACTGAGTGTTCACTTTGAACGAGTTTGCTATATCCAAACTCCACTGTACCTAATTAATTTAGAGCAAAATTAAGTTGAGTAAGTATGAAGAACATCATTCATAAGACAGCTTACAATGAGAAAAGTTTGGTGGTCAATTTAAAATAAATGCTTTACTTCAGTCAAAATAAAAACTATTCAGTCAAAAATTAAAAGAAATAATAAATTAAAATAATACTTAGGTAGGTTTATTCACCTTTTTTCCTTCTTATAAACTGTCACACACACACAAACACAATCTGTAATCTCATTGGTCAGCCAGTTATCCGCCGATCAATGGAATTATAGAACGGTAAATTTTTCTTGCAGATACTTAACAGCAAGTTTATCTGAAGATGAATAAACCGGGCCTTAATGAAATAACTGAAAATTTATGGTTCCACAAAAATGAAGCTTGACTCGCTATTCATAATCTCATCATCATCATTTTGATCTTTCAATTTTCCGTCGCCATGCTCAGTATTCAGAGCTCTCTTATCAGGTTTTGCTCCTTGTGCAGCACCTATGCTAGCTCCATTACCAGCACCTATCCTAGCTCCATTACCGTTTGGTTCCACAAGATGAGGCTGTCCGATGTTACCGTTATTGCTAACATTACAACGTTCAGATTCTGGTAAAAGTTGCAACCATTGGAATAAAGTGCCCATAATTTCGTCCATTTTTTTGGAGGACCAAAGCTTTCCTTTTTAATAGTTAAAGTAGCTGTGTCTGTAATTTCTTGACTTCGGTGCTCTATTTCCTTCTGATTTCTTCGTTTTGCTGTATCCCAATGTTGACAACAAAATTTTTGTTTACTTTGTCAACACATAATAAACAATATTATTTGTTTCCCAAACTCCACATAACGAAATTTTAACTAACTTAAACTTTCTCTATTTATATTCAACTCTATTTTTTGCATGAATGGAAAATTGCTGATAGTAGCCACACAAACTGGCACTATACTCTCTGGCGCTATTTCCATTGGGAAACGTAGTTTTGCGAGACTACGTTAACTTTGTATTCATAAAACGTACGTATCGAATGTTTAAAGCAAAGTTGGCTACTCTAGGGAGTGCGGATAATATAAGGTATTATTTTTAAATTTTCGATGTTAAAACATTTTTCAATAAATTGGAATTATATTGCGTAGATCTTTCACCATCAGAGCCGAGCTTTTGCAAAAATTTGAAATGTAAAATTGAACCTAATAATCTTGTGAATATCTATATTAAATTACGATCAATTCAAATGTCTGTATGTTTGAAGTGCCATTACACCTCAATAAAAATTTTCTTCTAAAGACATTTGTGTGTTAGAAATAAATTAGTATACATCCTCTCAGGTCTTCGTTAAGAAGTGATGATCTGAGTGAGTGTACTAATTATCAATTACCAACCTTGTGAAAATTTTGGTTGAGGTGTAATACCCAAAAAAGTCCGGTAATACAGTTTGCTTGACATGGGCATGCATGAGTGTTCAATATCGACAAAATTGAAATTTACCGGCCATTAGCGAGGCAATATTTCATCAATTCTGTCAGGAACGGTGCACCGTTGGCCATTTTTGAATAAAATCGAAAAATATTTATTTGATTAAAAGAAAAATATATGCGCATCCATAAATCACACAAAATGCATATAAGCATTTTAAAAGTTTACAATCAAATATTTATTTGCATTGCTAGTTACAACTTATATCATACATGAAAGTGAAATAAAATATTTAATATGAACAACTTTATTTGTAATTACAACCAAAAGTCCATTTTTAAGTTGCTATTGGCTTGCCAACACCTCAAGGGGCCGATATTTCTTCAAAATTGCAGACTTAACATAATAACAAAAAAAAAACAAAGTGCTACAATTTCTCAGCGTTGCCTTTATCGGAGAGCTAATTGAAATTAAAACTATACCCTTATTGCCTTAGGGAGGTAATTTAGACGGAGTTTTGCTATTAAGATTTTGCTTGTTATGCATGGATAGTAATAATTAGATTGTCTGTATAGGACAGGAAATTATCAATATGTTAATTGAATATTAATATGACGATGAAAAAGAGAAATCCAGTGTAGGTACTCAAACATTCAAGTAACTGAGAGTAAAAAAAGGTCATAATATGTGACAGGCTACAGTATAAAATCTAAAATATAATCCAGTTTCCAAAAATACTCAGAATAATAGATAGGGATTTTTGACCAGAAGCCAAATTGCTAATTTTATGAAGCCAAAGGAAAAAGCTTTTGCAAGTAATTGTCTCAGTTCCCATAATGCGTTTGAATAAAATATAAAATTCGTTATTGGAAAATGCAAATAAAATTGCCCCTCACCACAACTTTATATACTAAATTGGGTGATAAGCATGTGCATATCACATGATTTAAATTTGAATTATCTGTTAATGTTGAAATTACGAGTTACCAAAGAAAATATATGATAATTTGTTGGAATTAACCTCCAGAAATCTACCCATAAATATAATTTGAAAGAAATGCATTTCAAATGAAGGAAATAGGTATTTGTTATTCAAATTAGAAAATTTTAAGCAATTGTTGTAAATGACACCATATTATTTTCAACATATAAAGTGCGCTTTGAAAAATTTAAAATTGATCTTGGTATGCGATGTGCATGCACTGTGTGGAAACTAAGTAAGTCTCAACTTTATTTAAATTTTTTTATTTCATACCGTACATTTTTCTCAATTTATTTAATTTTTTTATGGAAATTGCTCTATATTTTCAATCCCGAATCCTGACTAGAAACACAGTTTACTAGAAAGAAAATCCAGTCTCATTGACATAGCGTACTTCCAATATTGGCAAAGATATCAGAAAAGCTACCATAAGCAAACAAGAATAGAGCTAACACCGAACAAACTCAGGGTATTTACAACATTCATCAATCTTGACATAAGAAAATTTTTTAATAGGTAGTATCTGGCACAAAATCAGTAAAATCCTTTGTCAATTCCTATTTACAAGAACGACATTACTGTATGTGTATCTGACATGAAATATCAGTTACAAAAAATCGCTGTTACACTGACAAAATATCATTAACTTTTAAACATCTTGATTTTCGACTACCTCGAAAAAACACGCCGTATTTTCTTGGATTAGGGGGCGAAGGTCAAAATTATCAGTAGACAACAAATTTCCTTAACCTGAAAACGGTCATCCTCAAAGACCTAAAATTGGTTGTGGAGCAAGTGTATCCAGCTATGGGATTGTCAATCATGACAAGGAAGAGCCATCTACGTCTTAGAAATTCTGAATTTTTCGTCATTCAATTCAATCAAAAACGAATGAGATAAATCAATTCATATTGGTAAAATTTCTCCGCTTTTACACTTCTACATCTGAGTACACATGCACATTATGCAAAATACTTTCTCCTCAGCGTCGCGGTTGGACCCTTAAAAATCACTTAACCAGAACGAGGCTTTAGTTTGGCGGCGCGGTTCGCAAAACGGGTTTATCGGGTGCAAAATTGCATATTTTATATTTACAACCGACGATTTTCGGGCCTGTATTTAGTGAGATAATTACCGAGTAAATGGTATTAGTGCCCGAAAGATGCTATTATTTATTGCAATTTTAAAAGGGTGAGATTACATGCCGACGCAAATTTGCGACACGTCGATATCTACATTTTTCAATAATTTATTTCATTATTCAATGCAAGAAGTATATTATCAATTTCTTTGCATGCAGTGGTAACAATTTATGTGCCAAATTTGAAATATCACTGGTTGCAAAATAAAAAAGAACAGACATAAAATGTAAAAAAACACATACTTATGGTTCGGTAATATCTACAGATAAGTTGAAAAGTTGACTTATGGAGACTTCTTGTGTCGTTCATAAAATAACATAACAAAAATCACAGAACCCGAAAAAAAATATGTCTTCTCATGGTATTTTCTGTATACTTAAACATCACAAAATTATTTTTTTTCTTTTTTTAAACATAAAAAAAAATCAATTCTCAAATTAGGGAATAATTCTCTAATCATCTTTGTTTGGTATGGCTCATTCCTGACATTTTCAACAATTTCCATTGCTTGAATTTTTCTGAGCTTATAAATGTTTCATTTCAACTCTCAATAAGTTCGAATGCAATGCTTCAAAAATAAAACAACCCAGCAATCGGACAACTAACTAAAACAATGTCCATGTCAGGTCACTTGAGTGTCCGGTTAAAGGAATTCGTTTTATACGTAGATGAATGAATAGGCAATGGTTTGGTTTGGGTCGTCCACGTCCAATTTTAATAGCGGTGTCCCGGTGTCCGTGAGGAAAAGTTTTCACTGTAAATGTCAGCGTGTCCCAATTTAAATCTTCAACATTGAGATAAATTAAGTTGTGAAAGTAGGAAAGTTTTAGAGAATTTCATGCAGATTCTGAATCTGCTTTTTTTAACCATTAGAAATTAATAGTTTAATTTCTAATGGTTTTTAATGTTATGTAATTTGTACTAATAATTACCTTACTAGTAGATTATAAGATTACTAACTGCAGTCGTAATCTTGTAGATGTTTGGGAGGTACTCTTTTTCTTATGATTCTAGGCCGAGTTCTCATTTCAACATTAGAGGTCGGTTCTGATGGTCTGAAACCAGTATCTGATAGCGCTTCATTTACGTCCATGTTTTGATACAAAGCATTTTGGATATCATCATACGAGTCATGATTTGGTGGGTAGACAACTGAATCGTAACTTTGTCTCCGTGATATTGGTTCTGAACCATTGTGAAATGGGTTATATATTGAATCATCAGTATCTGTGTCTGTGAATGTTCAGACGATCCTGATTTCTACATTCAACTGGATTTGCATTCAATTTTATGTAATTAACAAAATTTCTTCCAAACACCGGAATGAAATTGCGGTCCATTGTCTGAAGTTATCTTAGAAGGATAGCCTAGTCTAGTACATACTTCGTTATCAAGAAACTTTAAAATTTCTTCAGCAATCGCTGAAGATACAGCTTTGTCTTCTAACCCTCGCGTAAATAAATCCTCAACTATAATAATAAAACGATTGTGATTTAAAGTTTCATCATGAGGTCCCAAAATATCAATACTAAATATGTCTGTGGGATTATTTGGAATATGAGCCTTTCCTAAGTACTGGTTTTTGGCGATATAAAATCAGGTAAACAATTTGGAACTCCTGAACAATGCTGAATATCAAAATTAAACTACGCCAGAAGAAGAGACCATCGCGTTAATTTCGCTTTAGTGTCAGCATTACGATTTAATCATAATAATAATGACCTATTATCAGTTATGAGTGGGAATTTTCTATCTTCAAGATATGATCTATATTTTTAAATCGCCCACACTACGGCTAAACACACACATTGGTGCTGTTTTTTGAATATGTCTACCTTGTACAATACGACATATTAAACAATTTTTTACATACCTATTTTGATACATCCCTTCCTAATTCTGGCCACCAATAGTATGTAGAAATTTTATTATAAGTTTCGTCTCGACCAGGGATGACCTGCAAATTTTGAATCGTGACAAAAGTATAAGACGCGATCTATAACGTTATCAGCCAAGATTATCATCCACTAAATAAGCATTGGAAAATTTTTGCTCTATATGAGTTCTTGGTCATCGTTCTAGAATTAGTTTCCAACGAGTAGCTTCGTCTTTTAGACGCATGTTGTTAAGCTGGAAAGATGATTCTTCTTGAAACAACGCAGCATCATTTGCAGGTGCTACATAATTTATATAGGAATTTTTTTTATTCAATATGGATTTAGTATCTTGACAATTAACGAGACGATTATCTACTGAGCTTTCAATCAAGTCACAATCGGTAATTTCTGGAGGAAATGAACGCGATAAGTCATTTACTTCTTCTGTGGTTTCCTCAGTACTGGTTTTCCGTGATATAAAATCAGGCAAACAACTTGAAACTCATGAATAATGCTGAATATCAAAATTAAACTCCGCCAGAGGAAGAGGACCATCGCGTTAATTTCGCTTTAGCGTCAGCATCACGATTTAATCATAATAATGACCTATTATCAGTTATACGTGTGAATGTTCTATCATCAAGATATGATCTATATTTTTTAATCGCCCACACTACGGCTAACCACTCTTTCTCATTTATATGATACTTATGTTCTGCTTTATTTAGACGAGCCCTTGAGTATGATATAATGGGCTCTTTCACTAATTTTTGAAATTGGCATATTTGGATAAAGCAACTAAAAACAGAATTTTCTGTATTTTTACTTTTGAAAAATTCATAGTCCTTCTTGAGAAAACAGAAAAAAAAGAAATACCTCCAAATAAAAACCCAGAATTTATTTCTATGACGTCGCAGCTCGCTATTTGACCGTGTTGCCACTAATTGTCAACATTGAAAATTTGTAATAGATTTAATTCTGAAATGTTCGCAAAATTTCATGAAAAGTAGTTAAATTAATTAGTTATGGATTCAAGATTTTATAACATTTTTATTGAAATTATGCTTAAACACAATTTAATATAATTTTCTATGTTTAGTTTTATTTATTTATTTTATGTTGCACTACATTTAGTCACCACCGACAACAGCGCATTCGAACCTTTACCTGCATTTACTACAGGATAAATACAGCAGAGGCGGACAGCTGTTTGCAACAACAAGCGAAATGAAAAATATTTATGCGACGTCAGCAAATCGGCGCGTTTTTAAATAATTCAAATTTTGGTAGTTTAAAAGGCCTGTAAAAAACTTATTTAACCTTGTAGAACATTTTTTTTTGGTATATGTGCCTAAAATAGTCCCTCCTTTGGGATTTTATACCTAAATTACGTATTTAAATTTTAGTGAAAGAGCCCATTTGTTTCCATTTATTCCAAATTGATACTTATTGAGTACTGCTTCCATTTCGACCTCACTACTACGCTACTACCTATTTGTAAAACAAACGGTAGTGAAAAATCTTGTCTATGTAATTTAAGTGAATTTAGGAAAACAGTTTTTTTTTTCTCGAACGCACATCTTTGACGGTCATCTCATTTCCATTTACTGTTTTTACAAAAAAGATCAGTTAGGGGAGCAGTAATTAATCTCTGCCAATTTAGGAACATGTTCTCTAAGCCAATTTACTGTACCTAAAAATGATTGAAGTTCTTTTTTATTTCGAGGAACAGGATACCTATTTGTTCATTTCTTGTAAATGATATGTTTGAGGCATATTTAAACTACCATTTATTGTATGTCCTAGAAAGTCCAGTTGATTTGCAGCAAATTTTCATTTTTTTTATTGAACATCGAAGTTTGTGGATACTTAGTTTTTCTAGCACTAACCTTAAATGCTTTTTATGATCTTCGTGATTTTTGGAATAAATAATTATGTCATCAAGATAAACCAAGATGAATTTATGTAGAAAGCCTGTCAGAACTTCCTGTGACATAAGCTTTTGGAAACTGCTAGGGGCATTTTTAAGTCCAAAGGGCATTACTGTAAATTGATAATGGCCTTCATCTGATGATGACCCATGTTCATAAAAACTTTTTTTCGTATTTTGATAAGTTTTATCCGCCCTTAAAGTTTGTAACACCATTTCTGAAACACCCTGTATATTTCGCTCAATTTTTTTTTTTCACTTTTTCATATTTTTTACATTCTTCTCTTAATTCTAAATATGTACTTTTTCGCAATATGTCACAACTAACGACTATGTATTCAACGATTTTCAAATTATATTGACATTATTTGAAAATTGAGTTCGATGAATCCATATAATAATTGGTTCGGATATTGAGTGGCTCGTATAAAATTTTATAGCAACGTAAAATAGCAGCATACTTTCAACTTTAGAGCCGTGCATTTTAGTGCAGCTGAGCTGCTATTAGCGAAACATGCATTTACATTTACAATTCCGATCATAGATTGGGTAATAATTCTTCCAAGATAATTTTCCTAAAACATCTGGCGACTCTGAAGTCATAAACCTAACCTAAATCCCTAAATTGGACGAAAAATTTGAGTAATCAAGCAGTCCTAAAGTCTTTGAATTTCTGATTCTCTAGAAACGTCCAACGAGACCAGCAACGGACAAGATCAAAGCGACGCTTTAGCGTGCTTTTGTTGTGTAAGCAACCTCGGCAGTCATTTTCTTATGTCTCAAATTCAGTCGTACTTGACTTTTTAATTGCAAATTAATTTGGTCGTGGTCTAGCCCACGGAAGAAAGTGTTATTACTGGAAAATATATTTTCAAAGATTCTATTAAAAATACGACCGACGAGAAATTTTTTTTTTTGGAAAAACAGAAGACTCATGATCTTTGTGAAGCAACCCGGAAACGGTTAATGCGAGATCTTTGCCGGAGAGTTTTGTTTAGGTTGAAATTTTCGATGCTTTATTGAAATTTCCGGAAACTGTGCAAATAATCGAGGATTACCAAAAACTGACGAGTTCTGCGATCCGCGCAATATTTAATAATTTGATCGCCTCGGTCGCTCAACATCAAACATTCTCCAGACAACACGTGTCTGTGTCCAGTGTGAATTTCCCGGAAGCTGTCGGTAGTGGAGGATTTAATTTATTTTTGGACTGTATTAAAACACTTTAGTTTACCAAACTTTCTATTAGATAAACAAAGAAATTCTATTGTTACATACAATATTGGGATGAATCGTAGTGAATCGTCTCGTTTTTCTAATTTTATTAATTATTAGATATTAAAACAAAATGGCAGTAACTAAACAGAAAAAATCCCTTGTTTTTCAGCGCCGAAACGTGTCAATAATATGATTTTTATCTACCTTTAATTTAACTGGAGCAAATTATTTTATGTCACCGTTGCAAGGTTCACCTATTATCTATTACCTTATACTACCTTATACCTACCTACTAAACGGTGAAAAGAATTAAATAAATTATTTTTTATTGTGTATCTCCAACAAATTCGACCCTTTCATTTTATAAAAGTAGTGGAAACCATACAATAATCAGACATTGTTTCGCCCAAAATTCTCGCTCACTAAATTTACCATTTTTTTTTTCCTCACTACGATTCTAGCATGAGTCTCAAACCGGAATTGAAAACCAAAAAGGGATACAATTAAGTTTTCTATATCTCAATTCTCATAAATCTCAGACTAACATGTTTTTTTTTTTTTTTGTTCCAGATAACGTTAATGTGTGATTCAAGACACCATCAACATGGACAACGGAAATATGTCGTCGGCGAATGCCACCAATTTCGAAAACATTCCCCCATTTTATCTTGTTCAAATCATTCAAACCATCCTGTTCTCACTGGTATGTCTGGTAGGGATAGCCGGAAATACCTTGGTCATCTACGTAGTAGTGCGCTATTCCAAAATGCAAACAGTCACTAATATGTACATAGTGAACTTGGCTATCGCAGACGAATTCTTTTTGATAGGAATTCCAGTTCTAATAGCCACGATTCTACATGGTCATTGGGTGTTTGGCCACTATGCTTGCAAAGCTTATATGATTACTACCAGTATAAATCAGTTTACTAGCTCGATTTTGCTATGCATTATGAGCGCTGATAGATACATAGCTGTATGCCATCCAATATCTTCACCAAGATGGCGGACACCGTTCATATCCAAAATAGTATCATGTTTCGCTTGGTGCTGCAGCATTCTTCTTATCGTCCCTATCATAGAACACGCACGGGAAATTGTCGGAGAGAACAACATGACATCTTGCGTGATTATTTGGGGTGCAATGGAAGACGAAAACTTTACTTTTTCCCTACCTACAGAACCGACCATTTTCTTTCCAAACCACACTGCAAATCTCGCTGCAAGTGCCAATATAACTGATGAATTCGATTCTTCACCGGCATTCATTTTCACCATTTATACTTTCGTATTCAGTTTTGCCATACCCTTAACGCTCATCTTGTTTTTCTATTCGCAAGTGTTGAGGAAGCTCAAGACAGTTGGACCGAAGAATAAGTCCAGAGAGAAGAAGAGGTCTCACAGGAAAGTAACCAATTTGGTATCGAGCGTGGTTTTGGTTTACATTATTTGTTGGGCACCTTATTGGGTTACACAGCTGGCGATCAGTAACTCCAATCATAATGACACGTAAGTAAAGTTTTTAAAAATTTATTTCCCTCCTCGCGACTTGTGTTGTTTTTTTTTCAGTTTGGATATAACGCTACATCTACTGGCATCCTGCCTTAGCTACTCGAACTCTGCAGTGAATCCAATACTCTACGCCTTTTTGAGCGACAACTTTAAGAAGAGCTTCTGGAAGGCTTGCACGTGCGCAGGAAATAAGGACGTCAATGCCACGTTGCATTTGGAAAACAGCGTTTTTCCAAAGAAGTCGAAGCAATCTTCGGAACGGTGAGTTACGCACCCAGGTAGACGTCAATGAAAAGAAGGAGTTATACCTCATGTCATAGCTACGGCCCAATTATTTTTGTCTAAAATTTTCCATTTGTGTTAACACTTCTTATTCTGATGGCCTTCAAGCTATACTAAATTATTACATAATGCCTAATTTCAATATGAGACATATTCTATTTCACTTTTTTGGTGAGTTGTTGCGTCCAGTTCGAGTTAGTTTTCTACCAGCCAACTCAGACTAAATAAAGTGAAAAAAATTGAACCAAATTATTTCACTTGATTAGCTATTTCCCTTATAATTGGAATCTACAAAATCATTTTATCTAGTTACAGGCCGACTAGAAACACATCCATATGTCCAAACCTAGAAGATGAAGGCGATGCTCCCTTGGTGAAAGGGGACCCGTCTACATCGGCTACCGCTCTAACAATGACAAGTCGCGTTAACATCAACCTGGGGGAGAGCAGGGAAAATGTATCGATAAAAAACGGGACAGCAGCCCAGTCTCAACCTACGAGCTTATAAGCGACTTCAAGTGGGCTTATTTTGAAAACGAGGACTGCTTTTTGTGATTTCTAGAAAATTGGTATTGACACTATTTATTTTCAAGAGATTTGAAACTCAATGTGCATTGAAAGCTGAAGTTGACTTCTTAACTTAAGTCAATTCAATTAGCATTTACCAACGGCTGCTGAATTGAGTGAATTATGTCATTGATTGATAAATATATTTTGTGGAGTTGAATTTTTATGGCAGCGGGTTACCATAACGGGAAAATTTATTATTGCATGTTTCTTTGTGTTTTAAACGGAAATTCGGCATGACTATTAAATGATATCCAGAATATTTTGATATCATCCTGTTATTTGATAGCAGCTTAGATGCCTGACACTCAAGTTTCACTATTTTTTTTTTGAGGCTTATAATTGACATGAAAAAATAAACCTATCAATTGGAAAAAAATGTTTTAATCCAAGGCCTAAACTGTTCGTTGGAGCATATAAATTGGTAGACAATTATTTTTAAAAATTTCATAAGGCTAAAAAACAGGCAGAATATAATCTGATAATGCCATTTTTTGTTTTTGACAAATAACTTTCTCAGTCAGGCATATGCTCGTTTTAAGCATTATTTAAAAAAATGATCTCCCAGCAGAAAAAGCTATTTATTAGCTGGAGACAAATTGGTCATTTTGCTTGAAATATCAGCTTTGTGGATACAGGGTATAAATTAACTTAAAGAAATAAAAATGTTTTACTTCTTATTTCCATGAAAATATGATAAAAGAACAACTGTACCTATTTGAAAAATCCGACATAGATTGGTCTAATAAATTATACAAGATGTTTTCAGAAATCAATGCAAAACTTGAAAATGTGTTTAAAGGGGGTGTGCGCCAAAAAAACAACCTCATTTCAAAAAAAAGAGAAAAAAAATCTAAGAATAACAGTGAAATCCGCACCCCTCTATGACAAATAATACCGCAGATATGGCTCTATGAAGGTACCGCATCTCACCCTATGACGTCACGAAAGCTCAAGCGACGCACTAGAAAGTGGAGTTAATTAAATTTACATATGTTTTTCCTGTGTTACCTGTAATAATCTAAACAAAAACTACTCAGGCGTCCCGGGAACAATCAAATTAACAATGCGGAGCGCGGCTGGACGAAGTTCTCGTGACGTCACAAGAGCGTCGTCCACACTTTAAAGCGGTATATCTCAGCGATGGTTTATCGTAGAATAACGAGGTTTGAACAGTTATTCTTAGATTTTTTTACACTAAAACTTGAATTTTTGGCGCACACCCCCTTTAAATATTTGCAATTATTTCGAAAAGATATTATATGGTAATTTATTGATCAACAGATTGTACCTACCTATTTTGATTTGTTGAGTTCAAAGGTTCAAATAATATATTATGTACCTACATGACAAAAATAACTTATTAACAAAATTAGTGTTTCATGTAAGAAAAATATCATATACTTAGAAAAAATTGTAAATAGTATTGAATGTCATTAATTCAACTTAATGTCATAGATGAAATTTTAAGTTTGTATTTACATTTTATTTTTACACTTTTCTGTTGTGTTCTATTAGTCTAGGAAAATAGTCGAAAAATACATGTATTGCAAAAAAAAAATTCCTACCCAAATGAACTTTTCAGGGATGATAGGAGGCGGGTGGGTGATCATAAAACCGAAAATATCAAACATTCACCCCTCTGGCGTTTTGCGCTATAGGGGTTGAAAGTGCGCCATTGGCGAGTACTTGGTACCTATTGATTTTACAAAAAAATGTTTCAAATAAAAGATGTGCAACATTATTTGATCTACAATGTTTATCTAAAGATTTTTTTGATTAAGGGCCGTCTGTGGTCATAAGGGCCGTTTAAAATTTTATAATGAAAATGAAAAATTTTAACCAACGTGAAAAATTTTTCTACAATACATACAACATTTTTGCTTTATGAAATTTTTACTCACCCCCTGCCGTTTTTCAATAGGGGTAGTTTAAAGTTTATTTATTTTTTCACAAAAAAAAATTCCTTATAAAAGTTTTATAAGATTACATTTCCTACAATTTTTTCCAATCAACTTTTTTTGTAACTCACCCCCATTCAGCGGGGGGACACTTCCCTTAGGGAAATTTTAGTTTTTAGGGGTATATATATTTTTTTTTTCTTTTCTCGCCTTTAGTGCATATAAAAAGGTGCAATTAATATTGTATTAAAAGGATTTTTTTTCCACCACCTTTTTGTTTTTAGGGGTAGTTCGCCTATTTTCAACTTTACAAAAAAAATTAATAGAGAAAAGTTGCTCAAAATAGTAAAATGAACAAGTTTTCTCAATAATTTTTTTTTATAAAGCTGAAAATAGGCGAACTACCCCTAAAAACAAAAAGGTTGTGAAAAAAAATCCTTTTAATACAATGTTAATTGCAACTTTTTATATGCACTAAAGGCGAGAAAAAAAAAAAAATTAATATATACCCCTAAAAACTAAAATTTCCCCGAGGGAAGTGTCCCCCCGCTGAATGGGGGTGAGTTACAAAAAAAGTTGATTAGGAAAAATTATAGGAAATGTCATCTTATAAAACTTTTATCAAGAAATTTTTTTTGTAAAAAAATAAAAGAACTTTAAACTACCCCTATTGAAAAACGGCAGGGGGTGAGTAAAAACTTCATAAAGCAAAAACGTTGTATGAGTTGTAGAACATTTTTTCACGTTGGTTAAATTTTTTCATTTTCATTATAAAATTTCAAACGGCCCTTATGACCACAGACGGCCCTTAATCAAAAAAGTCTTTGGATAAACATTGTATATCAAATAATGTTGTACATCTTTTATTTGACACATTTTTTTGTAAAATCAATAGGTACCAAGTAATCGCCAATGGCTCACTTTCAACCCCTATAGCACAAAACGCCAGAGGGGTGAATGTTTGATATTTTCGATTTTATGATCACCCACCCTCCCCCTATCATCCCTGAAAAGTTCTTTTGGGTAGGATTTTTTTTTTGAAAATCGACAATTTTCCTAGACTATATATATTTATTAAATAAATGTGAAAATAATTACAGGGTAATATATTTGAAAAAAAAAAGTATACAAAGTTCCTTGCAATTTTAAAGCGAGCCCGTAAAATCGCATGGAAATAATTTAATCAAATGTTTATTCGGTGTTTATATTGATAAGGGTGTATACTTAGATGTGTATTAAAGCACGTCCTTATGATTTTTTATGCAAAAAAATAATATGCAAATTCTTTTTGTCCCATTTTTGTGGCCGCAAGAATGTTGCCCTAGAACTTCACTCAGAAAATCTCCCATAGATGCAACACAATTTAAAGTGCTTTTAATATATTAAGTATTCAGACATTATGATGTGTCATTTTCTGTTATTGCAACTGCAATGTCAGGTGACCGTTAACTTATCTGTCGCTGTTTATTCCATACGTCAAAATAGAGACATGTAGTAGGTATAGATGATTAGCTATAGATATAATACAGTTGTTGAAATAATAGGAAAGGATACATCAGGTCTTCTATTTTCCCACTGAGTTGATTATTGAAAATGAAATTTATATACAGATCGGACCAACCTACTAGACACATAGAGAGTAATAAGACGAATTAGCTTGTACCGGGTCTCAGCGGGGTACTTGATCCATGTACACTTGGACCGTGTCAACTTGGCTTAAGGGGCAACATCACGGATCAAAGTTACAAAATGCTGTACTGTGATTTCGCAATTCTTCTTGGCAAGAAAACAAAGAGGCTCACACCAGAAAGAATTACATAGCTCAGATCTGGGACAAACCTTTTTTAGGTGATTTCCTGGCTCACGATTGCTCTATTTTTTCTAGGTTTTTTTACAAAAATATAAAAGTCGACTTACCACGCCCAAATTGATTGATTCACTGGAGCTAACAACCAAAATTAAATATGTTAATTAAATAAAAATCACGCAAAATATGCCATGGAAATCGATATTAAGAATTCCTACCAAAAGACTTTGGGATTTTTGTTTTAGGATTTTTAATTTTTAGTGAACAAGGGGGAATGGAGGGGCATCTGAATGTTTAGTTCAGGGTTTTTGATGGGAGTGAAACAAACTAGCAGTAGGTATTTTTGGTTATCTTATTGCGTCTTCGGTTGGTAGAACTAAAGTATTGCAAAAAAAAGGTAATTTTGGGTATAATAGAAACTGATTAAGATCGAGAGATACTTTAGGTCTATATTCAACATATCAAAATATGGAATTGCTATACGCATGCTTAAAATACGGAAAGAGAATTTGTTCAAATTATTTTTTTGATTTATAATATACTTATGTGTATGTACTGTACAAAACAACGTTTGTATATTATTATATTTTTGGTTACTACCTGTGATATTAACATACATGATAGTTTAATAATTATTAGTAATATTTATCAACAGTTAATAATTAAAATTGTAGTTGTGAATGATTTTTAACATTCTTCAACCATTATATTAAAAGTGATTGTGTAGCAAAGATCATTATATTAGGTGTGTATATCAATTTTTTTCTTATATTGTACTCAATAATATAATTGTTGATAGGCTAATTTCTTAATGTTGTGTAAGGAATATCTATAGGTAACAGTTAACCTAGAATGTATGTAACATAATTATTTATCTTGCCAAACAAAAAAAAACAAGTTATGAGGTGTCTAAGTATACAATGTCTATTATTATTTGAATGTATAAAATAAATATTTGAAAAATATGTAGTTATGTCTTTTTTTTTGGGGTTGGTCCATATTTTTTACAGATTATTCTGCAAATATTCGATTCTTATATCCACAATCAAAAATATTCTATAAATGTGTCAATATTTCAGGAATATTCCTAATTCCTATAATATTTCCATCAGTATATTATAATATTATTAGGTATATTGTTTCTGCCATTTTTCCCATTTAGGTATTGTGAATTTCGGATAAGGGTGAGTCCGAAATAAGTGCGCATTTTGTTATGAAAGATAGAGTACAGTAGGACAATCAGTTTTTGCATAGGTAGGTACATGTGTCCGCAAACGCCTCGTTAAGAAAATACAGAGTGTTGAAATTTTCGGAAAATTATGAGCCTTGTGTAGTTATGCCTTGAGCGATTTTGTTCAAATTTTCAGAGAGTGTTTGCGATGTTCTCAAGCATCTTTCTAAAAATTCCGTTTGAGTTCCTCTTTTCCAGGACCTTATTTCGGACTCACCCTGTCTAGTTACGCCACTCAGTGCCACTGGCCAAAAGTATCATTTGGTGCCCGGAATAAATGAATGAACTGGCAGTTAGAAAGCATATAAACAAGGGAGAATAAGAAACAAATGGTAATTAAAGCACGCTTCATTGTGAATTATTCTCAAAATTCAAAACTGATCTACTTATATGCGCATGCGGAATCTAGATTTTTCTATTCCTGTCCTTGGCTTAAAATTTTGTCGCGAGTTTTCTCAGCAAAAACACAGTTTTAATGTACTCTCACTATTGCCAGCGCCAGCTTCCATCTATTTATTTTTTTTCTAGGGCATTTCAAAGCGTTCCATCCCATTTTTGACTGGGTGAACGCTTGGAAAATAGCAAATTATACCAAAATAAAGTTCGCACTTCATACAAAATCCACCCAAAACAATGGTAGACTTTTGACAGTAGCGCCATCTATGGCATGAGTCCCTAATTGTGAGGTAGGTAGGTACCCTTAGTACCTTATATGAAAATAGGAAGAATTGGTTTAGCATCAACGTCCAAGCTATTGGGAATGCTGATTTGACAGTAGTACTGGATGTCCCTGTCGATCATAGCTTTGTTCCAACACATCAAGCAACCGTACAATGTACTGTCACGATTCTGCGCAATGCCAAAAATTTGTGTGTAGAACCCGAAATTCGTATACAGAGTGGTTTCGAAACTGTTCATGGGACGGTTTTTGACGTGTTGGAACAAACCTGATATCTGTTAAATCCCAGCCCAAGCCCCGCCCCAGCACAGCAAAGATATAACACAGCACAATTAGACACCAGAAACCAAGTAGATTGTTTATTCGGAGTCCCGAAAAGCAAATTTCCCTGTTTATCTCTGGGAATTAAAGATGTGAATTTAAAAAGCTGATAACTGTAGTTGGAACTTATTTATTTATTGGTTCTTTTTTTTCCTTTGGTGTGAATTTTCATTTTTTGTTTTTTTCCATTTCAATGAGGAACATAGTGTTTTCCATTTTACTTATCAGATTGCATCATGTTTGTGCTGGAACTTTGAATAAAATCTGAATTTGCTGTGCTTACTATTACTCCTTTCATCTTCTTCTTCTTCTTCATAAGTTACAATTATTTTCTCTGAGTCGTCTGTATCACTGTTTTCTGCAGTTTACTTAATTCGGTTATAATCTCTCCAGGTTCAGAAAAAAACTTACCACTCCTGTCTTCAAGAATTCTGCTTGGTGTGTATTCACTTTGGCATTGCTATCAAACTTATTGTGTCAATGGAGAAACAGTTGGCTTTCAACAGTCAGAATTTTTTCATCTTTATCTGTTACTGCAACCCTCAAGTTTATGAAGTATGAGAAAATTAAACTATTAAAAACGGTTCCAATTATGGCGGATGGTATTGATCTTTTGAGAAAATTGCTCAAGGAATTGGAAGGCAGAAATGAGTCTTAGATAGAAAATTGGGCCCTGTAATAGTACCTCTCACAGAGAATGTCTAGAGTTTATTTCCTTCATCAGCATTCCCAGCAAGTTGACTCAAAATTTATTATTCCTAAGTTGGTAAAGCTCATTAATGAAGAACGTCTTTAAAAGTGCCTACTCTAATATAAATGTAATATTATCATTAACATCTAGAGCTTATGAAAGCACCTACCTACTTCTGATGTGCCCCTGGGATCCAGCCTGTGTCGATTGGCATCAAAATTATCTGACTATTTCAATGTACGAGTGTAATTTTGATTACTCGAATAAACTAATTAAATCAAATAATAAATACATTATCAAAAACTCTATTTTATTGAAAACATAGATATGTACCAAATAATTGAAATATAAACTAAAAAAGACTAGTATAGTAATACCGGCGAATATTTCACCTTGCGTCATAGATTTGCATGAGATCAAAAGCAATGACGCAATTCGCCAGAAGAACTAATATAGTTTTATTTATTTTTATAATTTTTTACCATTGCGTCAATGAAATTATAATGGGTACGGAAACAATATAATTTCCTAGTCCTAGTGAGCTGTAAGTTACATATTATGTAGGATCATGAAAATACTAATAATATATAAATCTTATACCTGATAAAAAAATAACCAGGGTTCTAAAGTTTCACAGCCTCAATCTGAAAACACATACATTATAATAAGTTTTAAAATCTCTAAAATATTTTATGTACAGTGACTTGAACACAAAACTTGTATAAAACGACTAGCACTTGGTTGGATATCTTTTTGCTTTTCTAACATTTCAACTATAAGAACTTTTCCAAGAAATTTTATCACTATATAGTACTGGCAACGTAAGTACTGCAAACTGAAGCTCAATGAGTACAGCCTTTGTACCAAACTATTTTAGATCGTTTTATTTACCAACACAATATTATGATGATGCCTTGTGCAATGACGTAATACTTGGAAACCTGAAGAAGATCTTGAAAAAAATCGAAAAAATATGTTTTTGTTGAGATTCAAATCTTTACTGTAAATGAATAAATAGATCTTCCCTCTTTATTTAACTTTCAACTGCTGTATTCCGTTCATTTTTCTCCACATTGAGCTTAAGTATGAATTACTAGCCTTGCCAGGCCTCTATTTTGTCATTAAAAAAAAAATCCTTAATGCAGAAAAAAACAAATACAATTACAATCAAATTACCCCCCCACGAGCCTTACCGACATATATTTAAACAGACTGCAACTTACAAACTACCCGCTATATATACAAAATTATTCACCCAAGAAATCTTGTAAAATCACTCTTGGGTCGACACCACTGTGGCGTTTCCGTACAATGTAATTTCGTGTAGTCAATAAACTAATACATAGAATTGTCAAGAATAAATACAATGAATCGTATTTTCTGAATAATCATGAATTTTTCTATACCTAAATTTTGTTTCCAAACCAAAATATTCTAGTACCCATATGATGGTATCAAAATTCTGAAGATCGAGGTTAACATAAATTGAAAACTTAGGCTCTTGTTGGCCGGTGTACTTTCTAAAGGATAACTATTCATTCGAGTAATCACTTTCATACATAAAACAATTACAGAATTGATATGTATGTGAATGTATTAACTTACGTATATTCAATCACATCGAGGTATACAGCGTTTCACAGCTAAATACAATAAAAAGGTCTGCGATCTTCACATATATTCAATCGAAGTTTGCCTCAGATAGAATCACCAGGCAAAGGAGAGCAGAAAAAAAATAAAACTTTACGAAAAGCGATTCACAACCGTTTTACTGTGTAAGCCCAACAGAAACTTTTTTAAATCATATTTATTGACACAATGCCAACTGCTTTTGCACGTTTTTGGTTTTTCTCTGCATCCTATTGTTAAGTGGGCAGTCTTTACCTACACAGCCTAGATTATTCAAAAATTGCTTTAACAATGCCTTGTATTTCACAACACTATAGTAATAACCTACCTAGATTCAATATTTATCAGCTAATCAGATTCAAAATTACTTATGTTCAATAGGAATTGTACTAAAACTAATGCAACATTAACCTACTTAGATGTTCAAAAAAAAACTCATTTTGAATTAATTCTCACCCTGTTCAACGATTTGTCCTATTTACTAGCCTCTGCTGAAGATTTATTCCTCTTCGGTTTTCTTAATAGTTAATATGGTAAATTGTCAGTTGTCAATGTATTCACACATGTGACCACAACCAGTAGGACAAACGCGTTTTTGGGCCAACCATTGCTTCAAGTGACCAATGTGTCCACCGTGGGAGCACCCTTGGCACCAGACATAAAGGCCTATAAGAAAGTAACTTGAATATATGCAAATAACTACACATTGAGATTGTTCTTACCTCTGACCACCTGGTGACAAATACTACAAAGTGCATTTTCTGATGTGTGGCACCTATCGCATAACCAGCCCACTCTCTGCAATGGTTTCATGCATTTGCCACAGTTCGTATTCATGGTCGTGCTCATTTGGTTTAGCTGGCTTACACTTGGCAGCCAAGCGAGCTTGATGACTTGATTCGATATGTTCCAGAGTCTGTATTTGCTTAACAGTTCGATGTAGCCCAAAAGCCAGTGCTCTTGCAGGTTTTCACTTAGTCCTAAAAGTATTTTTGATATTTCTGTTAATCTGTGAAAAGAAGAAATTGAATTTTCAATATCTTTAGCTATAGGTTATTTTTGTATTTCTAATTCTGAAAATTCTTTGCTGATTCTTCCACAAGATCGTCCCGAATCTGTAAATAAATTTGGTTTCTAGTTTTGTAAAATGAGAAATTTAGAGCTTATTTTGTAGTTTCATTGTTTTGTAGATGAGCTAAAAATGTCAAAAACCAAACCCCTAAAATCAATTCAAGTTCTACAAAAGAATACAAAATACGTCAACTTGCTACTTCAATAGAAAACTCAGCCTGAAAAAAGAATAGTTAAAAAAAACCAAGGACTAGTTTCATTAACACAAGACGACATTTATTTTCGGTTTTCTCAATACCTGGCCTAAGGGAGTTTCGCAATAAGAATGAAACTTTGATTTGTGCTGCCTTCATGTATTTTTGAAACCTTTTTGATTATCAGAAGTTGTCTCCTCATGTTGAAAAATGATGTAAAGTTATCCTAAATAATAATAAATTGTATGACTGTAATGAATCTGGGTAAATGGGTAAATAAGGGTGCAGCCATATCAATATACCCAAGTAAAACAAACAACAAAAGCAAGGAGTTCCTCCAGAGAGGATGACGTTGCTCAATTAGATAATATAGACTAAAAAATATAAGGAAATAAACATAAATATTTGGAGTAACATTTTTGTGGGCCAATAGATATATTATGTCAAAATTGATTATCCAGTATCCAATAATAATAAAAAGCAATAACAACTTGGCAGGGGAAAAACGGGTTGATTGTAGGGACCAATAGGTCCACTATAGGAACAAATAGTGACCATTTCAAAAGAACAATGGGACAATTCAAGATCCAATGTGACAATTAAGGACCAATGTCTAATGGAGTGTACACAATTTTGGGTGGCGGTTTACCCCTCGAATTGAACTAGACCAACTTTGGAATTATTTGAGAAGGCAAAATCACATTAAAATCTGATGGAATACAAAATGGAAAAGTTATTTCAGCACAACATAAATAAAACAACATTTACCACAGAACAAATATGGGACATGACCCCACCCTCATTGCACAAGCATTCAAGTACCAAAGGACATAAAAAAACACAATACAATCACCGTTATTTTTGCAAATTTGTGTACATACATAAATTAATGGCTCCAGCATAGTTAGGTAGATTTATTCTTAATCTTTCCGAGAGAAAATTAAATAAATAATCAAATAATACGTGTTCTCAAGCCCGGATGGGTCCCTAAGATTTTTTAGGAGATTTATAGGCTATGGTCCGAATATAACCAAACATTAACCAAAGTAACCGAATCGGTTGACAGATGGTTACTGAAAATTCCGGTTACTTGGGGAACGTGTATATGAAATAAAAAATATTTGACAGAAATTACAAATAAAATCAACAGAACCGATAGCTGATGGCCAGTAACTATATTGACATTTGGTTAACCAGATTTCAGGAAACTGAGGTCCAAAAGTAACCACTTTTCTAGGAACCAGAGTAATTTGATTGCTTTCGGACTGCGAAACCACAACCTCGGTTATATTCGGACCACAGCCTTAGAGAAATTTTGACAAGTGTCATTTGGAAATTATATTAACGTGCCTATTTACAAAATTATTAATACTCTACGATAGATTAGACTACTCTACAAATACTTATCCCAAACCATTAATAAAAACCAGCCTTTGTGTAGAAAAAAGATGAGAAGTGTGTTAATATGAGTATAAAAGCAACTCCCAAACTAGCAAATGGAAAAAATACGTAAAATTGCTTGAACTAACCTGCCAAATATTTTCTACTCTCGCCAAGAACAAGCAATATACAGGCAACAGTCTGAATATCGCCAAGAGTAGCATAATGATGTAAGGTTTGTATAACAATAGGGCTGGGATCCCAACTGGGTTTGCTGCATTGTTTGACGTTAACCAACATTCCTGGCAATTGGTCGTCAACCTAAATCACAAAACATCAAAAAATAAGAGTTATTCTTGACCAAATATAGCTACTTTACGAATAATTTGATCATAATAGGACTTTTTTTTTTGGAAAAACCTCTCAATTACTTTAACATGAAAGGCAACTGATCGAAAAGCTAATGACTACCAAAAATAATTAGGTTTTTTATTAGATTAAGGTACTTATAAAATCACGAATTATTGCAAAAATAATTATTAAATGATATGGAGCAAAGTGGGGCTGGACGTCAACAAACCCCTGTTGCCTCTTAGTGCAGTGGTCTGTCAAAATGTGCCCCCACAAGTGGCAGACCAGTTGGTTGTGGCAAACTGTGTCAGGGATTTTCCTCGAGTGTTTTGGGATGATTCCTTTTTGGTATGGCAGATTTAACTATTTCATTTTGATTGCATATATTTCAAACTTCTTTGTCTCAAGGTAAAGTACCCAATTGTAGACAAGTTAAGGATATCCTTGCTTATGATCACCACACATTTAACAAATTTCCAAGCCCAAGGCTTTGATAGGGTTATATGGGCCGCGCTAAAGGTAGCACCTCTAAGTTTGAGACGGTCGCATCAAGAGTCGTAGACTGGAGATGGTTTCAAATAATTTGGTCCTCAAAGGGCAGTCTGCTATCACTTATCGCTCTACGTGCCACATCCTGGAAGCTGCATCGACCTGCAAGCTAAACTATGTGAGGGTAGCCAGACATGGCGAGAAAACTAGTGTTGGGCAGCAGCAACATTAAAAGTAATTGGTCGGCGTACTTCCAGATATAGAAAGAAAAACAGCACCATATAACACAGTTAAAGGCGCGACAACAAGGACTCTCTCAACGGTTTTATTACTGCGATGAGGAAGGCAACGGGAAACCACCTCATTACCCTCCCCAGGAAAAATCATTAGCATGACTGGGAAATCAAAAGCACAGGCCCTCAGTCCCCAGCAGGTCTTAAGTGATCAGAGGGTGCTAAGAATCTCCGGGCCAGTCATGAAGAAAATTGCTACCTGGTGGAACGCATAAAGTATGTTTCAATCTGGTAAAATGCACAATGCCATCAAAGAAATAAAAAGAATGAACATCGAAATTTTAGGGATCAGCGAAATGAGATGGCCAAATTCTGGAAAATGTCAAATTGACGACCATCATAATTATCTACTATAGTGGCAATCGCGAGGTCAATCATACTTAATACACAAGTACAACTATATTAATTATAGTTCTTACCTTTACTTGTACAGATTGTTCTTCCCGTAAGTTGATTGTGTGAAGATGGTCTGGAAATTGTTCTGGAGGTGGTGATCTGTCCAAAATCTCGTGTCGGATAGGGAAAGCTTCATTAGGCACCGTCCAATCTGAATTGAAAAAAAAATAGTTAAAGAAACACAAAATGCTTTAAAAAATGCTTCACATTACCAATTTGTTCTGAGGGCGTCGGGTTCATCCTGTAGCCATATTGATAATAATCCATAAAAATTGGAGCACCGTCTAATTCAACATCCAGTTCATTTTCTCCAAAAAAGAAATCCCCCCTAGGTAAACAGCCGTTTCTAACATTGAGGTAGTTGGGAAAAGCGTTATCAACTTGATCTTCATTCTCAGTCTCTTCATCGCCACCGCTAAATTGAGCGGCAGGGGTTTCAGCGCCTAAACTCATCAACTATTATCAAAAATTTGTTAATAATTGTGTGTCTAAATAAAGTTTCACATTAACACCTAGCAACGAGCTTAGCAATAACTTTTTTCTTAATTTTTCAACAAATTTTTACCATACCAGAAATGTATCATTATAATAACATCAATCCTAAAAAGCCCTAGCAGGAAATCATCAAGTACTGTTAGGCTGAAGACACGCAATGACAAATACAAAGTACAAGAGACAGATATAAAATACCAAAAAATCGAAATTTTGTATTGTGGCATGGCAAGTAAACTGTATCCATTTATTCTGGGTTACAGTAATGATACATGTGTTATTATATTTTTGTCTACTGCCACTTCTATTTGTCATTGTATCTTCACTCTTCTGGAATAACAGAGATAGCTTTTAAACCCTTATGTTGTGATTATTGATTGACCCCTGTATGCCGGTGACTTTGGTATGGTCTTGAAGGAATAATCTAGCCTGACAAATTACTGATTTTATCAGAGATATATTCTTGTAGGTAGATAATTATCAAGACAGAAGATTGACAACAGCCTGTTGCATCAATTTTTAGATTTCAGAAACAAAAACTACTAACAGCGTGCTTATTATTTGTCTCTGATAACTTTTTAGGATAAGATAGTCCAATCTGAAAGTTGAAAAAGAGGTATTCTTTATCTTCCAGAGGTTAAAGTAAATTCTAAGAGCCCAGAGGCGGGCAACTTTCAGCAAACTTATTGGAATTAGATTTTGCCTCTGACAACTCTGACCTTCTGACAAAGTTATGAGGGATTTGCTTATATTCTTAAAGGGCTATAAGAGTGTAGGATAGCTAATTCAGACACAGAGCGAAAAACTACGCTACCTTTCGATTTTTGTTCATCTGGAATTTCCAAGGCAGAACATGAACCTTCCTCCTGCTTTGGATTATTCATAGAGTTCTGTACAAATTCCTCCCCATACATGGTTTTAACAATTTTCCAAGTAACTGCTATATCGTTTTTCCCAAATTGTGTTGCTACTGCAGAATTATGGTCGCACAATTCAGAGACGCTTCTTCCATGTAAAATATAACTTTTGGCTAACTCTGAAAAATATAAAAACCAATTATGTCAATTCGATACAATAAAGGTCAAAATCTTACTTATAAATATTGAAGATTCTTGTTCTTCAACATTATTAGGGTTGAAATTGTATGTTCTACTCCACGCTAGATGAAAGGCATCTATAGGTTGAGAAGTTGAGATTTTTCGCATTAGTCCCACTGCCTTACTTAAAGAATTCTGACTAGAGCTATTGGTACTTGTAATAGTATTATTGACTTTTTTAGAATACACAACTTCCCCTTTAGTATTCAATGTTATCCCCTGAGGATTAGCTTTACTCGCTGGTTTCTGAGCATCGCTAAATGAATGTTGATACAACACATTATCCTTGAAAAAAACAACAAATCAAAATAAATTCCACAAAAAAAAAATATATCTTACTCTTCCACTACTCAAAAAAATATTGGGGTCACCTCTCCAAGCCACCCCACTAGCAATATCTCTATGTTCATTGAAGGATGCAAAAGGAATATAGGGCCTTCGAACATCCCAAATATTAATGCTGCAATCTATAACAAGGGCGCAACTAGCAAGTTGATATTTATGAGAAGGCCTCCATTTCACGTATCCTATAGAAGCTATGGTGTGTATGGTATACTCTAGAGTTGGTCTTCCAGTCATTTCCCACACCTATATCAAAAAATGTTTTAAAAAAAACTTTAGAGTTTTAAAAACCTCACCTTGATAGTTTTATCTCTACTAGCTGTAGCTAGCCAAGTAGCTTCAGGATGCCAATCGCAAGCAAATACAGGACCACTATGAGCAGTAAACTGATGTTGTGACTTATCTGGTTTTCTTACATCCCATAATTGAACACTGCCGTTTTCTGACACAGCGGAAAATACATAAGAGTTATGCGGACAAAATTGAACGTCCCTAACACTTTCAGTATTACTAAAATACAATTGACTTACAAAGTTTCAAACCATAAATGTAAATTCTATAAGTACCTGTAAAAAACTGACACAGCATTTTTCATTCTAATATCAAAATAACGCATAGTTCCATCTTGAGAGCCAGATATCAACTTAAAAGGCTCAGTGGCATGAAATTTCACTTTGTTAACAGTTCTCTTATGGTCTTGGTAATCTTGTTCCTGCATGGCTCTTCCCATTTTTGTAAGGTTCCAGACACAAACATGACCGTTTGTTGCTGCAGTTGCGACATAATGATCTGTGGAAAAAACACTCAGTGATTAGCTCGATTGCATATTATTATTTTCCACTTACCGTCACTTGGACTCCAAGTTATATCATTGCAAGAAAAATTCAAATTGAGATGTTTCAAGGTCCTCAAGTTGCATATTTCTCGAAATTTATCTTCTTCAATTTGATAAACTTTGAACACTAAAATATGGTTAAATTTTGTCAATTTTATTTAAAATTATTTTCAATTTATGAAAATATTAATAATCTCAGGCTTCTCTGGAAGTACGTATACATTTAAATAGAGGCTTGGTTATGTGAACTAATAATAAATACTAGATACTTGATAAAAACTCAACAGTTTATACAAAATACGAATACACATAAAAAACAGTTCTAGGGACTTTTCAACATGTACTTAAATTGTAAAAAAAAGATATTTATGAATTATGAAAATTATTTCAAAAAAAAATATATGTTCACATAAACAAGTGTCTACTGTGGCATTGAACCACAAGAAAATGAAATATTAATTATAGAAAAAATAAAAACCAAAGGAAATCTACATCCAAAAAACTAGGTCTATAAATCTTATGGTGGAACAAAAGTTTGGGGCTCATATAATAATTGGGTGCCTTTTAGGTGCTAATTAGGGCTTTTAATTAGAAATTAGGTGCTCTTTTAGTTTTGAGAAAATCAGAAAAACACAGGGACTGCTAGGTTTATGAAAGCTAGCTTCGAAATTTTTTTCTGTCTCAAAATACAAATTAGGTTCTTCATTAGTTTCTTCAATTTTCTCAAAAGTTCAGGGAGCACGTTATTTTTAATTAGAGGTCCTAATTAGCTCCTGAAAAGCACCTAATTATTATATACACCCCAAACTTTTTTTTCCACCATGGGACTGTTAACAAAAAGCTTGGTAACAGAGGGTAAGTTAGCCTAAGTTTACACATTATTTTTACACATCTTAAGCTCAAATTTTGGACAGTAGCAAGCAACAGCCTAAAAAATTTGAGAAATAAAACTAAAATAGTAAAAATTTTGCTTGGAATTAATTTTCCTTGCTAAGTAGTGATCTAATAGGTATCAAACATGTATGAGACACTCGAGGAAAGTAAGTAGGCAGAAGGAAATACATGAAACAATTTAGAAGATTGTAAATGGGATAGTTTTTGAAAGAGTAAAATAAACTGAACAGGTGAAAATACCAGATTACTTGAAAAACAAGTGAAAGTTAATTTTAAAGGAAGTGATGCATATGTGGCAAACTTACCATTTCTCCCTCCAATAACAACTTGAGTGTTAGTACTATTTAAAGCCAACGCATTCAGGGGCCCTTCCTGGGCCACAGAAAAAGTTGTCATATTAAATAAGACCGAAAAATGATACTAGGTAAGTTCGAGGCAAACTTTTTAATCGGAATATTTTTCATATAAAAAATTCACAGTTCAGGCGATAATCCACCGCCTCGTCCACTGCATTTACTGCACTGCTAACTTTTAAGTTAATTTAATTTCTTCTGTTGTTTAATAGAACCAAACCACATGTATTGTGTAATGTGACTGTGATAAGCATCAATAAAGTTATTAGCAGTTGATTTGGAGCTTGGATTAAACACTTGTGTTTTTTTCGAGAAAAATATCTGGTTTTTTAATTTAATTTAATTTGAGGTATGAACAACAGCATCAGACTATGAGGATTTAACGTTTTAATTCCTACTTCAGTTTAATTTTTAGGACCTCCCATAAAGGCAAAACTACTTTTTGTGCAATTTTGAATTTTTCTTCTACTTTTTATAGGTATAATTAGTAAAATTGTTCGAAATCCCATTAGGTTATTCACTTCGATTACGGAAGGATACTCCTATTAGGTCATTTGATTTTTATTCTCACTTTGCTAAGCTAACCTCTAACCTGTGTCACATCCAAACTCTCTTTCCTTGGAATCCAAAGGACAAAAATTTATATCTGCTGTTTTAATAAATAATAATGAATGATCAACAAAACAATAAAAATGAAAAGCGTATCCAATTAATTGGACTAATGGCGGCAGAAGAAATGACAGTTCTCAGCTGACGGGACAACGGTGCCGCTTTTCTAGCCCTGTTGCCACACTTCACGACTCCAAGCAAGCGAGGAGGATGGTTTTTACTCCGGTATTTTTCCGTCAAATTAGAACATCGGCAGTATCCGTGAGGACGTTAGCTTCAGTTAGTTGTAGAATGTCAAGATTGTAGTGCACTTGAAACACCAAGTGGCGTTCGTGACATGCTCCGTTAGGTTGTAGATGACACTCGGAGCGCTCTCTAATAAGAATATTTGCTCTTTTTGATCCAAACTGTCTGTTCAATCAGTCCGGAGCAAAACGACTTCATCGGTTCCAATAATTATTATAATTCGGACCGCCCCAAACATATCTTCGTTCGTGAACCTGGTTGTTGGTGCGAAAATTATATTGTGGGGCATGTGTGACACATCTCTCTGTAGAGCAGTCTGCTCAGAGTGTGCGCACTAGTACCTGACAAGAAACCTACCTTTTGGGATGCTGAGCTGCTTTCCAGTGACGAATTTTAAGGTACTCCATACCAGTAGCTTCCCACTCTGGTGCATCAAACAACAGTTGTTTCAGTGGCAGGGCCCCCGCCAGACCTGAAGCCGCCTGCGTGCGATTTCATGTTTTGTAACCGTAAAAACGTAACAAGTTCTAAGCTTGCGCACATTAGATTTATTTGCGTAAAATATGTCACCGGAAACGCAACGTAACAGAGATAACCAATTCAATTCTCATCTTAACTTACGTTGCGTTTCCAGTGACATATTTGACGCAAATAAATCTATTGTGCGCATGCTTAGGACCTATGTTAGGTCTTTACGGTTTTGCAGCCCAATTCTCGCTTGATAAGCACAAGGGCGCAGGGCATGGTTCTATTAATTTTTACTCTTTGTCACTCATATAAGAAGATTTCACATAGAACATGGAACTGAGAAAGACGGAAGGACAGGGCGCACTTGTTCCCAGACGAGCGCTGGGCGTTTCGAGAATCAGGTGCCTGTCTTTGGATAAAAAAGAAAATAATTGAAACACTTTATAAATTAAACTTTTTTTATACCGGTCTGACAAGTGAACATCTTACAGGTCAATTTTAATGCAATAGAATAAAAGGTCCAAGGTTAAATCAGCATTTCTTCATTATTTTGGTCAAGTGAATGACTGGTTCAGAGGGGAATAAAGGTTTTCTTACGTCACTGATGCATCCTTACCATGACCCCCTCGAGCAGCTCACCTCTCCTGGCCCATGGGGGTACTTGGTCTTATCATCACAACAAACATCAGTTTATGAATAAGATGCTGTGTCTATCTGTGTTAAGATGTCATTGGGTTAAATAGAGAACGACAGCGATTTTCCCTGTTCCACCCCAGCATTCCCAGCGCTCCATGCTGGAGGTGGAACAGGGGAAATCGTTATCGTTCTCTAAATTTAGACTTTTTTCTAGTCATTTCATTCTATTGCATCAAAATTGGCGCGTAAGATGTTGACTTGCTAGGCCTGTATATTTTTTCTCGTGCGATTTGACGCCCGCGTGCGCCGCACGCCTTTGCGCTTATGATAGCGGGGGCCCTGTTCAGTGGAACGCGCCCTATAGGCGTCGTGTTTTTGATGTACCCATAAAATTGCTGGTGCTTGAGAGGGTAGGGGAGAGCAAAAATGATTAGTTCACTTGCGCGAAACTCTGAAGCACTGGGACGCCTATAAACAGGAGTGTTCAAAGTGCGTCACTGGAAAACGACTCTGTTGACACTTGCGTCCAATCTCGGAGATCTTTTCATTTGTATCTGCTATCTGAGTCGTTTTCCAATGACGCACTTTAAGCACTCTTGAGCTGCTCTAGAGCGCCCCGGACTGTTTATAGGCGTTCCACTGCTTCGGAGTTTCGCGCAACTGAAGTTTTCGTTTTTCCTCTCCTCGGCTCTCTCAAGCACCTGCAATTTTATGTGTGCATCAAAAGCACCATGCTTAAAGTAGGGTGCGTTCCAGTGAAAGAACAGTTGTTTGGAGCACCAGAGTCTTAAGCTACGGGTGTGGAGCGGAGCACCTTAAAATTCGTCACTGGAAAGCGGCTCCGGATCACGATTTTCGAAACAAGCAGGAGAATCATGACTCCAGATCTGGTTTGGAGTAGGTTTAGCAAAGATGCATATTTCAAATTTTTGCTACATTTCATCGCGTTGTACTTTTGAATTTGAAATTTGCTTCTCGTATCACCGATTTTAAGAAAGATTCATGCACCAACCATAGTTTTTATTGAATGCGTTTTTAGTTGTATTTCTTTCTGCTCAGAGTGTGCCTATCAGTAGTAGTAACTGACCAAGAAATCCACCTTTTCGAATGCTGAAAAGTGTATCAGCGTTTTTGACTTTTTCCTCAAAACTGCACCCGATTCACATGGACGGAACGCTCTCAAATCTCGCACGAAGCGCTCTTACTTGCTCTGTCAAGTTCGATGGCTCAAACCTTACGTGCCAATCACCGGACCGAAATAAAATATCGGTTCCCATCCACAGCGCCATGACAAATATCGGTTCTGTCACGGTTCCGGTTCTAAGAGATATATTTCGATTCGGTTCGGACCAATAATTTCGGTTTTGACGGTTCATACCGGTATAGCTTTTCACAAATATATAACAGAAAATAAGTTTCTGTAATTTGTGGTTTACATTTTATCGGATTTCTCTGCCTATCTGCAACAGCTTTAGTAATAATATTATTAATTTTTTTTGTTCTCGATCAGTACCGTTAATTACAGTTTGTATTTTTTCACTTTTCCCGTGCGTCATCAATGGCACCATGCATATTCTTATGAGGTTTACTGGTGGCCGTATTATGACACACGACAGAAGTATATACATTTATGATGAAAAATATTATTTAATTTTGATTAACATAATAGGCAAACGAGATCTAAACAAGTTGTTTTAGAATGTTAATTATTGTATTAAAACCAAGTATGCATATTATGCAGAAGCCATTTCATCATAAATGTATATTCTTAACTACGACCGCTGACGCAAACCGCTAACGACACCGTTGATGACGCTGGCAACGGTGCAACACCATATGTACTTGATTCCAAAAATCGTGGCCGATGAGCAATTCTGTAGTATAGTATGTAATATCCTTGGTGTAGCCTAGAACCCGACTCTTTTTTAAATTTTAATCAAAGCACATATTTTTTTAAGAGGTTTACGTGTAATGTGTAAAATAAAAGAGAATGTATTGGTGTTAACGGTGATAAAATTCACAAAAAAAGTTACGTTGACATTTACCTGAAAAATCTGCGAGATCCTCTTTTTGCTTGCGTTCGATATTTTGTTTAAAGAGCAGAGCGTGCTGAAGCGGAGCCGTAAACACGTGATCACCGAGCGCACTGAGCAGTGAAACTCTGAATAGGAGCTCTCGAAATTTCAATAAACGAACGCGAGTGAGGTTGCACCGAGCACATAAAGGAGTAAATTCAAGCTCGGAGAACTCAGGACAAATTACCGAACGCAGAATTGGGTTAAAACAATAATGTACGTTCGGCTATTGATTTCAAATAGTGTTCCCTCGTTATTCCAAACGCTCTTGGAGTACTCTCACAGTGATCTGTGACGTCACCGCCCAGACTGGTAGCTCTCTGGGAGCAGTAAAGTCGAAAATGTTGAATTCTTGATTCTGAAAGTTGCTCGAAGTTTTCTTCTGCATTGTTAACTAGGAGAATTAGTGCAAAGAAAATGTATTTCTATCTGTTTCTTTAACAATATTTGTATTCCTTTCAAGAGTTTGGAACACTCGGGCCACTTGCTCCGGTGTTAGTCGACCCCGATTTGAAAGGAAGAGATGCGTGGTGCAACAAATACTTGTCGAAAATAATAAGCGCGTAACGCCCCAGAGCTGTTCCGGATCTTCTCCTAGGTGTGGAAAGAATATAACTAATCTGAGAGAAAGTGACATAATTTAGACTCAGTGCTCATTAAATTTTCCAATCGAAAACGCCATAAAGTAAACAAACTGACATTTGTCAAATTCGGAAACATAACCTAAGAAACTTTTTTATGGCTGTTTGCTGTTTATTATTGTTTTGTTTTTATTCCCATGACCATGAAAAGAGGACTATGGCATGATTTCTAGTAAAAATTGAAGAATATGTGCAATTCGCCGTGGTAGCAATAGCTGCTCGATTTGCTGAACCTCTTTCTAACATCAGCGACAAAAGAAATCGTGGTGAGATATTTTAACTTTAACCTCCTCGTGCGTCCAGGCGCTGTCTGTAGAGGTTTCCCTTTCGATTCAGTTAAACATCCTCGAAGTTGCGTTACACCGTTTTTTTTTTTGTTGGAAACAATCTTTATTCAACTAAGTGATGTCATAACAATAACGTCTAACATCTTATAAGTAAAACAGTTAAACAGTGCTCAATGAAAACCTTTGGCCCGAGTGTTATTCGATAAACAGCAGTGTAAATAATGACTTACAATACTATTATCATACCTAAACTTACTAAATAACAATAGTTAATTTATATTTGAATATTTCTTTAATTTCATTACAAATAATCTACAACTCGCAATGGATTTTGAATTGTCAGGAAGACTATTGTAACTTTTTGAAGCAATTACAACAGGACTATTTGTACCTATATTTGTTCTTGTTTCAACTTGATATATTATTATTTTGACCTCTTGTCCCCTAATTATGTATGTTGTGTGAAAATAAAATTTGTGTATTACCTTTCGGTTGTCTATGAATTATTTTATGCATGAATTTACACTGTTCCAGTTCGAATATTTTGTTGAGCTGACTAGTGCCCAACTCCCTATGCACAGTCTGTCTATCAGTCAACATGTCATAGCTGTATAGAATTTGAAGAATTTTGTTTTGTAAAACTTGTACCAACCTGAAACTAGTCTGATTACACATTCCCCACACAGGCAGAAGGTCTAATGACGATTTCCATTTGTCAATCAGTGAGCACTGAGTGTATCCGCATCTTTTTCTAAAAGCATGTAACATTTAAGGATAAGGATACATTTTTCTTGCACTGGTTCGACAAATGGAAAACGCTATAAAATGAAAATGGACCAAAAAGAATGCATTATATAGATACAATATTCTTAGTTTTCTTAGTTAAGTAGTGTCTACATTTATATATTTCAGCCCAATTTAAATTATTATCTAAAATGAATCCTAGATTTTTTTAAAAAAATTTACTCTGCCATGTTTTGTCATCACAGCATTAATTCATTGAACAGTCGTCAAAAACAAAATTACAATACTTCAAATTAAGTGCTCTAATTAAAAATATGGTACTCTCTTACTTTTTCCAAAAATAAATTTTGTCACTAAAGCACTAAATTTCTAATTTCGAGCACCTAATTACCATTTAATATTATCGCAATATTATTTTTGACTTCATTGAGTCAAAAGGTACAAAATCATGCTACACGAACATGTATTACCAAGGAGGGCTGAGACATCCCTGGAACCCAAACCAATAAATAAACTTTTGGATATCAAAAGAAAAAATTTAAAACTGAACGGTAAACATAAACATGACGAAAATGTGAATTTCATAGATACAAATCGCCCTAGATTTGAAAGAATGTACAATAACAATGATTATGTGTTTCTACTAACTGCAGAGTCCAATAGGGATAACATTGGCAAATAAAGTGGTAAGAACGTTTTCGCAAATGAAAAAAACTGAACTTGCTGAGTGTTTTACTTTCCCTCACAAATTCTACAACTACTGAGTAATACCTAACCTTTTCCAAACTTATGTTACATTTGGTAACAGATGTTGTTTCATGGCCATTCTCAACCATAGCTTTGTTCCAACGCAGCAGAAAACCGTACATTGTACCGTAACGATTCTGACCAGAGTCAAAAAAAATTTGTGTAGAACCCAAAATTCATATACAGAGTGGTTTCGAAACCGTTCATGGAACGGTTTTTGACGTGGTGGAACAAACCTAATCTGTCTTCTTTTGGATATCAGTAATTGAATGTCTTAAGTCAACTACAGTTCGCAGTTTCTAAAACCTTGTCTCGAGAACTAATCATCATAATTTAACAAGACAAACTGAAGTCAAAGTCAAAAAAAAAAGCTTCATTGCCATAAGAAACAAATAATCTCATTGACAAAGCTGTCTCAAACAATATATAGATCAAAAACTACCAATACGCAATTACATACATATGAATAAAATCCTCAAAACTTTAAGTCATTCAAAACATATAATTAAACAATATTATTGACAATAATAAAAAAATATATGAACAAGGTATAAAACACTAATGTACAGAACAAAATACACCTTATGATAAACTTACTACATAAAACTGTCAAGGATCAAAATCGACGCCAGTCGAATCTCTCATCAAAGAATTCATTAATAGAGTACAATATGGCTTTTACGCCACAAGGGCTTCAACATTTTTTCTCAACAGTTTTGGTTCCTTCTTAACCCTTAATTGGTCGCTCTGGCGTGAAAAGTACGCCAAACGAGTTCAAACACGTGACATATTGAAACTAGCCATTGGCCGAAGGTGATCGCCTATGTAACCTATCACCATAGTGTCTTGTATGTACTGGAAAAGTGACGATCCTGTTGGTTTCCATTTCGCTTCCCTGCAGGGCGCTCATTGGAATAATGTACTAATTGGCGTACAAAATACGCCAAAGCGACCGTTTATGATTTTTATTTTTATAATGGTTTATAATACTGTTTTCGGCTAAACTTTAACATTTATGCGGTTGGGATTGAAAATGTTAGTTTTATGTGTTTTGCTATATCCGTTTAGCCAAAGGATTTTAGAAAATGAAGTTTGTTCGATTGTCATTATTTTTTTATTTTTTATAAATGAAATGCTTCTTTATTTTTTTGTGACACATTATAGGTATCTAATATTTTATGTGTCAATAAATCAATACCTGAAGTTACTAAGGATTCCACATTACTTTAAAGGAAGCAAAATTCGTCCCGATTATGAAAAGACGTTTTTATTCAAGTGGCGTACAAAGTACGCCAAGCGACCAGTTATGTGAAATAAAATCTAGCGACCAGTTAAGGGTTAATATGTAATGGAAAATGATTGCAAATTTTTTTGGGATTGTGAAAAATTGAGTTTTTTTATTTGGCCTGGAGATGGAATGTTATATTATATGTTTTTTGAACATCAAACAGCATGTTTCATACAAAAACATACATTTTCTGTCAAAATTCTCTCAGAAATACAGGAATCGCTAACCTCCCTCATTCCTGCATAAATATCTTATGGCAATTTCAATATTTTTCCAGAAATAAACAGTGGCTTACAGGAATCGCTAACCTCATTCCTGCATAAATATCTTATAGCTATTTTGCTAAACAAAGTATTCAACAAATACTGTGAGCAATTTCCCCAGAAACCTATACCATCTCGCAAATAGGATTCTATTGGCGAAAAATAAGTGTTGCTTGCAAATTCAAATTCGAAATTATTTGAAATAATTCTAATCCGAGTCCTAATTGTATCAACAAAATTAACAAAGTTTAAAAAAAAATGAGTTAATATCTCCATTTAATGGCACTTGGCTAGCAAACATAGAAAAAAAAGTTAGTGTATCACAACGCATAGAAGTGAAAGAAAACTCCCCTATTGAAATAATAATGCCTGTGCCTAAAATAAAAGAGGTTAGTGGGAGTGGGCAATAAGCTGACTGGAGAAACAGATAAATTCATTCACCCTGCAATTTATTTTTTATTTCTATCAAACCATTTTATAAAGATATATTTTCCCTTCCACCTATAAATTGGGCAAATTATTAAATTCATCAATTGCTTCTGCGCATTTCTCCTGATGGGCAACCTATCCTTGTTTTGCTGCTGTCAAATGACAAGGGCAGCAATAAATCGGTGAAACTGCGCATGTAAAAACTTGCCCAATATCTATCTTTATTCTACACACTCGTGCTAGCGCAGGACCGTTCTCCCATGCTTACGCATCAACTCTGTATCTTTGTTACTCAGCTAGTTTGTCACTTCTCTTTCTTTCCTACAATTCCTACGCACATACGCACAGGCTCAATAGGCTCCTTGTCCCCCTCCCCAAGGCGTGAAATTTGAGAGGTTAAACGTCGGAACTTTTATAAGAAATTTTCCTCGAAGTTTTCACTTCAAAAACTATGTACAGCTTAACATTACCTATCATATTACCATTACCCATGACAGTAAGTTAACTCCTCAATATATTTCCTATTTTAAATTGACCAAGGTATCGCACCACTTCATTTGGCAGTTCATTGTGTAATTTCTGACCAAAGAAAAGTTGATTCAATTCAATTTATGCAGGTGTAAAAAATAATTACAATGTAAATTATAAAATTTAAAATAATATTGCAGATAATTTGAACATTTGCCCTGTGTGACGACTTTCAATTTTTTTTTACTTGCCAGTTTTTAGTTCTTAAGTTATAATGTGTATGGTTATTTGCTTTGTCCAGTAATTTTTGCTTTTTTTTCATAATAAAGCAGCCAAAAAAGATGACTTCAAGATTGGAAGTATTGTGGAGCCCCATAGGCAATCGTTTCATTCTTTGGGGTGGCGATACAATAACATCTTATGAGTTGACACCCAAAAAAGATGGAGGTCCCACAGCAAAAAGTAAGTAACCGCTTCCTTGTTTTATACACTTTTGGCAAAGACCCTGTGATATTTGTGATTGATCTAACCAATTGGATTTTCAAATTACATATTCAAAGATATGGAAATATTTTCTATTGAGTGGCTGAAATCTAGCCTTGATAATTTTAAAACTATGATTCCTAAAAGAGGGACGGACAAACTCTCAAGACAATCTTGCTGCAGAGAAAAACTTTTATTTTGACAATTTCCAATAAAACATTGTTTTTCATACATTTTCTATTTAAAACATACATACACGTAACTTTTTAAATACCTACACATTATTTTCTCATGACAAGACTTAGTACTTCTCTTTCAATTTTGATTTTTAAATGTAGGGCACACAAAACTTTCAGGTACCCTTGGCACATTTGATGGAATTATCATTGGGTACATTCGAGCGGTGCCAGCGGCTAAGTTCAGCCACTCAGCAGAGACTTTATTCTCAGAACAGGGTAGTAGCGTTCTCATGAGAACGCTGTTCCTCGGTTTCGAGAATAAAGTCCCTGCTGACTGGCTGAGCTTAGCCGCTGGCACCGCCTTAATGTACCCATTACAAAAGCATCAACTCCTTTCAGTTGACGTTGGATTTGGGTAGCTTCTTTTTCATTGAAAGTCCTGCTCTTTCAAATATCAAATATAATTTTTAGTTAGGAACACAGACCAATTAAATACAGCATTTTCATAAAGGAAAGACCTATGTAAAGTCCGTGGCATGGTTCTTGAGCTACGACCACTGAATAGACAGAGGGAACAATGGGCTATTGCTGCGTTGTCATATCAATAATATTTATTAATACATGAAAATGAAGGAAATTTTATTGCAATTTTCATGTATTAATAAATATTATTGATATGACAATGCAGCAATAGCCCATTGTCCCCTCTGTCTATTCAGTAGTTGTAGCTCAAGAACCATGCCACGGACTTTATATAATGGGTGTTCATTTTAAAACTTACCACCACGATTATCTCGGAGTTGAAAAATTTTCGAAAAAATCCCTTAAACACATCAACTATAATTTAAAGGGGGATGAGTTTTTATGCAAAATTGACCTCCCCCCTTCCAATCCCCCAGCCCCCAGAGCCACCCTCTAGAAAATCTTGAATGGTAATAGGGGTGGTAGGTTTTAAAATGAACACCCTGTATGTAAAAATTCCATTCAACTAATATTGATTCTTGTTCCAGCGTTCAATGTATCAGACACCCATATTGCTGAGATGATATGCACTGCTAACAACCAGCATCAAGTAAAATGTATGGACATTTACCCTCATTCACAGGGGGATGAAATAGTAGCACTAGGTGGCAGCAGTGGTAAAGTTATCGTCACATATTTGGCCAAACTAGCGTGGGATGGCAGTGGATTACCTAGGAAAGAATTTAGTAAGTTCTATCTGTTTCTAGACAAAATTTGTATATTTATGATTAAATTCTTTTAGGTGCTAAATGTCCCAGGCCATGTACTTCAATCAATTTTAATCCAGTTGACTCGCATTTCGTGGCAGTAGGCTTAGAAAAATACAAACCAGACAATTCTATAATGATCTTTGACATAACACAAGTATGTGCTAAAAGAGATCCTACAACAACAGGTTTTGTTGCTCCGATCAATGATGGATCAAAGGCTATCTGGGAGTTTGGGATGTCTGAACATTGTCAGAATGTCTCTTGGTTTCATAATAATAGCAAGATTTTAGCTACGGGGATGAATATGAAGTTTATTAGATTATTTGACATTCGTGGTAAGTATAGTTCTTTCAAATTCTAGTCAACATTTAATTTTTTTTTTCAAACATAGATCCAACCAGAGTAGTAACTTCGACTGTAACAAAAGCAGCCTTGGGAGTATGTACCAATCCAAGAGATGACAAATATTTGGCTTCGTATTTCGAAAACCAAGTTTATGTTTGGGACACTAGGAATATTGAAAAACCTATTCAAATTTTACCGCACGCTAAGCCTTTAATCAAAGTCGGATGGTGCCCTACAAAGTAAGATTTTTGTATTTTTAAATCTTTTGTATCAGTAAAGCACTTTCCCACTCAGTGCTTTTTTGATTAAATCTATGCAAGCCTTACATGCTTGATAAATTTTTGCTTTACAATTCTTATGAACACACAATTTAGCATGCAAATGCTATATACCTGATTGGAGCTGGGGTAGTTTGAGCTTAGGAATTTAAAGGCAGCTTATGTGGTTAAAACAACTATATTCATCCAAGTCATTGTCATCATCTCATCATAAGCATAATGAGCCTTGTTTTTGAAGCTACTCATATAAATCTTGAACATAAGACTATATAGGAAATGTGTAAATGTCATTGGATTTAGCCAGTTTGGTTTTGAGAGAGGATTTGGAACTATGGAAGCCATTTCCAGTTTGTGAACATTGGTGCGAAACTACCCCAATACGCTGTTATATAGTGTGTTCTAAAAAATTGGATCCATATGGGATTTTTCAAAATATGTATTTTTGATTTATTTATTAATTAATTAGAAAATTTTGGATTGATTTTCTCTGCTTTTCCATCCATAGACGCGTTTCGACCTATCAGGTCTCATCATTTATTAATTTATCTTTCTACGGCAAACCATTTACAACAAATCACTACTCACTAGATCACTTCACTACATAGTATAAAACAAAGTCGCTTTCTCTGTCCCTATGTCCCTATGTATGCTTAAATCTTTAAAACTAGGCAACAGATTTTGATGCGGTTTTTTTTAATAGATAGAGTGATTGAAGAGGAAGGTTTAAATGTATGATAACATCCATTAAATAGTGGAGAAATATTGTTATTTTTGAGGTTTCCAATGTGATGTCGTAAATAATTACATTTCTTCCGCTTACATTCCAAACGCAGGAAGCGATTTTAACCAATACAGGGAAAGGGGAATTGTTTTGCTCCAAATTTAACGCGCGCGGGCCACAGGCAGTAATGAATAAATCAAAACTACTGGATCGATTTGAATCATTTTTTCAGTGAGTGACATAGGCTATATATTTTATACCCGTGCGAAGCCGGAGCGGGCCGCTAGTATTTGATAAAACACATCCTTAAACGAATAAGAATCAACAGAAGTTTTAAAAAAATATATCAACAGCTGTCATCCATCACAAAGCATCCTCAACACCTACTAATACAAAAAATGTAAATAACAATACAAAAAAAAATATATATATATATACAGGGTGTCACGAAAGGTTTGTTACAAACTTCTAGGGATGGTAGATCTCGTAAAAATAAAACTTTTTTCTTAATAAACATATGTCCGGAAATGCTTCGTTTTCCAGATATACAGGGTGGCCCGAATTTGAGCCTCATCATTGGTATCTCGGTAACCGTAAGAGATACGGGGTTGGTTAAATTTTGGCAAAGTTGCGCAATTTTATGACCAATAGAATACCGTTTTGAAACTAGAAAGATTCCGAATACTTCCGGAGATATTCGGAAAAAACCAAAATTTTTTAAAATCGTTTTTATTTTTTCCCGGGCTTATTTGAAAAGCAATTTTAAAATAAATGTCACTTCATCATTGTCACTTCTTCCCCTCTAGTAGATGGTGGTACTAAATTTAAAATTCGACGTTTCGTCTTCAGGCGGCCATCCTTAACTTAAGTTTTTTAAATACGAACCTAGATTTTTTATTTGCGATTTTGTCATCTTTGGGCATCCTAAAACCGATACTGTTTATAATTTTTCAATAACACAGTAAAAAAGCAGGTCCGTATTTGAAAAAAAAATTGATGATGATTCCAGAGGAACGAAACGTTGGATTTCAAATTTAATACTGCCATCTTGTAAAGAAGAGAAAGTGACAATGGGAATGTGAAATTAGCTTTTCAAAATCTTTTTAAATGAAATCAGGAAAAAATTTAAGAAAAATGAGAAATTCATGTTTTTTTCGTATAGTTTTCATTTTTTCCTGATTTTATTTAAAAAGATTGTGAAAAACTAATTTCACCTTGCCATTGTCACTTTTTCTTCTCTACAAGATGGCGGTATTAAATTTAAAATCCAGCGTTTCGTTCCTCTGAAATCATCATGAATTTTTTTTTTTTTAAATATGGACCTGCTGTTTTTGCTGTGTTATTGAAAAATTATAAACAGTATCGGTTTTAGGATGCGCAAAGATGACAAAATCGCAAATAAAAAATTCAGGTCCGTATTTAAAAAAAGGAAGTTGAGGATGGCCGCCTGAAGACGAAACGTCGAATTTTAAATTTAGTAGCACCATCTTCTAAAGGGGAAAAAGTGATAATGATGAAGTGACATTTATTTTAAAATTGCTTTTCAAATAAGCCCGGGAAAAAATAAAAACGATTTTACAAAATTTTGTTTTTTTCCGAATATCTCCGGAAGTATTCGGAATCTTTCTAGTTTCAAAACGGCATTCCATTGGTCATAAAACTGCGTAACTTTGCCATTATTTAACCGACCCCGTATCTCTTACGGTTACCGAGATCCCAATGATGAGGCTGAAATTTGGGCCACCCTGTATATCTGGAAAACAAAGCATTTCCGGACACATGTTTATTAAAAAAAAAGTTTTATTTTTACGAGATCTACCATCCCTAGAAGTTTGTAACAAACCTTTCGTGACACCCTTTCGTGAAAATATACACCCTGTATATAAAAGCGTTTCCAGTTTCCCTATATGTAGGAGCAGGTGTATATCACAATAGATTCTTTAAGTCTTTTTTAAATTTTATCGGTTTGGAATCAGAAAAGTTTATTTGCGCAGCCAAAATATTCGCCCTACAAACCAAACGAGAGATGGGCTCATTGACACCGTAGTAAGCGCGATGGAAAGTATCCAAGAATCAGACTGCCTACTTCGCACATATCGATCAAAATTCTCCTTGCTTCCAGAGAATGCAAAGACAGAGCACACTCTTCTACTCATATTCATACTCCTCTCTCTTATAACCAGACCTAAAAGCTGCTATCCTTGAAAACTTATTTTGAACTCTTTCTATCTGTTGAATATAGCTATTGTACAAAGGCGACCAAACAACTGCGCAGTATTCCAGAATCGGTCGGACAAAAGAATAATAAAGCTCCTTAAATGTGAACACAGAAAAATCAGCTGAGGATCTCTGGATGAAACCAAGTACCCTCATAGCCTTCGATTTAGCTAATGTGACTCGACAATGTGAGTCCGGAATCAATCAGAACACCAAGATTTGAAATCTCAATCTTGACATTGGGCGGTGTGTTATCAATTGAGTTCACAAAGTTAATCGGGTCTCTTTGTCCAGTAATAGTATATTACATACCGAGGTGGAAAGTGTTTCATTACTGTCGAGAGATTAGTTAGTTAACTGAGACGCGAAGCGTCGAAGTTAACTATAATCTCGAGACAGGAATGAAACTTCCTACCGAGGTTTGTATACTATTTTATTTACAACAATTACAACCCTCATAATTTCGATTAAATACTAAAAAAAAAATTAAAAATTTGTTGACAAGTTCTGACTCATCTAAAAAAACGTTTGACATGCAGGACTCGTCTTAAACATTTTAAAAAATGAGAACTTACTTTCCACCCGGGTGGAAAATCAGCACTTTCCACCCGGGACCACTTTCCACCCGGGTGGAAAGTAAAATTCAAAAAAGTGTCACTTTCAAACTTTTGAAAAGTCAGAAATGTCAACATTACGTATGTGGTTGTAAATAATAGTATATTACATACCGAGGTGGAAAGTGTTCTCGAGATTTCAGTTAGACCTCGGCTGCGCCTCGGTCTAACTTAAATCTCTCGACAGTAATGAAACTTTTCACCGAGGTATGTATACTATTTTATTTACAATCATTCGAATTTTGAAATTTTCATTTGGATTAAAACTCAAAAATACAATAATTAACAATTTCATTTACTTTCGGCCCACGGGTCGAAAGTTTACTTTCGACCCGTGGGCCGAAAGTAAGAGTCAAAAAATACAATAAATTTTAAAAATTTCATTTACTTTCGGCCCACGGGTCGAAAGTAAACTTTCGACCCGTGGGCCGAAAGTAAAAGTCAAAAAAGTGACATTTTCGAACTTTTTAAAAGTCAGTAAAGTCAACATTACATGTATGATTGTAAATAAAAGTAATTTTATGCCACTTGTTTATGTTTAAGGTTATTTTATTCTTCACACACCACTCATAAAAAGAATCCAAATCATCCTGTACACAAACAGCATCCATTGGACATCTAATCTCCCTAAATAGCTTAACATCGTCAGCAAACAGCAAGGCACTACTGTTCTTCATCCTCCGGGTCAAGTCCGTTAAAAAAATGCAAAACAGTACTGGGCCACAATAATAACCCTGGCGTACTCCAGAAGAAACCTCAATCTTGTCCGAAACAGACCCCCCCCCCATCTTCACCATTTGCATTCTTTCAGTCACGGAATCATAAATCCAAGAATGAAGAGGATGGCAGATACCCAAAGTCTTAAGCTTGCAATGAAGCACCCTATGATTGACCCGGTCAAACGCCTTAGAAAAATTGGTATAGACGGAGTCAACCTGAACTTCCCCTTCCAAGCAGTTAAAAATGTAGTTGACATATTTGAGTCTAAGTTTGAGTCAGTGGATCTACCCTTTACAAAACCAAATTGCTCTGGACTGATCAAATTTCGGAAAGTCCAGGACAGCTTTTTACTTACTAAAAAGTCAAGCAATTTAGGTATTTCTAACTGATTACAAACCGCCTGGTAATTTGTGGCCTCCTCCCTCGCTCCAAATTTGTAGTTGGCCTCAAGAAACTACTCCTAAATTTTGGAAAGCAACCCGTGTATCCAGAGATCTATTGAAAATGTACGGAATTGGTAAGACCAACGCAGAAATACTTCTCTTCAGAAAAAAAGCCGATATCCCATCAGGCCCTGCACTCAACTTATCCTTACACCTCTTTATCAATTCAAAAACCTCTCCCAAAGAAAGCTGGGCTGGAACTCTGTAACGGATAGAGATCGTTATTCCAATCGCTATGGCACCTGCTGTCTTCTTCTCTCTTGTCGAAATCAATAGAGAGGAGACGTCCCAGCCCTGGATTCTGCTTATGCTCACCGAGTTATCGAATTGAAAGGATGGTATCCCATCCATGACATCTTGAGAGTATACAGTAGAAAAATACTCAGCAAACAGATCCGTGACACGTGACACCTGCGGGTCATCAACGACTCTTCCGTTGTAAGACAATCTTGGAGGAAGACCACAACCATTCTTTCTGTTATTAATATATGACCAAAAACATTGTGGATTGACAGATAAGTTATTCTCAATTCTATTTATATACTGTTGATAGCACGCTATATGCAGCAAAGTCTCGCATTACGCTCTCAAGTTTGAAAATCAAATATAGTCCACCTCCACCTGACTATTGGTCTCTTTAAATTTTCCATGTGCCCGTTTGTGGAAACAACCTTTGTTGTGCAATCACCCCTGCTTCCAAAAATACTTGAAATAGACCATCATCACATATTCGGACATATAGAATCAAATGATTTTTATAATTTTCTGATACGCCCAAGAAAATGACATAATTTTATCTTTATATCACCCATATTATGTTTGTTGAAATTTCAATTGGGACATGTTCTCTTTTTTTTATCACATAATTTTATAACTTTGAGATTAGTGTTCTTTGTTCTTGTGTTGAACAATGCATTTGAAAAATTTAAACGAAGATTTTTTTTTTCTATTGGAAAAGCAGAAAGTTTATGGTAATTTTCACAAAAACATAATACTTAAGTACTGCAGTTTCGTAAAGGCATAAATGGAATAATATGATCTGCAGTTATGTTATTGTTATGAAATTTTATTGAGAGCCTGGCGGGATTCTAAAAATCCAGTGTAAGCAAAACAAGTTTACAATGGCTTTTCAGGAATTCAATTGTATTGTTTTTACTGCTCATAAAGTGGGTTCAAATGTTTCCGGAATCCGTGACATTAATAGCATTTATGATCACAACGCATGTTTTTCTTTGCTTTGACGACGCAATTATGACTACTCCCATGGTTCAAGGCGAGTTTGAAAATTACATCCCCAAAAATATTTAAATCGCTATGTGAGATTTGAAGACATACAAAAGTCTGAAAACTAACAAAAACGATTGATTCAGATAAAATACCATTAAATATGATGGGTATAATAAAAAAAGATATCAGTAAAGTTTTTGTTTTAATGGCACGATTTTAAGTAATCTTGACTCGAGTTTTGATGAGGTGCAAAGGTTTATGTTTTGTATGAACTTCCTCGGATTTTTTCAAGGTGATTCGTTTTAAAACGTCAGTACCAGCAAGCAAGGCCTAGAAATCGCCCTAAAACCTCGCAAATTAGTCGGCGGCGGCAGGCAGTTGAATCGCAGTGACTTTTTCAGCGTCGGAAGTGACTGAACCCTTCGGCATGAGCAAGAGTAATAATTGTTTTTTTTTGTTAGGTGTAATTTATTAACTACACTGCAAAGAGAGAACAATTATGTGAGCCTCTATGACATCCAACACCCCACCATAGGAAACGAAGAAGTAGAACCAACAATTATGGAGAGAATTGTAAATTTGAAGACGACATTTCCACTGAGTTGTTTTAGTTGGCACGGAACTGATGAAAATAGAATTTTAAGTTCTGCTGGATCGAATTCGTCAGGAAAAAGTAAGGAAATATTTTATGCGTTTATAAATTTATTTATTTCTTTTTATTATTTTTAGTTGAAATTAAGGATTTTTACGTTTATGACCGGATGACCTTAGCCCTAAGTCCATATTCTGAACTTATTTGGTCTTATGGAAAAAAGACATTGAAAAGTGCTGATCTCAAGACGCTTCCTGGCTATACTGATATATCTTTGAAAATTCAAAAACGTGCTAAGGCTCAATATGGATTAGAGGTAAAAAATATAATTCCAATACCTACTTAATTTATTATAAAAGTTGTAATTTACCTTCCTCTTACCTCTTACTAATGACATTCAGTTAAAAGTTTCCAGCATATTATCATTGTCTCAGCCTCTTTGTGGAATAAATCCCGAATTTCTTGTAAAACCTAGTAAATACATAAAAGCATCTCTTAATTCTCTACAACATTTTAGAAGCTTTTAGGCAGTGGTTGAAGCACTAAAATTAATTTGTGCTGGGGGCTTTGGGTCAGTTTTGATAGTTTGCTAGGTGTGGCCCATCGTAATCGACACATTTGAGGGGTTCTGTATTGGCGCAACAATTCGAAAGAGGATGGCCCTATTATTGGCATTTATGGCATTGGGAGAAATTCCTGTTTTTGTATTTCGATAGTTATTGGCAAGTTACAGGCGTGATCTACCTCTTCAGTGTGATCAGAAGTTTGACCGACGAGGAGGAATTTAGGCCTTGTTTATGAGAGTGCTAAAGATCCGGGATTCTCCACAAAAGAAGTTCTTTTTCGTTTTGCCTCTATTAGGCTCCTATTTTCTCAATCACATTGTCCTAACATATGGTTTAACCTCGGGTTTAACATTGCATTGATTTATAAACCTATATTTTTAGGAAGAGTTTCACAAAAACGCTGACCATGTAAGAGATGATGAAGCCTTGTCGAGTATTTGGCGTTGGTTGCATTTAAGCGCAAAACTAGTCGAAAGTGGGAGAGTAACCTGTCCATCAGTGAATGCCAGTCATAAACATCCTGGAGTTTTGTCAGTTTTAAATCACGATTATGAAAAATTCCCTTCAGACACTGTAACTAAACCTTGGGCTGATTTGGGTCATAGTAATTGCAGAGGATCTGTAAAATACTACAAGTAAGTTGAATATTCAGTTAGATTCATACATGCTATTTATTGAAAAGTATTACTAGTGGAAACAAGCCCTAATGGTGTTTCATTTTCAGACGTCAAGATCGAAGTAAGGCCCTACTTCTCTGTTCCTGGCCAGTGTTTGACGATACTCTGGGCCTAAAAAGTTTCCTAGAGACGTTGGAAAAAGAACATGCCTATTCACGAGCTGCTGCAATTGCAGTGTTCTATCTACAAATACCTTTAGCAATGGAAATACTGAATTGTGGGCCAGTTGAAGAAGGTTTTAATTACGTGGGAATTGCATTGGCTGGATTTTCGAACGAAGAAGACAGCAACTGGAGGAAATTTTGCCTAACAGCGATGAAAAAAATTAGCGACCCTTATTTGAAAGCCATGTTTGGATTTCTGCTTTCGGGAAATCATAATTACGACTGTGTTTTGGTGAGTCAATATTTGTTTTGTTTTTTCAAAAGTTTTGTGACTAATTCTGGTTTTGCAGAAGGATACCAATATTAGGGTTGATGATAGGGTAGGCTTTGCCCTGATTTTTTTGTCTGATCACAAATTGTATGATTACTTAAATAAATTATCTTCGGAATTATGTGATAGTGGAATATTAGATGGCCTTCGGTTAACAGGTAAGTGTTAAATTGTAAAACATACTTACAGTTTGATTCCCAATTTAAACATCAATATTTTCAATATTTTTCTTTAGAAAAAAATGCTGAATTTTTAAATTCTTTTATTTTAACAATTCATGTAAGATGTGGAGCACAAACTGCGTGTTTTCTTAGTTATTACCATCAACAGTAGGGATTTTTTTTATTAAATATCTTTTTTTTAGGTAATAATCCTCCAGGCATAAAATTATTACAAAATTACTTAGACGACACGGCAGACATTCAATCGACAACACTAATTGCTGTCCGAGCATTTCCACACGAACTGAATTCAGATACAGTGAAAAATTGGATTTTGAAGTGAATAAGATTTATTTTGGATTTGAAATTTAAGCTTAAAAATTATTTTTTATTTAGTTATCAAGAACTCTTAAACCAATGGAAATTCTGGTTTGAAAGAGCAGATTTCGACTTAATGTTGGTGAAATACAGAAAGGAAAGGCCTCTCCCACAAGTTTACATATCTTGCACTTACTGTGGTAAAAATATATCGGCTCATCTTAGAAGTTTGAAAAGTCAACAGTTTTCAAGGATTAATGTGGCTGGATCAACAAATAAGGTAATTAAATACAACTTGATAATTCCAGATTAGACCGAACATAGCTGCAATATAGATTTCTAAACACCAAGGTCTGTAACTGATTTGTTTAAATTATCTATTTATATTTTTTTAGTTAACTGGTTGCCCCCACTGTAGAAAACCCCTACCAAGATGTATAATATGCCTTATGACAATGGGCACTAGTATAAGTGATATTGATTGCATTAGCCCGCAGTCTTTTGATAATTGGTTTACTTGGTGTCAAAGTTGCAGGCATGGCGGACATTCCAGGCATATTACGAACTGGTTTAAGTGAGTTGAATGTGCAAGCATATTTTCTTTAAAAAAATTCCAACGATATTTTTTCAGGGAACATTTGGAGTGTCCAATGGTTGGCTGTTCCTGTAAATGTTATTCTTTGGACTACACATCACCTGCCAACTAGTGAAAACGTGCTGCATGTTTCTTCTCAGATCTGGTTCCTACTTTTAGTATTTTTATCAAGTGAAAACGAACTTTTTTAGAGGTGTCAACTTTTTGAAGTAATGCACTAATACATTTTTATTATTTTATGTAGATTATAAGATTTTTTCTTAAAATTATAGTGAAAATTTGGTATGTTTATTCCTTGAAATCATACATTTTTGTTTTTCAAATCAAATGATCTGACAATGCAACGATGCACTTAAATGTAGTTGGGTGATTTGTGATTGTACATTGTTCAGCTTACCAAATATAAGCCGTACTTTTTGACATATTGACTAGTTTTTTTAAATATTTTTTACATAGTAGTAAAACGCTTTTGGTGTCTATGGTTCCTACCTATGTAATAATTTTTTCTTCGAGTGGTTGCAGGGACAAATCGGGGGTACGGTACGGTACAGGAATTTTCAAAAAGCAACCCTACATGGAAAATGCCTGAAAATTTGAATACGCTAGCATTAGCCGTTGGAACTTGGCATTTCAAATATGTGCACAAAAAATATACTAAAAAAATCACTCGTACATCTGTGATGAAAAGCTGCAGGGTTTCTTGTTTTACAGAATCATATTTTTTCAACTTTGGGGCGCCAAACTCGTTAAAGGGTAGGTGATGGACATATGCTGTCGCTGAAGAAATATAGTCCTTTATAATCTACCATGGAGGTTTTTTTGTGTGAAAAGTACCAGGAGGGCTACAATTTGCAAAAAAGCAAAAACTACCCCCTTCAGGAGCTTGAAACGGGGTGATCCCGGTGAAATTCTTTTGTGAATATGCCCAGTTCGTAATCAGCACCCCAAATCTATATGAAGAAGATTAACACTCCGCTATTATCGAGTTTGCGTAGTAAAACCTTAATTGCCTGGGCTAATACCTGAAATACCCCAAGGATTGATACACACTACTACTACAGGATGGCCTATCCTCATAAGGCCTGTGTGTAAAAAAAAGTGATACCCTGTATCTCAAAAGTTAAGACGTTTAGAAAATACGTCCGTATGAAGTTCTCTTTTTAAAATGCACCCAAAAATCGCCTACTTAAATATAGTCATTGAATTAGAAAACACCCTGTATAGTGATTTATAATTTTATCTATTATCAAAGATGCCAAAAGTGGCACATTTCACTTTGGAAATGCACTTTGAAAAATTTGGCAGGATTCACACTTAAGTATTAAATAATATTATCCTTTTTTAAATTTTTAAGATAAAAAAGACTGAAGCTGGAGCAGAATCTCTGTTTATTTCAATTTTATTGTATTTTTATTTCTCTGCTAATGACCCTCAGTCCTGACCTGCAACGTGACTGTCAATCAGACACGTCATTACTGTCAATTGTCATTACATATAGTTAATTTAGTATATGGAGTATATCTGTCTTTTTTTAATCATGTAATAAAAAGAGATGGAAAATAAGGTCCCGCCGCCATTTTGTGTACATCAAATACGTTGTTTTCAATTTTTTATGATGGATGGCCATTTAAATTTTATAGATTCTCATTTAAAATTAGCAATAGGCAGGGCACAAAATGGCGGCGTTTTCCATATAAATATAAAGAACCAATTAAAAATTAGACAGAAATTGTCGCCATTGTGGTAATAGAATAGAGCAAGGTTGACAAAATCGGGGCTCAAGCGGCCGTTGATCGAACTAATTTATTTCTTCTCCAGACCAAAAGTCCAGAAGTAGAAGTGCCAAATTTAAGTTTGATAGTATCTGGCTTAACTGTAAGTATTAATTAAACTATAACTCATTAATTATTATTAAATAGATACCTACTTGGTATAATTTTATCATAATCACGGGCAAAAAAAAAACATGTAAAACTTGGATGGCCGGTAGGTAATTATGCATGTACCTGCAAGCCAAGAGCTATCTATCCCCTAGGTATATAATAAACCTCATTTTTATTGAAATTAACTCTTAAATATTTGATTTTTTACATTATAACCAACCAAACAATGAAAAGGGAACGAGGGCCAGTATTTCCAGCCATTTTTTGAAACATATTTTTTGCAGTTTCATCTAATAATGAATGGCAAAACATTCCAGATGGCCAAAAGCTAATATCATGGCTTTTAAAAGTTATCAGTTTCAAAGTTATCAAAATTTTTAAACTAAATTGAGTTGGCCTGCAAAAAAAATCATGAGAAGCATCGTACACGTCTTGAGAAGTGAAACTTCTTAAAAACTATTTCCTCCCTGATACAACTTTTAGACTTAGCGTATGAGTAGTGGTGAAGACGAAGGGCCACACAAAAGGAGACGCGCATCTGCAGTGACGTCACGACGTCGACGCGACAATAACAGCCAATCCTCTTTGCTTATAATCCTTGTTTTGTGTCAATCGTTCGCTGGCTGCTCGGTCGGCTGACATAAATAAGTACGTTCAAAAATCATAGCCATCTTTGATTTACTTTTTTTTATGGAAGAGCCGGTATTTTACGTGTTCAACTACTGGAAACTGACTCGTTCTTGTAAAAGCTACTTTATGGATTTGAAAAAAATATCAGATCAGTTTTACAGAGTTTATAATACTTGAGATGCTAACTTCTCGAATCCAAAAATAAAATAAAATGAGTGCAGGATCCTATTTTTTGAAAGGAAACGTCAATTTTTGAGCGAGATGCGTTTCTCGATTTTGAGCGATACTGTGAAACCTTCATATAACTTTTTTGTTTGAGAAAATACATAATTCATTTCTACAAAAACTTTCTAGAGGTACTATTTCAGCAAATATTGATTTCCAATGACGTCCTCAATTTTTTTCTATTTGGTTCATTTTCTTGTATCTATCTCACTCAGAAATTGACTTTTCCTATTAAAAGTGTCCAAATTGAACCACCCTGTACATAATAGGTTTGTTCCAACCCGTCAAAAAACCCTCCCAGTCCTGTGCGTCAGTATTGGGCCCGAGCGTTTCTAAAGCAATGGGCTAGAAGAGGATCGAGCTATTGAGTTGCATCCGCGCTCTCCGGATTTAACTCTGTTGGATTTATTCCATGGGTCCTGGTTAACTATCTGGTAAAAATAACGACACCAGTTGACGAATTGACACAAATGTTTTTGAATTTTTGCTTGCTGTCAATAAATGTTGTAGAATAAATGCAGCATAATTAGAATATAAGTCAATTTGAGTACTATTCAAAAAATAATTTGGTCCTTCGAGCCGGATGGACTATTGATGACGCAGTTTACCGGCTTTGGTACCAACAGTAATTTCAGTTAATTCCTGAAATACCTATGAAAAGGACAGCTGTTGTTTTTGTTTATGATCGGCCTCGTTTTACTATCATTTGGTAAGTAGTAAATTGAGATAAAAATTATTCGCTGCATTTGTTAACGTTGACTGATTCACTAGATGCCTTGAAGGCAAAACGTGCAATAACAAAAAGTAGACTCACTCATTTTAAAAATCAGTTCAAAATTTGGACCAGTAAAATGTCAATGAAAATTTAATTAATCAATTAAAACTAAGGTTAGAGAAGTATTGCCCCTAACAATGAAGATGCACAAGAGTCTCAGGTCTTTTTTTTATAATTTGTAGTAAGTATTAGACAATGTTGTTCGAAAAGAGTGGGAGAGCTATAAATGCGAGCAAGAGTTACCATCCATGAAAGATTTAGGTAAATCAGTTGTGAAGTGTTAGAAAAGTTGGAAGTAACTATAACATTGATAAATCAACTATTAATAAATCTAGAAATCCAAATAGAAAGTAAATCCTGCAAAAATACAAATTTTGATAACAATGATGAAACTTCTAAATTTAAATGTTTTTATTGCAATCAATTTATTTTAATCTGTTTTAAAATTGTCTATTAATGATAGAATTTCAACTGTTACTCGTTTGAAACTTTGCAAAAATTGCCTAAGAAATAACTAACCATCCCACTTCGAAATGTAAAATGCCAAAATGCACCACTTGTTATAAATTGCATTATTCTTCATTGCATTTAGATTCTGTTTCAAATTTATCAGCCATTGCTGGTTCAAATTCAAAATGTTTCGTTATTTCTTCCATTACTGGAAAGTTGCCAGTTAGGTCCTTTAATAGAGATGTGTTAGATATTCCCTCAGATCTCCAATTAGCAGATCCCTAAATTTGTACTTATTCTGATGAAATCTATTTACTACTCGGGTCAGGTATTTTCTGGTCAATTTTGAGTTCAGGACGAAAAAGTTTAGGTTTAAAGAAGGAGGCACGATTTACATTGAAAATAGGCCCCCTTAAAATTCAACCAAATTTCAATATTTTAAAGGTATCATCATTGCAAAAAAAAAATTGAAATGTAAAGAGGATCGTATGTCTGTGATAGCAGATATAGCTTGTCAAAGTACGTAGGTCCTGCTATGGTATGCATAGGCAATATCGAAGGAATTATCCCTACGTAGATTTTCTTGAATATCTCGAAAAATACTAATCCGATTTTGACGTTTTTGGGGTTTGATACCTACAAAAGGACCCCAAAACCGTCAAAATTGGATTAGTATTTTTCGAAATATTCAAGAAAATCTATGTAGGGATATTTTCTCGGATATTTCCTATGCATAGCATAGCAGGACCTACGTACTTTGACAAGCTATATCTGCTATCACAGACATACGATCCTCTTTACATTTCAAATTTTCTTTTGCAATGATGATACCTTTAAAATATTGAAATTTGGTTAAAATATACGGGGGCCTATTTTCAATGTAAATCGTGCCTCCTTCTTTACCAGTGTTGCAAAATACACACCTCGGTTGGATGATAGTGGGTAATTTGAGCTTGTATCCTTCAAAAAATTATCAAACCAATTTTTCTTTTTTGGAGTATAAACAATCCGTTTCAATCTCTCAATGAAAATATTTGTAAATTCTGGGAAATAGAAGAGGTGCATAATGGAAATAACATTTTAACTGAGTCTGAAAGATATTGTGAACAATATTTTCATTAAACAGTTCAAAAAAACGATATTGGTAGATATGTTGCCATTCAAAGATTCTGTCAAGCATCTAGGGGCCTCTAGAACTATGGCAATACATAGATTTTCTTTGTTGGAAAAAAGATTTAGCAAAAATTTAGATTCAAAGAAACAATATTCCGAATTTATGTTAGAATGTATTCAGTTGAATCATATGTCAAAAGTAAAAGACGAATGCAATGATTTAGAATATTTTTTGCCTCATCATGCCATAATCAAGCCCTCTTGTTTAACAACAAAGTGTCACGTTGTATTTAACGGTTCAGCAAAATCAAGTTCTGGAATTTCCATTAATGACGTCCAATAAGTCGGGCCAACTGTTCAGCAGGATATTTTCGGACAACCAAACGTAGACCCGGAAACAATAATGAAACACCACCCAGTGAAAGACCTGTACAACCTTGTACAAGGCACAGAAATACAGGAGTGGTTGGAATAAACCACACAGGCTAAGTACAATAAGGCTTCTCAGGCTTCAGTGCTGCATGTGGGGACAATAAGTCAGATATGCCTGGAACAAGGGGAAAAATTCAGTATTGGATAAAATAAAATGCTAATTCTCCTACGTTTGCAGGTTTATGGAATGCGGGAATAAAAATCAATCAAATTACATTTAAAACGAGTTTTGGGTACTCATTCTTTACACTGCGAAGATTTCAGCACATTGTTAACTCAGGTAGAGGGTATTTTGAATTCTCGTCCAATATCAGATGACCCCGATGATATGTCCAGTTTGACACCGGCCCAATTTTTAATTGGTCGTACTTTGACCATATTACCTGAAATTGACATATTCCACGTTCCTGAAAATCGATTGAATAAATGGCAGAGAATTCAAGCAATGGTTCAAGTAATCTGGAAAAGATGGCAACTTGAATATTTAAATGAGCTACAAGTTCGACGTAAATGGAAACTCAATAGTCAGCGGCTTCTAGAATTGGGAACGTTGGTCTTGGTCAAGGATGACCGAACCTCCCCTCTTCAATGGCCTCCGTTAAGTTACATCCAAGCCCTGATGGGTTGTGACAGTGAAGGTGCGCGGAGTTGAATTAAAAAGAGCTATCAATCGTATTTGTGCACTACCTCTTGAATTTGGAAGAAGACGGTACACTTGAAAGCATTGTTGATCTGGTAACAATAACGACACCAGTCGACGAATTGACTTGGAATGTTTTTGAATTTTTGCTTGCTGTCAACAGAAGTAGAATAAATGCAGCCTAATTAGAATATACTTCAATTATTGACTACCATTCAAAACATGAAAAAACAACTTTGGAAAGTAAAATCTATATACGACCAAACCAACATGTCTATGGAAAACCTACAACACCAGATTGATTTGATTATTTTTCTTTTTTTAAAAGAACGAGACAATTTACATTTACTTTGGGGTTTTAATCTTATAGATAAAAATTCCTTCTTTCTTCAAAAAAAGCATCATTCACACCATTTAAAAATTTCGAGATAATTATCACCCAGCCAGATAGTTGACGTTGATTAAGGGATGAAACTGCAAAAAATCTGTTTCAACACATTATTAAGTTTTTTTTTTAAATGAGCTTTCGTGCCCAATTCTGGCCGTATTTCGTTTTCAGATGATCACTGTAAAGGTATTAGTCGAAGTCTATTCATAGAAAACTATGTCAAGCGCCTTTAAAAGTTGCAATACTAATTTTCTAACAACCTTTCTGATTTAAATTAGTTACAGGGATGTCAGGCTCGGAATTTGAAGTTATGGAAGTAGACAGCGAAACAGACAGTGGTAATATATATTTTTTTAAGTATTATTATTCTTTAAATTATGGCATTCTTCAATTTTCAACATACAGCAGCGTCTCGGTAATGTTAACAAAAAAAATCTGAGGTTGTTCGAGACTGCGGACGATTAAAAAAATAACAGATGCATTAACTTTGCTAACTAATTTCTTTGTATTTGTTTTGCATAAAAGTATCTTCGCATATGAATAATAATACATAATTTCCTCAATATGTACAGGGTGTCCGAATTTGGATGGTTTTAATAGGAAACGTCAATTTCTGAGCAAGATAGAAAAAAATGAACCCCCCACTCCGAGGCCCAGATTTCTTGAAATTTTGATTGGTGAAAACGGCATTTTGATATCTTCAACCGTTTAGCCGCTAGAGGGCGATTCTCGATTTTGTGCAATACTGTGAAATCTTCATAACTTTTTTGTTTATAAAAATAACTGATTTCCGTAAAAACTTCCTAAATGCACTTTTTCAAGCAGAATTCAGTGACGTTTTCAGTTTTTTTCTATTGGGCCTCGATTTCAAGATATTGACCAAAATCCGAATTTTTTCAATGGGACACCCTATATATTAATAGCTCTCTTAAAAGCTCTGCTTTTCCTGATTTCATTGATATAAATTTCGATAGGTTTATCTCTAACAGTTTTCGGAAAAAAAATTATTTCGTTTTTTTCCATAAGAAACATTGTATTAAAAAAGGTCTTTATATTTGTAAGGAAACTGAGAAAGGTCTCTTTCTAACTCATTATTTCTTATGACAAAAACCAAAATATTTTTTTTCCTGGAAAATTGTTAGAGATAAACCCATCGAAAGTTGTATCATTGAAATCAGCAAAAGCAGAGCTTTCTAAAAAGCTATTAATATATAGGGTGTCCCATTGAGAAAAATCGGATTTTGGTCAATATCTTTAAATCGAGGCCCAATAGGAAAAAACTGAAAACGTCACTGAATTCTGCTTGAAAAAGTGCCTTTAGGAAGTTTTTACGGAAATCAGTTATTTTCATAAACAAAAAAGTTATGAAGATTTCAGTGTATTGCTCAAAATCGAGAATCGCCCTCTAGCGGCTAAACGGTTGAAGATATCAAAATGCGGTTTGCAACAATCAAAATTTCAAGAAATTTGAGTCTCGGAGTGGGGGGTTCATTTTTTTGTATCTTGCTCAGAAATTGACGTTTCCTATTAAAACCATCCAAATTCGGACACCCTGTACAGTGAGAATCATTGCAATTGGCACACACTTTATAAACATCCCCAATCCCCCGTAATGTGTCAAAATTTTACTTATTTGACAAACAGGTAATATCAAAATCGTGTCAGATTGATAAATCAGTGGTGAACATAACAGTTTTAAATCTATGGTTTTGATAAACTGTTTAAGGAAAAAAAATATTTGTTTGCTAAAATGGTTTACCATATACTTAACAATGACAAAAAGGCAAGAGCCAATTGACATGATAGCACAAGGTGAGACAATTCGAGCAGTTGTACGTAGCACGATCATGAATTAAATGGGTCGACAGGGGTTAAAATATAACGTACACCACTGCACTGATTAAATTTATTGGTTAGAATTTTGACTTAATACGAGGGATGTTGAAAGAGTATGTGCCAATTGCAATGATTCCCATTGTACCGGGTGTTTTTTTATCTTTAATATCATTTTAATCACCTGTAACTTTTTTGTGTTCAAAATTTGAAAGCTGTATATTCTGAACCACCTACAAAAAAATTCTTAGACCCTAAAGCTTTTCTGGGTCTTGAATATTTGGACTTCTCAGCTGTCACTGGATGTTTGGATTGGAAAGATGGTACTGGCAGCCTTCCGGAAAGTGATTTTAAATTTTTTTTCAATGAATTTGGAATATTGGAAATGGTTGATGATACCAAGTTTGAAACTAACGAGGAAATTTTTAAAAAGCCGAGAGAATTGAAGGAGAAAGATAACATGGAACAACTAACACTGCAATGTGAGACATGTAGGCGCAAGGGAACCCCAGCAAATTTTTTTCAAAGTAAATTTTGTAGTGTGGGTTGTCAGGACCTAGCAGTGATAAAACAACAAGAACCATCCACAGGTTAGTTTCTTTTTTTTTTTAACTCAAACTAAGTAACTTTAGTTTAAAGTAGGTATGTGACGACGAAGTTTTTTTTTTAATACATTCAAATTCTGGCATTATTAATTTCAAATAGACTGTTTTATCAAAGTTTCTGAAAAATTGATTGGCATTGTTTCAATTTCGACTGGCTGTAAAATTGAAACTGAATTGCTCCGCTTTAGTTTTTACAAGTTACCATTTGGCACTATTTTTGAATTTTATTTTTTGAAAATATTATCACAGCTCGATGCTGAATCGGAGCAAGGGTGTTAAAAAAACTTTTTCCAGTGTTTTCAGTAATGGTTACCAATCTAATGATAAACCGAACGACATTAATGAATGGGGGCGATCATCGGTAAATGCCGTGCTCCAAATGGAACCTCCCACATAAAAAATACAGTTTTAAGTTTTTTAATCGCTCAAATCCATTAAACGTAAACAAGAGAATTTTGACACTCAGGATTTTGGCCACCAATAGAAGTTTTTTGGGCAAACTTAAGTTTTTTTTAAGTTTAGTGTGCTTACGGGCTTATCAAACATGGCATTGATTATTATCGGCGAATTGCATTCAAGATTCCAAAATTTTGGTGTAATCAAATGTTAGTTTTTTATTTGTATAGGTTAGTGGGGGAGCGTATAGGCCCCTCCACAAGAAAATTGGTTTTTGAAAATAGTAAATAAGCCCAAATTTTTTTAGTGGTGCCCAAAGAAGCACAAAATTCTGTAATGCAGACTATCAAGATGCTTTTATTAGGTTTTTAAAATAGTTTGAATAAGCGCCTTTTTCTGTTTTACAGTGGCGGATCCACGGGGGGGGGGAAGGGTAATTACCCCCCCCCCTCCAGAGAGACCTAAGAAATTTTCAATTATTAAAAAAACACACAAATTATTTTTTGGAGGCTTAAAATGGGTTTTGGGCGTGGCCCCCGAAAAATTTTTCTGCCTCCCTTCTGTGAGCTTCACCTACTTGGTCTTACTTTGGGTGTGAACCCGTTCAAGTATAGACCACGAGCCGTTAAAGGTTGAGAAGCTCTACCACCCCAGAATGGTACTATAAATCCGCCACCGTCTGTTTAGAGAACTGAAAAAACTTTTGCAGTGGGTCTCTTGTCACTTGATATATGATATTCTATTCTTGAATTCTTTGCATTAACTGATTTTACACAGATCTATATTGAATTTCCAGAGTCACGCGCAAAAACAGACAATGATGTCGAAGAATCGAGCGCAAAAGCTGGGACCTCGTATGAAACATTTCTGAAGAAACTTACTCTGGAACTCATTTCCAACTGGCAAGGTAAAAACAAGAAATTTTCGTGGAAAAAATATTTGAATTATGTGAAGGCCGAAGCAGCTCCTGTTGCTTTGTTTAAAAATCCGTTTCCTGCAAATCGAAACATATTTCAAATTGGCATGAAATTGGAGGGAATTGATCCAAAGCATCCGTCGAAATTTTGCATTATGACCATTAAGGATGTTATTGGGTATAGGATTTGCATGCATTTTGATGGGTAAGTTTAAAAATTATATAAATATAAAATGTTCTCAACCTATGAAAAAGAGTTTAACTAGTTCGTCCCAGTCCAGACTAGTTTATCCCAAAATCATTTTGATGTTATTAGCAAAAACTGATAATTATCGGTCTATAACGTTCCACGTCTTTCGATCTTTGTCAATCCACATCTTCATCCAAGCCTCTGTCTCTCATTTCCTTGTCTTCTGTGCTTTTCTTCTTCCACTCAACTATTTGCTTGGGTATTCTCGTACATGTCTGAACCAAATAAGTTGTTTGTTTTTATATCATCTATGTGCGCCTCTTAGATACTTCCTCTATAGTTTTCTGGTTTGTTATACTAGTGAAGTATCTCCGATCGTTATCAAGCTAAATAAAAATTTTACGTATAAGTTATTCAAGCGGATTTTGAGCGAATGACTAACAAGCACATTGTCAAAGCTTGCAGAACTGATTCAGTGGACCTTTATAACTAACTTTTTTTCTAGATATCCATCGAAATATGACTTTTGGATAAATGCGGATAGTCCAGACATATTCCCAATGGGCTGGTGTAAAAGGAATAATCACACGATATGCCCACCTCCTCCATATACAGCAAAGAACTTCGATTCGCTACTGTATCTTAAAAAAACGAAAGGCTTAGCAACACCAAATTACCATTTTTTCAAGAAAGCGTTTGAAATGATCAGTCCAAGCGGCTTCCGTATTGGCATGAAGTTAGAAGCAGTTCACAAACTAGAATTATCCCGAATATATGTCGCAACTATCTTAGACATTATGGATAACAGGATTTTGGTGCACTTTGATGGCCGAGACGATATTGATGATTTTTGGGCTGAGCCCACTTCACCTTTTATTCATCCTGTAGGTTGGTGTGAAAAGAATGGCCATAATTTGACTGCACCAAGTAGTAAGTGAATTCAAATGTTATTCCCATTAATCCAGTGAATTCTTATTATAAGACAAAATAAGGGGAAAAGATTTTGGAAAAACTAATACGTGAGACATGTCTCAAAACTGAAGGGAAACTTTTCGCCTTTATTGGTATTATAAGCCTGATTCTTGTTTTTTTTCCACAGATTATCCTCCTAAAACTTTTACATGGAAACAATACCTGAAGGAGTCCAAAGCAGTGGCAGCACCGGCCAGGTCTTTCAAGCCGAGAACTGGCAAAGTGGCTGTCTTCAAGAAGGGCATGAGACTGGAATGTGTGGATAAGAGAGTGAGGAATTTCAAATTGTTTTTATTCTGCTTACCCAATAAGTTTCAATGTGAAAATTTTTATGTTTTTCCTTTGTTCATTGTCAACATTCCTTCTGAAAAATATATCTTCATTCTAATTGGTTCTACTTTCCAAATATATTGTTGGAAGTATAACATACCTACATTAAAAATTAAAATAGGTGAAATTTTTTGGCATTTTTGTTCAAAACTACTGTACAGGGTGGTCCAAATTGGACACTTTCTTATGGAATCACCTTTCATTTTTAGAGATAGAAAAAAATTAACCCCCCACTCTGAAGCTCAAATTTCATGAAATATTGATTGGTGCAAACCGAATTTTGATATCTTCAACCGTTTAGCCGCTAGAGGGCGATTCTCTATTTTGAGCAATCCTGTGAAACCTTGATAACTTTTTTGTTTATGAAAATAATTGATTTCCGTTAAAACTTTCTAGAAGCACTTTTTTAAGCGGAATTCAGTGACGTTCTCAGTTTTTTTCTATTCGCTTCCAATTTCGAGATATTGACCAAAATTCGATTTTTTTCAATGGGACATTCTATATATTAATAGCTCATTGGAAAGCTCTGCTTTTGATGATTTCAATGATATAAAGTTCGATTGGTTAATCTTCAACCGTTTCCGAGAAAAAAATTATTTTGGTTTTTGTCATAAGAAACAATGTGTTGGAAAAGGACTTTATATCTGTAAGGAAAACGAGAAAGGTCTCTTTCTAACACATTATTTCTGGCCAAAATAGAAATATTTTTTTTCTCAGAAACCGTTGGAGATAAATCTATCGAAATTTATATCATCGAAAACAGGAAAAGCAGAGCTTTCCAATGAGCTATTAATATATAGGATGTTCCTTTGAAAAAAATCGGATTTTGGTCAATATTTCGAAATCGGAGGCAAATAGAAAAAAACTGAGAAGGTCACTGAATTCCCCTTAGAAAACTGCTTCCAGAAAGTTTTTACAGAAATCAATTATTTTCATAAACAAAAAAGTTATGAAGCTTTCACAGTATTGCTCAAAATCGAAAATCGCCCTCTAGCGGCTAAACGGTTGAAGATATCAGAATGCGGTTTGCACCAATCAAGATTTCATGAAATTTGAGCTTCAGAGTGTGGGGATCATCCTTTCCTATCACTAAAAATAAAGGGTGTTGCCATAAGAAAGTGTCCAATTTGGACTGTACAGTTTTGATGCATTTTATAGCTGCAATGAAAAAAAAAACTTCTCATGTGGCTTAGAGAATTTTATATAATTCCAGTATTACTAGCAATAATTTTACAAAACTTTTTTCAAGGCTCCTCATGTAATAAGAGTAGCAACAGTAAATGACGTCACAGAACATCATATTGAAATAGTTTTCGATGGGTGGCCTTATAAGTACAGCTACTGGGTGGAGAACGTTAGTCCTGATATCCATCCACCCAATTGGAGTCAGAAGACAGGTCATCCTGTAGATCCACCATTAAGTAAGTCAAAAACTTTCAGGCAAGAGATTAACCCTTTTTTTTCTTAGCACCAGAAGACCTATATAATTCTTCTGAATGCACTACAGTGGGCTGTAGGGGTCAAGGACACACTGAAGGATTGACAACGCATTCTTCCCGAGAATTTTGTCCCTATGCGGACGAGAACATTGACAAAGTGTTGCCTGACAGGTTACTGAATCCTGATAGTGAATAATTGTGTTCAAGACGACCAGAGAATAACAGGTAAGTTTGCAGCATTAATTTGGGTTATAGATGCATACAGAACGAATGTTAATCTAGTTTGTAGTAGCAATTTTTTATTTTTCTTTACATAGAAATTATTTCTAGATCGTTTTCAAGAGAACACGCGATCATTAAGTACTATTGTTATTTTCAGATTCTCCACCATGCTGCCTACTTGGAATTGAAAGTATTTATATTAATATAGTATGTAGATGTAGTAGTATTTAGTGTAGTGTAGTATCTAGTATTTATTTTAGTATTTAAATTAAAGTTCCTATTGTTGTTTTTAAAAATTCAAAAAGATAGTTTTTTAAATAAATAAAAATTTTATCAATGTATTAACAATATCAACAATAATCTAAAGATGAATATTTTTTTTTCATAACAGGTAAGTAGATAATTGATACATGTAGTACGTTATTTAATTTATTTATCACAATATTTAATAACTAATAATAGCAGTGCACAACAAGAAGAAAATGCAGTAGTCTCGATAACGTGAGAACGTCCCATATTGTGAACATCCCTAAAGGTGAACAGCCAAATTGGTCTTTAGCCTATTCTAAAACGTGAATTCCAAAAAAATATCTCGCCTCTATAACGTAAACAAAGAACATTTTTCTACCAATATCGAACAATGGAATAAAAATGATCGTTGAACATGATGAAAATTGTACTGCAATTCCCGATAATTCAGAAATCGAACAGGATTAAGATCCAGGGGTTTCTCAGTTTATGGATAAAGTCACTCGCCCTAAGGCAGTTTATTTAACAGAGTCTCATAGATTGGGCAGAGCAAAACATTGCCAACTTCTAGCATAAGTATTATTCGAGATATTCAGTCTCTACACCATAGAAATCTCTACACAAATTACGTGGATTATACTTAATAAATATTTTTTCTATGAAAATATATGTTCAAAGTATACGTTTCAAGTTAGTTTTTCATGCGATTAACTTCATCCAGTTACATGAACACCTTGAAAACATGAACACAATTATCCCCAATTAGTTCACGTTATCGAGACTCTACTGCATGGTTTATTTCATCCGTTTCAGCTAAGACTTTACGTCATCTAATGGTGATGTTTGTGGTGCTGTACCTTTTTGTAACTGCACTTGATTTTGGCGATAATCATCCAAAGGAAGTATAGTTTGTTTTGTTACTTCTATTATGAAACTCACGTCACGATAAGAACCTTTGGACTAGTAATTGACGAAATGGAATAAATGCAAAAACTTACCTACTTTAAATAGATGCGTTCGGGTACATTTTTGTATCGTTTCCCTTCCTGGTTGCGTTGGCCAATGGCCATTCTCCAGTTGGGAATAAATAACTTGTTTGCGAAGCCTGGGCATTATAATTGAAGCATTTTTCTTAAGCAAGCAGAATGAAGATTTTTGGTTCCTCCTAATGTTTAGGGTTTAGGGCCAGATATGAAGAAAATGCAAACAATTATTATTGTATGCATTGATTTCTGATATACACTGATTCAGACAGAAAAGGGCATTGCAAATTTTAATGGCTTCTGCTGGTAGAATTAATGAAATTGTTCAAAGTTTGACTCAGTGACAGAGTTACTGTTCAAAAAAGAAGAAGAAAGTCTAAAATATTTGAGTATTGAAAATGATTACCAATGATTTCCGTTTATGGAACAAAAATTAAAAGCCATTCTGTGAATAAAATTATTATAATACGTATTTCTTCTATTACCGGTACAAAGTACAATATGGAAAAGTTATATAAAATTTAAGCCCTGTTTCTTAATAATATACATATATAAATAACTGTTTATTTTTACAATAAGTTACTGAACAACATCGCACAAAATGAACTAACATTCAGTTCAAAAATCCCGCCAAATAGTAGAAATCGTTTTCAACAAAATTTCAGTGAAGCAAATGTTTTTTAAATGAAAAGTGAATTACATGCACATAACTTTAGTTAATTATCTGGCGGCCATCCATAAAAATTTTGCAACATTTAAAGCAATATATTTTAGAGATAATAAGTTTTATCTTAATAGGTACTTAATTATGGACAACAAATTTTTTGAATGATCATTTATTTATATTGATATTTTAGCATTTAATGTTTAAAAAAAAATCAGTCAATACATAATTACTAATATTCTTTCGTTCTTAACAAACTGTGTTCTTTCGATTTTGTATCACTTTCCCCACCATACCCACCTAATGATTTCACCCAGTTTATTCCTAGCCCCAAGTGATCAGAATTTTCACATTCACTTTTTTCAGATCATTTGTGAGTCAAAATCCGCTGATATAGATTCTTGTTCTTCCAATGCGACAAAAAAAAAGTGATGTGGAAATAGAAATCACTTTCAGTTAAATCAGATTAGTTTGTTCAGTTTGATTAGATCGAAAGAATAGATGAAATAATAAACTGAATTGTGAATTTTTAAATTTTATTTAAGAAGAAGCAACATTTTATTTTTTTTTTCAAATAAGAGACACTCTGTATAAGGAAGGTATACACAACTTTTTTGTCTTAAGCCGGGCTCAGACGACTCGTGTACTTGGCGAATACACAATTATTCGCGTACTTGGCAAGTATACTAGCTTTGGGAATTGCGATGGCAAGCAGGGCGCTCACACGACGTGTTCGCGCGAACATTTGGCTAAACCTTGATGCTCGTCGAAAACTAAATGAAATAGTCGCAGTAAAAGCCAATTATTTGTGCATTTCGTTTGAGCGCCTCTACAAGTATAGACAAGTATGAACTTGGCAAGTGTACGAATAATGGTGATCCCTTTGACTCGGGACATTTTTACCAATAAGAAATGGAAAACCAACGAGTGACGAATAATTGTACAAGTAACCCCCTCACACGACATGGCAAGTATACGCAAGTAACGATTATTCGCCAAGTACACGAGTCGTTTGAGCCCGGCTTAACACTATCCAAGAGATCCTGTGTAATGCTTCAAAGCATTCTTTTTCTTTTCTCTTGATGCTGATTGTCCTTCTCTATGCGTAAAAAGTTAGTACATTTATAATAATTACTATAATCACAGAAGTGAAACATATAAATATACTACGTTTCCAATAGTCCAGTGAATATACGGGTTTTTCAAAAAGTTTTACGACGGCAGGCTAATTTTTTCAGAGCTGATTGAAGACTGTGTCCTGTCTAAAAAATCACACCGGAAAGCCTTGCGCGTTCGGATTTATTGGCCTTTTTTTTTTCGACAAAATTGCCTTAATAAAAGTTCAAAAAAAAATAGTTCATAGCTCACAGAGATCTGTGTTCAATTATTCAATGTGAAGAAAAACACCAAGTCGTCATCTCAAAATTTTTCATGTTTCGCCCAATAATGAGCATCATCAGATCTATCAAAAGAAAACCTCTTACACTTAGAACAAACATAGTACAGAAACACATACCTTCAACTGAACTGCCAGAGTGAGTGTTTCCAACAGACGTATACACTTCAATACATCTTTACAAGAAAAAATTTAAAAACTTTAAAAATAAGTTCAACAAAAATGTGAAACATGTCCCGGAGCTGACAAGGGCAAGACAGGGAAGCCTAAAACTACACATAACCTAAACTACAATTCCAAGTATAAGGGGGACATGCGCAAGTTGTTCGGAGCCGGTACGACCATCTCAAGAATCCCGAGTGAGTACGTTAACGAAAGCTTCGTGGTAAATGAAAAAAGAAGAACAAGAAAATGCAAGCAGAAGAGGAGAACGACGTGACATCTGTCAGGAGAGAGAGACATAAAGCAAATGTTTTTGGAAAACAAATAATCCCCAACCCTAATGCCCTAATATGAAAATAGTAGGTATTCTTCAAATTATGTTGTTAAAAATTAAATTGGGTTCGAAATTAAATACGTCGTTCACAGAGGTGTCGTTTTAAACTGTTTATTGTTTTATAGGCTATATCACTATTGTAACACTTTCTTAGCTATGTGCGAAAAAAAAAGGGATTCTGATATAACCAATACCAATTCCGCCTTCGCAAACCACTTGTTGACCTCAGGGACACACTTCCATTCCTGTAAACGTTAAAGTTTTGCATCAATGTGATAAGTGAAGGAAATTGGACTTACTGGAGAAAATGGAAATAACTAGAGCCAAGAAGATCCCTGTCCTGACTCCTGACCTCTGTGAACGACGTGTTCAATTTCGAACCCAATTTAATTTTTAACAACATAATTTAAAGAATACTATTTTCATATTAGGGCATTAGGGTTCAGGATTATTTGTTTTTCGAAACCATTTGCTTTATGTCTCTCTCTCTTGACAGATGTCACGTCGTTCTCCTCTTCTGCTTGCGTTTTCTTGTTCTTCTTTTTTCATTTACCACGAAGCTTTCGTTAACGTACTCACTTGGGATTCTCGAGATGGTCGTACCTTGCCTACCGGCTCCGAACAACTTGCGCATGTCCTCCTTATACTTGGAATTGTTCTAAGTGAATGAGGTTTTCTTTTTATAGGTCTGATGACGCCCATTATTGGGCGAAATATGTAACCTTTACATTATTAAAAAAATTTGAGATCATGACTTTCTTCACATTGAATAATTCATAAAAGTTGTAGATTATTACATTCTGATCAACTTTGCCTTGACTTTTTTGCCAGCAATTTTAGTTTAGACGCTGCGACAATTTTAGTTTTGGGGAAAATTAAATAGCAAACCTGCAGGTGTCAACCATCATAATGACAAACATTTGCTTTTTTTAACCTTTAGCAGCCCGCGCTCTAGAATCTCCTGTAGGTACAGGCGGTGTATTATGTACACCACATTTATGAATGTGTGATTGAGTACATAAATCATAAGAATCATAAGAAAACATTTTGCCTTGATTTGTCATCTTCTGGAGTGGGTTTTTACCCATACATGCTCAAAAAATTTTAGAACCGGTACCATCTGTCGTCCAGAGTTCCAAAAAGTGGGTATGATTTTGTTTCGTATATCCAGATAACAATAGCAAACCCATAAATGCTTGCATTGCACCACAGTCTGGTGTAGTGCACTAAAGAAATTGTCAATAAATCAACTAACTTTCCAGCTACCAAAGCGTAACTGTCTGAGCACCTAGTAAACACGTCGGTCGTAGGTTACATCGAGGCGCATGAGTGGGGGATGCCGGATCGGGTTCTTACCGCTCTTTTCTTAGAAATGGTGTATTTTATACACCGGCGCGGGTAGTTAAAGGTTAAAAGATAAACACCCTGTATATTTTTGTCTAGAATGATAGATTTTTTTCTTCTTATTCCAAATATACCATTATGCTGATATTTGCTTCCCCTTTTTTGCGCTATTTAAGTTTAAGATTACATTAAGTAAGCCTCAGCATTCATGTAAGGAACTGGAAACAGACCTAATTTAGGTTAATGTGAATGCATTTTTGAACTCAAATAGCGTAGAAATAGCTGAACCAAATACCAACATATATGGTATATTTGGAATCAGAAGAAAAAAAATCAATCATTCTAACCAACAATAATAAAAAAATGAACGTGTTTGTCGCTATGACAGTTGGCACCTGTCATTTGCCCGTTTTGACATGTGCAAAAGATAATAGAGTTAACACCCCAGTCTCGTTTTGTCCTCGCCAGAGTGTGGGCGGTTGGTTTACCGGGTGGTGCACTAGAGGAGTGTAGAGACCAAATTTTGGCTCACCTCCGCGAGTAAAAACCGAGATTCATCGCCATCCGTGGATTTGTTTGCGTCTTTTTGACTAAGCCGGCTTAGATTCCTAGATAAACAGAAAGTTCGCGCGTGGTAACGTTGGCAAATAGGCGGCCAGAGTCTGAAACTTGTAAAAACGCTGTTTGTTTTGACAGAAAAAGGTTATATCCGGTTTCAGCGATTGATCTAGGCAAATCCTGGATGTGCCTTACACACAGAGAAAAATTGAAGATAGAAGAGATTGAAACGAATCTGTGTTCGAAACATGGCCCTGAGCCAGACGGCTTTCTGAACACAATCAAATGTGCTGGCAAATTGCCCTATTAGGAGCAGAAGCCAAGGACCCCAGGAAAAAAGAAAAAGAAGAGTTAACACCCCACAAGTTTTGTATTTAATTTTTTTTTTTAATTTTATTTAAAGTTGTAGAAGCCGCACTAATTATAAGGAACACACCCCAGCAGTATTGCTATTTATTTTTTTCCGAAATCTGAAGCACTAAAATAGTCGCAGCTCCTGAACTAAAATAGTTAGTAATAGAAGGCAAAGTTGATCAGAATGCAATTATCTACTTTTGTTAAGGTCCTTTTTTTGAAAAAAATAAATAAATAAAGAAAAGACCAATAGGGCCGAACGCACAAGCCTTTCGAGTGTGATTTTTTGGTTCAATACTCAGGACACAATCTCCAATCAGCTCTGAGAAAATCAGTCTGCCCTTGTAAATTTTTTTGAAAAGCCCATATATTTACTGGAATACAATGCAGACAATATTTGCCTGCATGTTCTATCCACATTTTATTTTGTTTTTTCAAACAAAATGTGTATTTATGTTTACCTTCAAATACATACATACATTACAAGTAGGAAAAAATAAATAATAAGAATATAAATTAACCAATCCAGAAACGCAGGAAAAAAATATTTAATTTCCCGATAAAGCTTATACTTTTACAGATTTTCAAAATATGTATCTTTTATGCCTGACATGTGAAAGAGTCCTTCGCACATGTTAAATGCACAGAAAACTAAAATTAAGTGATACAGATTACAGTGTGCCCAAAGTCTAGAGAAACACAACAGGCTATCCTGTAATCTTTCTAAAGAATTATGCACTTCAGTTTCTTTTTCTTGTTTTTGTCCTTGCCCCGGCCGTTGCTGGTTTTGTTTTCTTCCTTCTTTCTCGCTCTGATTTCTCGCATCAGGTCATAGAATACCTGAAAATGGGATATCTACTTTCAAACAAACGAAAAATAAAACCAACATTGGGGTTCTTGAATTTTACATTGTGATAGTAGCAATTCTCAGGTGGGCTTGGTCATACTGTCAACTGTGAAGTGTGATCTCATTGTTATATCAATATTTCTGCTTTTGTAATTGCAGTCACATGCTTCAACCAAACAAAATAGTCAAAAATATCAACGGCATTGTGTTTTTGGACAAACAAATTTTCACACCAATCCAATTGAATCACGAGAATCAGGGCCGGATTTAGGAATGTGGATGCCCCTGGGCAGAACTTCTTTCTTCTTCAAAAAACAAAAAAAAACAAAAAGTTTTACTATACTTTTATAAATAATATGTACCCATTTTAAAATAGAACGAAATACAAATTAAAGAACAGTTATTTGTACAGATATGAAAAATAAGAATAGAGAATTTAGTAATAAGAGGTATGGAAAAAGTCCTGGCACTTTTCTTTTCTTTCCTTCCATCTGTGCAGTTTTTTGAACCAATGGAAACCATTAATTTCCAATTTTGACAGTTTCTATGAAACACATAGGTATACTGGGTGTTTGGTAGGTCAAGGCATATATTTTGGGAGGTGATAGAGTAAATCATTTAGAACCTATTTAGTCAAACTTACCTTAGTACCAACTCTTATGGTTTTCAAAACATGGCCGATTCAATTTTTTCTTAAACAAATTTAACAAATCCTTTATTGAATGCGATATTCAGAAATAACTTCACAAATTATCACAGAAATTAGCCATACATTACCAAACTGTTTACTCATTTCAGTGTGAAAGTAAACATTTATTTTGTAAAAAGAAGATAAAAAAGGCTAGTCCAGTTTTTTCCCTGAATACTCATTTTTGGAAATCTGCAGTCTAACATTATTTTTGTGCAGCAATCTAAAAAAAAAATGTAATTTTTCTGTGGTATGTGGAATTTGACAAGGCACATGTGACAAAAGTTTTTAATTTAATAACCTTGATTGCTTTTATTTTATCTTATTTTCCGAAAAAACTCATTTTGCAATGGAGTTAATACTTTTTGTGACTTTAAAATGGCACTTGTATTGTTCATTTTCTATTTATTTTAGTTAATGCATTCAACACAAGAATTACACATTATGTTGAGATACAAAACAAACATAATTGAGATGGTATTTCTGAATATCGCATTAGGGCGCCCAACAAAGGATTTGTGAGATTTTTCTAAGAAAAAATTAAATCGGCCATATTTTGAAAACCATAAGATTTGGTACTGAGGCAAGTTTGACTAAAGAGGTTCTAAATTACTTACTCTATCACGCATCACTTACTAAAAGTGTATATTTTTTAACAAATTTTCCACATATATTAATGGTGTAAAAAATAACAATTATTGATTAAATGTTACTTTATTTTCATATACTTTATTTAATTAAATTTTACTTTTAATAGCCCAAGCATATCTACAGAAATTGGTTAACAATACTTCACTAGGGTGACGCGTTTTTTTTGTCACACAGTATATATGCATCGACCTACCAAACATCCTGTATATGCAAAAATTCCTATATTAGCCAAAATACAAATTGTAGATAACCTCACCTTATCAACATGTTCCCTTGTTTTGGCGGATGTCTCTACGTAAGGTACCCCCCATTTGTTGGCTCGGTCCTGGGCTTCTTGTAGAGTTACTTTTCGTTTTTCCTCAAGATCGCACTTGTTGCCCACCAATAAGAATGGGATCTGGTCGTCGTTTTTGACTCTCAATATTTGCTCTCTGAAATAAAAACATAATTATCGAATTATGTTAAAATTAATGAAAAAATAATTGAATATTGAAGTGCTGAATATTTGCCATTTAGAAATAATGTGGTATATACTTTTCACAAACAATGTTGACTTGGAATACCTAGTAAAATAAAATAAGCTGTGAAAGAATAATTGACAACACTTGTACAACGTCTTGCTAGGTAGACATCCAGTTTGTTTCTGTGTAAGCATTAGTTGCCAGTCGGTTTGAGTTTCATTGAATTTGGTGTAGAATAATGGATTCAGGCACGATAAAGTCCATTAAACAATTCTTTCTGATGAAAACAAAGACACTTTACTGATTTTCACTATATTTAACAAAACAAAGTTGATCAGCGGTCCATCACAATCCAGATGGAAAGCCACCAAAAATGACTCAAAAGAAAACAAAGATCAACTTTCTGAGCTCTAACAGCAGAGAGAACGATATGTTGATCCAGAACAGAAAAATATTCAAAAATAAGCCTAAATCATCTACCACTAAAATTAATGTCTGTTATTGAAGCAAATACACATGAAGTGAAGCTACCAAAATTAACATGAATGAAGATGAACCACAGTCTGATAGGAACAGCAATGGAGCTGAACATTGACTCCACAACAAGACCAGATTGAGCCAAACGTTGCGGCTGGTAATTACGTTATCATATATGAACATGATCATTTTCCTGGAATCATTGAGGAAATTAAGAACACTAGAGCCATTGTACTTAAAGGATGCAAAATGTCTTCTTAATATCCTTAGTGTCAATCAATATGGCTTCCAAGCTTCCAGGGAAACGCATGATGCCATTTTTAAGTTTCTGGAGAATGTTTATTGGTCCTTAAATGACAGAATCAACTGCAGCGGTATTCTGCGATCTGTCCAAAGCCTTTGATTGTGTTGATCATGAGCTGTTGCTTTCTAAACTTGAGTGTTATGGTTTTAGGGGGACTGCTTTGGCTTGGTTCAGGTCCTATTTTTCGGGTCGACGTCAACGTGTCTTGCTTTCTGGTAGCTACTCCGATTCTCTAGCTATCAACTGTGGAGTGCCTCAAGGGTCTGTTTTAGGCCCCTTACTGTTCCTATTATATTTCAATGATCTGAACTTTCTGCCAATTCAGGGAAAAAATTATTCAGTTTGCTGATGATAAAAATAGTTTTTGGCGTCACCCTGATGTGGAAGTGCTAGGGGCTCTAATGGCATCTGAGCTGACTACTATTAGAGAGTGGTTGCCTCTAATAAGTTGGTTTTTAATGCGGGTAAGACTAGTGTTATGAGGTTTAAGTGCAGTGTTGTTGGTCTGCGGCTTGATGATAATAGTCACATCCGCGATAGGGATGAGTGCCGGATTTTGGGCCTCCTTATTGAGACGCCCATTCTGAATTTGTGGAGTAAATTGTCATCAGGTTGTTTTGCAGTTTTGCATTGAGGTTGGCTGAACGGGAACTGGGCAAGGGAGTTGCACGTATGGTGTATTTTGCACTTGTTGAGTCGCGCCTCCGATATGGTTTGCAATTTTGGGGTTTTACATCAAAAACCCTATTCAATGTTCTTTTGATTCTGCAAAAGAAAGCTCTAAGGATTGTTTGTGGTGCGGGTGCTAGGGATTCGTGTAAACCATTGTTTGTTTCTGAAGGTATACTCACTTTGCCCTGCCTTTTTGTCTTGGATACTTCTGTTTTAGTTCACAAATATCGTCAAATCAAATCAAATATGCTTTATTGTCCAAAATACAGGGTATTCATTGACAAAGCCTTATAACTACTTATAAGTATGTATAAATGTCACTAGTACTTCTAATAAATATAAAAAACAAATACTTAAATCTAGTGTTTATCTTTTTTTCTTTCCGTTCTTGATTACATTCCACCTCAATTTGAAAATTAAAACAATACAGATTAAAATTAAAATACAAAAATAACTTAAAAGAAAAACATTACAAATTTAGATAAAACAAATTAGATAAAACAATCACAACTATACAGATGTGGCTCCAACAATAGGTACATCACAGCAGGAAAACCAATACAAACAGCAAAACTTTGAGCACAAGACAAAAATTTTACTTAAATTTAAAAGCCGCAGAATTCAAGCTCGAGAGCTGTCTTGATGAAATTCTTCTAGGCTATAGTATGCCTTACCAGCAAGGAGGTCCACCACGGTCTTTCGAAATGGTTTATATGGCAAAGATCTACAGGTCACATTAAGATGGTTGTAAATCTTAATACTCTCGTACATTATAGAGCGCTTAGTAAAGGTAGACTTTGGGATTGGAAGACGAATATTAGAACTCTGCCTGGTATTATAAGCATTCTGTCTATTATCCCAAGTGACACCACCTGAGTACTTCCGGTGTATTAAACAAACCGTTTCTAAAATAAACAAACATATCACAGTTAAAACCTTGAATTTAACAAATAATGGTCTGCAGTGATCCCTGGGATTCGCTCTGCACATATATCTAAGTGCTCTCTTTTGAATAACAAATATAGAGTTCAGAAGTTGCAGACTACAAAAGCCCCAAAACACAATGCCATATCTTAGACGAGACTCGAGCAAAGAATGGTATACCATCTTTGCCGCTGAAGAACCAAGCTCCACAGATACCACCCTGATTGCGAAGCAACTTGATGCCAATCTCTTGCCAAGCTCAGTAATATGTTTCTCAAACTTCAGCTTCGTATCAATATAAAGACCTAGAAACTTTGTATCCGTTCTGCTTTCTATAGGTTGATCATCCATGGTAAGATGGTTAAGAGCAAAACCAAATGTCAAAATATTAGTTTTGCTTATATTGAAACACAAAAAATTTGAGTCACACCAAGTCTTCATTTTTTTTAAGTCACTATCAACAGCATTTCTCAAATGTTCCTGATCTGACAATAACGGGCCTAGAACCGAACCCTGAGGCACTCCAAAGTCCACACCAGATAAAGCAGAACAGCCTACGTCAGTCTTCACAAACTGCAACCTTTCTGAAAGATATGGCTCAAACCAACGATGTTCTGCATTGCGGATGCCATAGTGATGAAGCTTTTGCAGCAGGATTCGATGATTAACACAGTCAAAAGCTTTAGAGAAATCGCAAAACACCGTGGCAAGAGCCTCGCCCTCATTCAGACTAAGATATATATTCTCGAGCAGTGAGAATATAGCATCGCTGGTGTTTTTGGATGCTTGAAAACCAAACTGGCTGGGTGTTATAAGGTTATTAGTCATGAGGAAGTGCAGTAATCTTGATTTTATAAGCTTCTCGATAACCTTGGAGAGGGTGGTTAGGAGAGAAATAGGCCGATAGTTGGAGGGATCATCAGAATCACCCCCCTTATGTAAAGGAATTACAAGTGCTTTTTTCAGGCACAGAGTCATGAGTTCACAGTTACTGAGAGTGGTTATATGACTCATGGCTTAAACAGTATTCCGCTTCCCATACCTTCAAGCACACTGACTAAGCGATCCCTTATTTATGAGAGCAAGAAGATCTTCAATCATTTGCCTGATTCAATTAAGAATATCCAGTCTGCTTCAAAATTTAAGAAGGAACTAAACTCTAAAGCTCACCAAACCGTATTACGATTTGGCGGAGTTTTATAATGGGGGTTTTTGATAGTGTTTTGTGATTGTGCCACATTAATTAAATAATAACTTTACAAAACTTTATGTTCATTTTAATTTTTTTTTTTACCGGCTTTTTCATCTCTAGTCAATATTTCAAACCATTAGGCGGTTACACACGGACGTGGATGTCTGAAAACATGTACGCACATACATGACTGTGCAAACAAAAGCATCAATGTGTATGCAAAATACCGTCACGTTTTTGAATGTGCAATTTTGTATGCACACTCGGAACACTGTAGCAAGAATAGCAAGACTGCAGTTTTGTGCGAGCGTCTGTACAAAAGCGCCATGCACGTTGATGTATGTACGTATATGTATTAAGACATCCACGTCCGTGTGTAACCGCCCATTATGTAGTGTAAGAGTTTAATTTGGAGTATTATTTATACTATATTGTACTGTTAGCTTATAAGTCTTAGTTTTTCATGCTTTGTTATAGGAATTTATTTCTTAACAATACAGTACATTTTCTTTCTTTCTTTCTTTTTTTCTAATCCCTGGAAGCGGCATAATAAAGAGGATAGTTTGAAGTATAAATTTCAAGATAATGAGTAAAGAATAAAGAAACCTACTTGAGAACCTATTAAGGCCAATGAGAGAGAGAGAGGCATTTTGTGTTCCAGAATTTTGCCAATTACATTGAATTTATAACTTCACAATGCTTCAGTTATTGGCTGTTGTCGATTCGCTTTGGTCCGTCTTTAAGGCCAACCAAATTAGAACCAACCGTTTTCGATTGCAAACGGGTGGGGTGACAGGCATCGCTTGGTCCGTCTAAATTCGAACCAGCTTCGCGAGTTAGTTCGAATTTTGGTTTTGAATTTAGTCTCGCTTTCATAACCTTAAAACATGGCGTCTTTCTTGACAGACCAAGACCGAGTCTTTAATGAGCATTTAATGTCTGTGCAAATGGAATTACAATTTTCGTTGTTTTTCCCACTTTTTCGCTCATGTTCTGCTGGCTTAAGTCAAAGGTAGTAGACAGCCATTTTCGCGAAAATTCGCGGAGCCTTAAATTTTTCATCACACTATTTAATTAGCCTTTAATGCATTCACAACGACTGCACTATCGGAACACTGATTTTCATCATCAGAGGTTTTTCCGCCATGCTTGGCCGACATCACCCACGCATCGCGACTTTTCGCATTTTCACAAGAACAGTAATTGAGCCTGAATTCGCGACTGGTGTATTTAATGAGCCTGTAATGTATGTACAAATGAATTTGCAATTTCCGTTCTTTTAGAAACTTTTTCACTTATGGTCTGCCCTCGGGTCTGCCGGCTTAAGTTAAAGCTAGCCAGAACAGCCATTTTCACGAGAATTCGCAGACCCTAAAATTTCTCATTACAGCATTTAATGTATTTACTACGACTGCATTATCGGAGCACTGATTTCGACCTTCTGAGAGGTTTTTTCGCATTCTCGGCCGACATCACCCAAGCATCACGACTTTTCGCTGTTTCACAAAAAAGTAATTGAGCCTGAAATTTGCGATTGGTGCATTTCCGGAGCCTTTAATGTCTGCAAGTGGAATTGCAATTTTCGTTGTTTTAGCCACTTTTTCGCTGAAGTTCTGCTGGCTTAAGCTAAAGCTAGCAGAACAGTAATTTTTACGAAAATTCACAGAGCCTTAAATTTCTCATTAGGGCATTTAATTAGCCTTTAATGAGCCTTTAAAGTTCCATGTGTTGATTTTTGATTCTGCTGAATTTGCTCTTCCAGCTTAAGAGACATGCAGATTTGAGTAAATTGGATAATTTATTTGAAAATATATAGCTTGCACCCTCGCTTGCACCTAATTATACAATTTTTGGCTCTTAGTCAGGTTCATAGATTTTATAATGAGAAAAGTGTTCTATAGTTTTTCCAAGAGTAGCCTTTTTGTAAAATATAAGGTTCTTGACCCTATAACACTAAAGGGGACATCTATTAACTAAGAAAATAGGACCAGAAGGAAGCAAGCAGATATTAAATGTGCAAAAAATAATGTAAATAAATATACTCCTAAAAAACTTAGAAAGGTAGTGCTGAACCTAGGATTAAATGTATCTAAGTACCTGATCTGGATTAATACCTAATTAAATTACTTTGTGGATATTGGGCTACGGTCGACATTACAGACAGTAATTCTGTAATTTTTTCTGTAAAGATAATATTTTATCAGTTGTTTGCCCTTTATAGGTGTGCACTAACCTATTTGAAGCACCAATAATTATTAAAATACAGTTGTCAACTAGGAAATTAACAAAGAAAAGGTTTTTCACGTTTTTGGTGAATTAATGCTTCCAAGGATCTTCTCTTTGAGATTTGGCGAGCGGAGCGAGCAATCGAAGACTCAAAATAATTTAAACAAAAATGAACTTCTTAAAAAGAGGTTTTTCACGTTTTTGAGGATCTTCTCTTTGAGATTTGACGAGCAGAGCTAGCAATCGAAGACTCAAAATTGATATAAATTTTGAGTTATTATCGGGTATTATATTTAAAAAATGTTTTTCACGTTGTTGGATTCACGTTTCCGAGGATCTTCTCTTTGAGATTCGGCGAGCAAATCGAGCATTCGGAGACTCTAAAATAATTTAAATTTTATAAGGTGTTATATAAAAAAGATGTTCCATTGCAATGTGGCAAAATTGCAAATATTTTCTTGAATTTGATCATTTTTTGATGTTTAGAGTCGCTAAAAATTCCGATTTTTGAGGAAACTGAATAATTTTTTTCTGCTTGAATAATGCGTTTACCGCAATTTTTATTCTCGAATCTACTACTTATTTGAAATGTAATCTTTCTGATAAAAAAAAAATAATTTCAAACAAAAATCCACTGTCCGTAAAGTCGTCCGGAGCTGGATATTAAATAGCTATGAAATTCTTCACCTGAATTCTTGTGTAGCCTGGAAACTCTCATCCTCGGTTATTGAAAAGATACACAAAAAACCTTCTCCACTCCTGAAATAATTATCCCTGATAGCAGCATAATCCTCCTGACCGGCTGTATCCAGGATATCAATTTGAACTTCTTCGCCATCGAGCAGGATTTTCTTCCTATAGGAATCCGCTTTGGTGGGTTCATAGTCTTCAACAAACTCATCGTACATAAATTGTAAGGTAAGGGCTGATTTACCAACACCACCGCTTCCTACCATTATAACCTTATGAAGGGCAGGTTGTACCGTGGTTTTTTTGGCCATGTTTCAGTTCTGTAATAAATAAAAATAGAAAAAGGCGTGTATCCACTTAACTTTTAACTATGTCAGTGACCTTTTTATATTCAAAACTACACCACTTGACTAACCTGAGTTTAATCACGCGATCCTGAATTTATTGATGGAGGGTGAAGAATGTTTTCTGTTCAATGAAATAACACAAATCTTTGTCGTCAAGCCCCGTAACATAAATAATTTGAAGTCCTTCAATAGGATGAATAAATTTAGATTTTTCTGTTTACAAATTTAGGATCACTCAATACACAAACCTAGCCAATTCATTTATAGAGAGAGAGATAAAGGAGAGATAACTAGAAAGCCTGAGTCACACCATAAAAATTCCAATTTTTGTTATTAGTTGTATTCCTTTCACACCTAGGAGGAGCTCCGGGGAGTTACGCGCTTATTCTTTTCGAAAAGTGTTTGTTGCATTCATTGGTTGCACCATGCATCTCTCCTTTCAAATCGGGGTCGACTAACACCGGACCCGGAGCGTGTAGCTCCAGTGTTTCAAACTCTTTGGAGAAGAATACGCATGGTTTCACCGTTCTGTTGGCAACGTTGTCTAGCTGTTGTTCCAGATAACTTCTGTTGGCTTGTTGTTGTGCGGGTGAGTTGATCAATAAAGCAACGGGTAGAAAACTTTTAGTAAATGTTCTGACACCGTAGTAAATTCAAAGTTTTCATAGGTCAATGCGACCTCCACTTGGTTATCCTTCATGGTAGGTATAATTGGAAACTGTTTATTCTATTCAACTTTAATCTAATCTCTACTTGAAATCTGGATACCATAAAACAGTCAACACTGCTAAAAACTATCTCCTTACATACATCGTTGGCTTGGTGGCTCCAACGGTCTAGCCATCGTAAAACGCCGATGGATAAAACAACACTTATGATGGAGCATCGACTTATCTTTTGTTGAATTTAACAACGCTCAGATGCTCAACGCTGCCAACGTTGCTTCAACAATTGAATTAAAACAACAAACAACATGCGTCATGCGTTAATTACTGTATTCCTATTAGACATCGAGTTACACCGAATGAGCTCCTCGGAGTCACTCAAAAACACACATTTCAGATTTTACCATTATTTTTTATTATTAATATTACCGCCTAAAGGGGCTTCTTGTACCCCCCGCAAATATGGTGCATCAGGGGAAAGGGGTATGCACTATGAGCGGCTCGAGTGCTTAACGCACTTTTAAAAGGAACGTTCAAGCTTTTGACATTGAGCAGCTCCGAGTAACTCAACGGGTAAAAGGAATACAGTAAATACAACTTCACCCTCTTTTGGATGTTGCCAAATTTTAGAAATGTGGTTCTGGTTCGAGCAGCTCTAAATTGAAATTAGATTGGTTTTCTACAGAATAACATATTGAAACCAATGGATTGATAAAATGGTATCCATTTAGAGCAATGAACCAGTTGATCGAGATCTAGAAGTTGTATTCTTATAACGATTCGGAACACCGAGTTCGCACTGAGCGGCAAGTCTATTGATTATTCAAATATGACAACATCGCGAAGAATGTCAATCTTGAACAGCGTCAAAAATTGTCAAGGACATACGATCAGCTGTTCCTCAATCTATACAAAAATTTATACCATATTTTTAGGGGATCGCCCCATTTGTGCTAATGTTCATTTGCTCTACCCACCCGAAGTCGCTGTCGGGCGGGATCGTCGGGCGAGCCGAAGTCCGACCGGAGTATATCCCTTATCGAAACGAATGCAGTTGTCGCAGGAGCGGCTTGTGGCGCAAATGAGTACAGCGTTACCGTTCCCTCTCTTGCGGGTATTTAAAATAGAAAATAGAATTCTATTTCTATATTATTCAAGTATTGTGAGTCGGTATGGTGTTTTTTTTACTTTAAAAATGGAAAATTTTAACTTTTAATATTTTATTGGTTAAATAATAATTTACTTTAAAAATTGAAAATATTAACTAATATCATATGGTTCACAATTACATGGTTTTGTTTTTTGATTGAAATCCAAAAAACTTTTACCTTTTTTTTGCTAGCTATAGGTGGCTGTGGTTAGGTCTATTTTACTTGAGATAATAGACTTTCCTTAAATATCAGAGTTCTTTTCATAGATATATTCATCTTCATGTAGGTTCTAGCAATATAATAATAAAGCTCTCCTTGGTGGGTATTTCTTTTTCACCTTTTATTATTAAATAAGAACATGAAAAATATTTAATTTCAAAATGTCTATTTTCAATATCAATTGGCATTTTATATACATTTGTTACAACATGGATTCAACAATAATAATGATAAATTACAATAATAAGTACCTACTTTTTAACAATAAATAATAAGTAGGAGGTGAAGTATATGTTTTACTTGGTGAGTCATTAAGTATACTCCTAATTGTTTTAACTATATCAAACTTTATTGAGTGTTTCACTATTTCGGAACCATGCTTAGTTGTTAAATGCCTTCTCTACTCCTGGTTTGTTTTATATGACATTTGGAAATCCTCCATACATTTGAAGAAAGCATCGTCAAAGGCATATTCGGGAACTGTAAAAGAAGGGATTACTCTTTCTCCAGAGAAGCTGAGAGAAGCAATTGTTTCTCAAAACTTTACCTATTAAATAAACGTTAACTAATATAAAATACTATTGTGACTTCTTCCAAGTAATATCCTCACAATTTTTGCAATTATTACTGTTTTCCAAGTGTTTGTTGAGGTTGTATTTTGTAGAAAAAAACCTTAGCACAAAATTCACAGGTAGCACTATTACTTGGTCCATTTTCCATTATTTCCTAATTCCAGGCGCGGCTCCTCTATACGGTCATTCGGTCAATGACCCACCAAAAAATCAAACAATAAATTTTCAATTAAACATCTTGGATATTTAGTTTTAAATTAACCAACATCACGCTCAACAAAATGCAGAAATCGAATTATTTTGCGCCCTGAACTCGAAAAACGGCGCTGTTTCTCTAAATTTGACCCACCTCACGAGCCGCGCCTGCCTAATTCCCAATTACAATAAATTTATTGAAATAACTATTATATAGCTAATCAATTCTAGAACACCACACCACGAACTATCGATAGTATTTATAGGATAATATTATTACTTAATTAATAATATTATTGAGATAAAAAGCTTACAGAACGCAGAAACAGAAAACAGTAATATCGTTAAACTTTGAAATACGCAAAAATATTCGCGCCATATATTTTCAAATTCAAAAACAACAAACAAAAAACATGACCTAATTTTCTCGGCTGTCATAGCCATTAACCCTTTTCACGTGGCTCCGGTTTAACAAACCGCAACATACCGCTCAAATTCGGGTGGTAGGTATCCATCACGTCACTTTGTAACCGGGTTAGAAAACGGTATGTCATTTCTCTAACCGTTTTGTAACCCGGTTAGCTAAACCGGAGTCACGTGAAAAGAACTATTGGTCATAGCAAAGGGAAGTTCGCCACGGCAAGGCTGTGACAGAGAGTAGGTTGTCTAATAACAAGGTTACAAGCAACACGTCATCAGGTAGGCGAAAAATTTGTAAAATACGTTGTTATGGATGTTCCGTTTCAGCTGCCGGATTCTATTTACGAGTCGAGTCGAAATTCGTATCGAATTTTCAAAATAGCGATTCTGTTTTTAGATTTTTCAACGTCCGGAGCTGTCGTATTCGATATCGAGACAATTCCAGTTGACTCGTAAAATAGAATCCGGGGGCTGATTTGTTTTGTGATCATTCATAGGTGGGTTCGGCTCGCTCACTCCGTGCACTCCGAGTAACTCCATTCGCACTCCAGCCGTTCGGGTTAAGGTTCGGGTATTGCTTTTTACCGTATTAGGGGTGACTCCATTGGCTCTGTTCACTCCACTCCAACTCCGCGCTGAATAGCCGAACCCAGCTCATGTTATTATGTAGCTATTTCAAACTATTTTTAATGTAAACACTAACATACTGCATAGTTTAGTTTTGCAATTCTAGGAGTGTTTAGTGTGCGCATATTTTTATGGGTGATGTATGTACACCTGCTAAATTGGTTTAAAGTTACGTGGCAATCTTGTCTACTATCCTTGAAGAGACAGACTATTTTGCTTTTAAGGCCGAGTTCGGCTTTGCACTCCACGGAGCGAAACGGTATGAACAGGGATATCGTGACGGTGACGTCATACGCAGAGTGCGCCCTGAAGTCTGTGTTTTTTTTAAAGATAAAAGTCAAAATGCCAATAGTTGTATTCCTTTCACATCTAGGAGGAGCTCCGGAACAGCTCCGGGGCTTCACGCGCTTATTCCTTTCGAAAAGTGTTTGTTGCACCACGCATATGTTCCCTGCAAATCGGGGGCGACTAAGCACCGAAGCGAGTAGCTCGAGTGTTTCAAGCTCTTGAAAGGAATACAACTATTATGTTGGCAATACAATGAAAAATTGTCAATGTTTTCAAATTTTTTATATGTAGAAAAGGCTTCAACATAGTTACTAAATTTTTGACTTGGGGAATTATCTTCAAAAAAGACAGACTTTAAGCCAAACACAGATCGAAACAAATCCTCAAACCCTTGCGCAGTCACTAAACTCAAAAAAAATTGTTTCGTTTTGATTTTATTTTACTAGTAAACCGTAGTAAACGAGTAGGTGAATTAGTAATGGACCTGAAATAAAAGTAGAAATCTAGGAAAAAAACCGCGATAACTAATATCTCTGGTGCTCCTCCATCCGTCCATCCATCCATCCATCCATCCATCCATCCATCCATCCATCCATCCATCCAAAAGAGAGCAAGCTCAGGGTCAGAGTACGTGCTTGATTGTAACCAAAACGCAAAAGAGAACACTCTGAGAGCTAAAACAAACAGGATCTTATCGTTTCGAGCGCGCTTGAACTGCTCGAAGTTTACCGAGTGTAAAGCCAGGGGCCTTATTCTGTAAAGAACAAACCGTTCGATTCGGTAGAATTTCTTCGATTGTGACGTCATTTTCGGTTTGCTAGCGCGGAAGCTATTCCGAAAATGCCGAACATGACGTCACAATCGAAGAAATTCTACCGAATCGAACGGTTCGTTCTTTACAGAATAAGGCCCCAGTGCATGTGCAGAAGCTAGCTTCTGGATAGGAAATATAGGAATTGGCAAATTAGCTATCCAAGTGCTCCTAAATAGTCGAAAAAAAAACAGTCAGTCAGATTTTTTTTTCAACCAGGAATAGGAATAGGTACTAGGGGACTGCTGGTTTTACGTGTACTTAGGTGGGGAACTTGCAGCGAATCTGATGACAGTGGCTAGAATGTTGAATTGGATTTGGATGCTATTCGAGCAAGAACACTTATTGCTTATTGAGCTGAAAGTGTGTGCCATTTTAGCCGCAGGCCTCAACTCTTGACATAAAAATGTATAAGCCGAGTTTAAAACAGTATAGGTTAAAAAAACGAATTCCTAAACGTTATATACTTGTTAAAATCACCTTTTCTACATTTAAAATCCATGAAAAAACAAGCACAACCTGAATCGCAAGCATCCCATCGAGGCCTGCGGGTGACGTCACCACTATAAGAGGCTCCTAATAGTACCGACGTCACTCGCAGGCCTTGCCGACTCGAGAATTGGCGAACGTACGCCTTATGAGGATAAGCAATCTTATTAGGATTCTTGCTATTCAAGTGTTTCCAAATGGTCAAAAAAATCAGTTAATCATTAAACTAAATAGAGATTTTTTCTCATTATTAGGAAATGGAAAATGGAAATTGTTGGCTTCACGTTTACCTATACTTGATGGTCAGAAACTAAAATGTTTCTGGATAGGACTTAGGTGCTCCTAAATAGTCGAAGAAAAACTTGAATTAGTTATTTATTATTTAAATTACAGATTTTTTTTTGCATTATTAGGGAACTGAACTACTGGCCTTACGTTTACTTGGGGGTGTAGAGATTTGCAGCGAATCTGATAACAGTGGCTATAATCGTTAATGTTGTATTGAAATTAGGTGTTATCTAAGTGCTCCTGAATGGTCGAAGAAAAACTGCAACTTTTTAGGAGCACTTAAATAGCACCAAATTCCAATACAACAGCATTTTAGTCACAGTTATCAGATTCGCTGCAATGCAAGACATCCTCAAGTAAATTTAAAGCCAGCAATTCCTTAATAATGAAAAACAAGAATCTGTACCTACTTCAGTTAATAATTAACTGATTAAAGTTTTTCTTCAAATATAAGCACTTAAATAGCACTAATTCCTATCCATAAACATTTTACTTCTGATACAGCACCAACTAAACGTGAAGCCAATAATTTGCCAATAATGAAAAAAAAACTATAAATCATTTAATAATTAACCGATTCAAGTGTTTCGTTGACAATTTGGGAGCACTTAAATAGTACCTAATTTCTATCCAGGAACATTTCAGCCTCTAACACACCACCATAAGTAAACTTGAATCCAGGAATGTCATAATATTGAAAAAAAATCTGTAATTCAGTTAATAATTAAATGATTCAATTTTTTCTTTGACTATTTAGGAGCATTTTAAAAAGTATAGGTACCTATTATGTAAATTCTGATATCAAAGAAAAATTTAAAAAAATATTTTCACTACGGGGGACTGCTATAGGTATTTCATGTAAACCTAGCAATCCCTTCGTTTTTTTCTACAATGGGACTGCTAGGTTTATTGACCTAATATTCTGGAAAATCAATAAATAACCTCATACAATTTCAAATCTGGGGAGATACCTACTTTGGATAAGTATATGTATTATTAACTTTACATTTATAAATAATTTTACATGTCTGTATAGACTCTACGCTTTAATAATAAATATATATATTTCTAAAATCTTGGCTCTACTGTAGTTAATAAAAATAAAGTCCACAACCATTCATTAAATACAAAAACATTTAATTTATTTTTATTATTTATCAGCATCAGCTGATTACACCAGATGTTCCGCGCGCCCGCCGCGTGGCGCGTACACAAACCCTTCAACTACTCTTTGTACTCCTCCGCGATCATGTTAACTGATCCCGACCATAGCCGATCGCGTTCGTGAGTAGACCATTTGCGGATTAGCACAAATGCACAGTAGCACAAATGGAGCCATCTCATTTTTAGAACAAAAAGATATGTTTTAATAATTATTCTATGGTATAAAAATAATCAATAACTGGGTGCTGGCATGCACAGGTGTGTGAAATAGTGTGTTGTTTGTTTTAGGAAATGACACAATAAAGATCTGGTAATAATATCATAATATTTAAGGCAATTTTTTTTTTCTTTTGTAAGAATAAAATAATGCCCACTTTTTTGTTAAATGTTATTGTTGTTCTGTTACATCTTCATTGTAAATGTAGAGAATTATTGTTTTATAAGTATATAAGTTTGACCCTGCATATTAAATATATTTATCATAAATGCCAATCCATACTTATATTTCCTTGAAAAATATTTTACTTGTTTTGATCCATTTGAAATTTTCCTTGAATAGCTTTCAAAACCAACGGAATACATTTATTTTGAATTTATAATAAATGCAAGTGGTTTGTTAAAAATAGTTTTGCTGGTCAGCAGATTTTTAATTAAGCATACAACTGGGGAAGCATTCTGATCTATTATTTAGTTTCTAGGCTTAGCATGCAATTATTTGCTTTGATTTGATCCAGATTTTTGATCACCTCAAACAGTTATTTTCTCTTATTTGAGCTCTGTTGCCGGGTTTGATTCAAACTGGAGTCGGTTAACATTGGAATTTTCCTGATTTTTGATCACCTCAAATAGTTATTTTCTCTTATTTGAGCTCTGTGCAGGGTTTGATTCCAACTGGAATTTGTTAACATTCTCAAATTGGAAAGTGCCAGTAGCCAAATAAGTGAAATGGTCATGCCTGAAATTTTTATCTAAATAATTTTGTTATGCACACACCACATGATTGGTTGAAGTACTTATAGTTTTAAAGTTTTCCATTAATTTCCCATTTTGTTATTTTTCACTGGAAAAATTGGAAATGCAGTATGATGAGCTCCTAGCTTTCCTCTTTGTCTCCTGGAAGTTTCACAATTTTTCCATTAGTAGTTTTCCAGAAAAATATTAAAATGTATTGATGGTGCATTTTTGCTTAATTTAAATTTTGTAAATCAATTTTCATTCTGTTATTTTCGAAGTTATTTTTCACTAGAAAAATTTGAAATTTTAGTATGATGAGCTCCTAACTTTTCTCTTTTTCTTCAATTCAATTCTTTATTGTCTAACAGGAATACATACTCCCAATAATGAGACAATTAGTGCACTTAAGAGCGAACAAAAATATGAAAATTTAAAAGCTAAGATTATATCACACATAAGATCCAGAAAGCTAATAAGAAGCCTTAAACAAAAATAAAAACAACTATGAAACTAAAAACAAAAATAACTAATAACAAAAAATAAAAATAAAAATAAAAATAAAAATAAAAATAAAAATAAAAATAAAAATAAAAATAAAAATAAAAATAAAAATAAAAATAAAAATAAAAATAAAAATAAAAATAAAAATAAAAATAAAAATATAGATAGAAATAAGTATAAATAAAAATAAAAATAAAAACAAAAATAAAAATAAAAATAATAAGAAAAACTAGCATTGTTTACTCAGTTAAAATAGGAAATAAAAATAGAGATAGAAAGTCACCCTCCCATACTTCCGCCAGGACAATCATCACAGCAAATACATTATCACAGATTGCGAACCACTGGCAGGATATTTTTTTTAAAGGAGTTTACTGAACCTACAAATAAGTCTACATCGATACTGTTCTGCAGGTGATTGAAGTATGAGCAGGCTCGATAGATTGGCTCATTTCTGGCAAGATATGTGGGGCGATTTTCCAAATAGAATTTACGGTGGGAACGTGTGTTGACTACTGGTAAAGAAAAATTAAGGCTGTTTAGAAGATCTGGAGAGTCCACCAGGTTGTTACATAATTTAAAAAGAAAGAGTTGACTTGCTAAAATTGTACTCTGTTGAAGTGAGAGGAAGTTGAACTTGCTGAGTAGCAACTGGTGGTCAAATCCTCTTGGAGGGTAAATTCCATCCTTTTTGAAACTTAGATATTTTAGGAATCGCCGTTGAACATATTCAAGCCTGTCCACATGTACTTGATGGTAAGGAAACCACACCAGAGAAGCATACTGCAATTTAGACTTGACCAAAGAGTTGTACAACGTGATGAGACTGTCGATGTTCCTAAACTCTCCTGTTGATCTAATAATAAACCCCAGGGTTTTCAATGATGAATTCACAATTTGATCAATATGATCATTGAATGTGAGCTTTTTGTCGATCACCACCCCCAGATCCCGGATTGAGTCAACTTTCAAAAGAGAACTAGATTGGAGTTGGTAAATAAAATTCAACTCATGATTGAGATTTGAGATGGTCATTGATTTACACTTATTGATGTTTAGATATAATTTGTTATTTTGACACCAACCTGAAAGTGCGTCAATATCTTTCTGCAGCTCGTTACAATCCTCCAAGTTGTTAATTATTCTAAATAGTTTGAGGTCGTCTGCGAATAATAAACTGTGTGATGAGACGTTCTGGGCAATATCATTGACAAATATGGCAAATATCAGAGGCGCGAGATTACTTCCTTGAGGGGCTCCGCTGGTGGCATTATAATCATAGGATTGGAACCCATTGTATTCGACAAATTGTGACCTACCACTGAGATAGGAGATAAATAGATTAATAAGGTTGTTGTGATATATAGATTAATAAGGTTGTTCTAAAAGTTTCACAATTTTCCTTTTAGTAGTTTTCCAGAAAAATATTAGATTGTATGATGGTGCATGGTGCATTTCTGTTTATTTTAAATTTTTTAAGTTAATATTCATGAATATTTCATTTTGTTATTTTTTACTGGAAAAATTTGAAATTTTAGTATGATGAGCTGATAACTTTCCTCGTTTTCTCTTGAAAGTCTCACAATGTTCCCTTCAGTAGTTTTTCAGAAAAAATACCAAAATGTATGATGATGCATTCGAGAATAAAAACTATATTTTCATTCTAGCCTCAATTCTAGCATGGCAAACCCAGCAGAATCAAAAATGTTTAATGAAGAATTTGTTGCTAATTAATTTGTTTTTGCTTTTACCTCGTCATTTACTAATTTTTAGAAAATGTAGAACTTGATGTCAAGAAAATCCCTAAAATATTTTAAACCCCAGTATGTAATTATTTATTTTTATATGAAACCAGAACTCCTTTTTGGTCTACCCGGGGGGGTCAACCACTATGCTTACAAATGTACAATGATTTCCATATTTGGCAATCACTGATCAATGAATCTCATGCATCCCAAGAATTGCGACTGATTGCCATTGATTTTCAGATATTTTTGTATGATTACCAAGTGATTTACATTTTTTCTGGGGATTTCTATATCATTCCCAATTGATTACTGGATTTCCTTGATGATTTTCTACAATCATCCGATTTCCAGCTGATTTTATTATGAAAACGATGTCTAAATGTTAAGCTTCGCATTGATATGACCAAAATAAACAGTCTTTTTTCTTATAAAAACACGTTTCCACTGAAAAATTGTTGTAGGTATTTGCAACTCTTCCAAAAGTTAGCAACTTTTATTTCCATGGTTGTCCACACCCATACCGATTTTCTTGTAGGTATAAATAGTTGTTAAGCCCTAGATACCATTGCTTGTCTACACTGCATAATATGGATCTAAAATAATGGATAATGGATGTTCATCTGAATCAGACACATCTTCAGTTAGGGACTAGGGTTCCACTCGAAATCTTATTTCTGAATCAGATTTGCTATCGTCTCGCTTCTGCCTAGTATTTATTCTACGTTCCCTTTTCAAATTCTAATTGCCTTGGACTCCCAACTTTTTCTTTTGTGTCTTCCTTAGGAACATTAGAAACGTCCCTGCTTCTGTGAAAAGAACCAAATTAAAGATGAGCCCTGAATTATGTCTAAATTGTAGCAAATCGCAATTGCTAAATCCTAATGTGTGAAGAAATTCTGTGTCTTCTTTTGGCAAGTCGGATTCGAGAGATGTTTCAAGATTCATATTTTCATTTCTATGATCTACAACATTGTCATACTTTAGGTCTGTTATAACAGAAATCGCCAACCAGTCAGAGCGAATTTGAAAATAGTCAGAAAACAGGTGGCTAGCGATTTGCACCAATCAAAAACGCTCCGACTGGTTTGTGATTTCTGTGAGAACAGACCTAATCTTCATCTCGTTCTTCTTCTTTTTCAAGTTGTAAACTCTTCATAGTCTCGGGTTCAGTTATTTGCTCAGTTATTGGGAAACTCGTTGGGATATCAAGTTCATTTCAAATGGTCTAGCACTCAATGTTGCCTAAAACTTAGTCTTAAAGGCAAATACACAACTGACCAGTACACTGTATCGTTTAAAAGGTATGATATGCGAGTTCTGGGCTAGAATGAGATGATATTCCCAGCGGTTATTACATGATTCTCAGTGATTGCCAAAGGATTCCTATGTGATTTCCATGGAGTCTTAGGAGATTCTTAGCGATTCCTAGGTTATTCCCAGGGACTCCCAAGTGATTTCCATGTATTCCTGATTGATTACTATGTAATTCCCAAAAAAATGTACAATGATTCCCACAAGTGGTTTACCCCTCGGGTCTACTTATTCATTTTTTTAATTTAGTCCTGTTGGGCTAGGAGTTTTTTTGTGCCCAGTAAATATTTATGTGCTTCTAGCAAAATGAGCTTTAAATTGTCACTTTAGTCACCAGCTGTAGGACTTTCACTGTATTGGCTATGCAAAATGGAAAGCTAGTTTGAGCGTGATAAAAAATGAAACATAGTAGAACTAGGTATGTATATATTTTCACTAACACCTTTTTGAAAATACCTGGAGTATTTTGAATTTTTCCTATGATTTATAATGAATACCTTAGTTAAATAAACCAAGACTAATATTTTTCAACCCTTGGCAATATTATTGTAGCAAACATGACAAACCCAAACAGAAACCATGCAGTATAAGTCAAATTTTGTTAACGCTCATTTCAAAGTTGTTTTTAACAAGTTGACTCACTTATTGGTATTTCTCTTTTTGGATACATTGAAACTTTTGTAATATCAACACTAATTGTAGAAGAATCTAGTAAGTCTTCATTAACGTTTAGTTCCTCTCTTTCTGTCACTTGGAGGTTTTTGAAATCATTTGGAGATGTATGTCATCACTATCTTGTACCCTCAAAGCCTGAAAGTCAATGTTATCTGCCTGCCCTGAAAAGCTCGCTTCTTCTCTGCTGACATTATCTTTGACACTGGACTTGATCTCCAAATATATAACAGGAACTTGATGAAACATTTTTCAGAGAATTTTCAACTGCATTTTCTTTTCTAAGCGGCTATCCCTGAAGAACTAACAAAAAATATTTGCTTTTATCTTGGGAGTTTCTTTCCTTTGTCATACATAATGGTCATATTCATCTGGTACATCAACAAATACCTGGCATTTAAAAACCCAAAAATGGCTTAGATCTATCTTTTTCCCAGGAAATATTATTTCTTCTGTTGAGAACCCATTGTGGTTCTTGGTAGATGACTGATTTATTAAATATATTGTTTTGGCAGCTTGTGCCCACATTCTTATGTTAGACTTCGAATCAATTACAATTGGACAAAACTTCTGAAAAATTGTTGAGACAACCTCTTGTTCTGGACAACCGTAAATTGATGATTTAATCCATTATCTGTCTGTGAAACTTTTATTTTTCTTTCAATTTGTGGAAACAATTCCTTGAATTTAACTTTATACTTATTTGAATTTAAGACAGTACTGAACATGAATATTGCACTCCAGGATTCTTCCCCTCCATTAGCCCAAATAGATCAGAATGCAGTTATTTGTTGTTGAAGTGCGCTTGCAAGATTTTACCAACATAAAGCATCAAAAAATCAATATTTTTAATGAATTTTGTAATAAATTAGGTACTCACTAAAAACCATTCGTTCTTTCATAAAAAGTCAAATAAAGTACATAAGTACTAACCTTTAAAATGACACTCACTACAATAATTTCTTCATCACGTTTCTGTTTCTGATTTCTGCGAGGATTTCTTCAAATGTGTTATCAATTTGCTATAGCTAATACCTGGAAGATAAACTATTTTTAGAATAGAATAAATAATAAGTAATCTTATTTATCATATACATGTAATTAATGGATTATATTTTTTAAGGCCTTTAATTAGCTTAAACCCCAAAAATATTTTACCAAAGGACGTCAATTAATAGAAAAATCAATAACTAATGCGAGCGATGACCAAACCACCGACTGACAATTTGCCTACCGTCAAATTGGTTGTGGTAGGCGATGGGGGTGTGGGAAAGAGTGCCATAACAATACAATTTTTTCAAAAATTGTTTGTGACGGATTATGATCCCACAATTGAAGACAGTTATATGCAGCATGTCGAGGTCGATGGACAATGGTGCATGTTGGATGGTAAGAATTGTTATTCTTAGCATTAGTTTTATTGTAATTATGCAGTCACAACAACAACAATTTAGTATTTGACTATAATTTTTTTTTTAGTTCTTGATACTGCCGGCCAAGAAGAATTCAGCGCAATGCGGGAACAATACATGAGGAAAGGAGATGGTTTCCTATTGGTCTATTCTGTAACTGACAAAAATAGCTACGAGAACATTATACATTTTCATACGCAAATTTTGAGAGTTAAAGACAGGTAAATAGTAATTGTGGACCTTTTACGCTCCTGTAATGGTTCTAAGATCAAGAAAAACGATTTCCTATCCTATTTCGCAATTGCATAACTATTGTATTGTATCTGCTTGACCTGAAGAATTTATAATATTGATAATAATAATAATAATAATAATAATACGTACTTCTTCATTTATTCATCAAAGAAGTCCAGTCCTTGTGAAGTACAGAGATACAAAATATTCGGAAATATTTATTTCTAATACCTAATATATTTTTCAGAGATACATATCCAATGCTTCTAGTAGCAAACAAAGTCGATTTGGTGCATTTACGTAAAGTAACTGAGGAACAGGGCCGAGAGCTAGCCCATAAACTAGGGATTCCTTACATAGAAACCAGTGCTAAAGATCCCCCATTGAATATTGATGCTACATTTCACGAGGTAAGAAATATAAACCATTGTTCAGCCATTCCTTTAAGTTCTTGTTTCTTCTAAACAGGTAGTTCGAATAATCCGAAATCAACCCCAAAACGATAACGACAAACGACGAAAGAAACAAGGATGCGCTAAATGTGTTATGATTTGAGACTTCCTTTAGTATTTTTATTGCTTTGAATATGCTGTTAGCCTAAAAATATGACAAGAAGCTTTACTATAATATAAGCGAATGTGTTCGATGTTGTTTTGTATAAGTGCCAGGATAAGGTAATTACTTAATTGCTTCTATTGTTGCCAGAAAATGACATCCGAGTTGATTTTAAGCTTTTAACTTGAAGGAAAAATTCACTCATATTTAGACTCTATATATTATGTGGCCTAACATCCAGTTCAATTATTAGAGTTTCTAAATTATTGATTTGTGAGATTCTCATATGGGAAATTTTGTTATTATCATATTGCGAAATACCAGTATTTTGTTCTAGGTAAAATTTTTTAGCTGCCTATTATTTGGCACTTTGAGGAACGGTAAAGCCTTTATTTTACTCTCATGCCTATTTTTTCATCATGTCAGTTAATCACTGTAGTAAGTAGGACAGCGTGGCAAGAAAATTTGGTTAAATCGGACAAAAGCAACATTTTTTTAAAAATAGGCCAAGGACTTTCTCCCCCTCATCTTTTCCAGTGACCTGAATAAGTGTGATGTTATGTAATTTTAATTATTTATTTTTAGCATTTTATATTATGTATTGTCATTTTCTGGTAACTGCATATATTCCTATTATTTTTTCGTGAACTATATGTATGTATAATTACCTACACTTTATTAGGTAGGTGAATAACGAACAAAGAACCCTATTGGCAGACAGAATTCGTAGAGGGTAAATGTTTTCAATGTTTGAGTACAGCAAACCTAAGAACCAGATATTTATACAGTGTTTGTGATAAAATGGCGTTTTGGAAGCTGAGAACAATAATTCCTAAGTGGGTGTAAGTGTACTTGCATCTTTTCCTCCCATTGTGTCAGTTTTTTATTAAAATTACTTTAAGCACCATTTTTTTTGCCTGATAAGTTAAGGAACTTTATTCCAATTATACATTTTTTACTTTCTTGCAATCTTAACAGTTTTTAAAATAATAATTTTCCTATTTATTTTTTCAAATACATATATATTTATTTTTATTTTTACTTATTTAAATCTGTCCTGTCCTGATCTCTGGCTCTTAGATTATGACTGTGATATATTAAAAAGATCATTTTTTGTAACTGAATTAGCTTTTTCTCAATATAATTTTTTAAATAAATAACAATTATCGTATACAACATAAAGGTGCTAATCAAATTTATATATTTTTATCTGTATTAATATCTTTATTATGGAAAAACGCCTATTTTTAGTTACAAGTAAGATTTTTTTAAATTATTTATTAGCCTAGGTCTAAGTACCGCAATAGGTACCGAAGTATTTAGTATTTATATAAATGTTATTCAAATTTGCAATTCTATGTAGAGTTGTATTGTTTTTGATAATTCTTTCCATTAATTAAGGCCTAATTTTTATTTGAAAGTGATGATTTGTTGATTTTGTTATAGTTAATTTTGCTATTTTTTATTTTGTCAAATTGATAAAAGCGCTCAAATACAATTTACTCGTTTTTAGTAATTAAATGTATGGATATATTTAACTTTGGTATTTTTTGTTTTTGGTTTGGAAAGGTATATTTTAATGCCAGTTTTATCAGACAACGAAATATAGCAGATTGTGGAATATATTAGAAATATACCAGGATTGACTAGAAAAAATTCTAGAGAATTTTTAATTTTTTTTTTTTTCAATTGGGCTCACTCATCATTATACAGGGGTGTCCGGAATAACTTGAATCACGTGAGGATTTTTGGAAACTATTGAAGATACAGTGTGGGTGGACCAAATGGAGAAACAGTTGAGCAATTAAGGGCCTAAATAATTTGTCATAAACTTCTTTGAACTCGGAATAGCAAGAGATATACAGTGCCTTTAATAAAATCCTTTATATGTTGTTTATTATAAAAGATACAATCGAGAAATTTCCAGGGTAGGTGTAGGACTGGATGCAGTCCGCATGAATGGTACAATACAAGGATTTCATACACCGTAGTTTTTTGATGATGAGGGGTTTTCATTCAGGCTTAATGGACGTCGTAAGTTGGAATTTCTCCCTGAAGTTTTGAAGCACGCATGGCTAGCATCTTCAGAGGTGCTTCCATGTCCGATTCTGGTAGCAGACTGACGCATTCCCGACCGTAAGTTGTATTTATGTGTGAGTGGCTGTGGTGGGGGATGGGCGGGGCTTCGCGGCACGTGGTTGATCTCAACTCTCTCTGTACTCAATGGGATCTTTCTTGCGTTTTTGAGGATCGGATTCCAGATTTGGTTAAGTTTTAGTGTTTCTTCTTTCCTGTTGAAGTTCTCCGTATGTTTGTGGATTTCTATAGCCTCACGTACAAGACGATTGTGGTATCCGGAAGTCGGTGCAAGAAACTTGACCTCACCAAAGAGTATTTCATGATTTCCTTCACTAAGCGCATGTTCCGCAACTGCTGATTTTTCCGCTTGTCCTAGTCTGTAGTTTCTTTTGTGTTCGTTCATCCTGGTTCCCATGGATCTTTTTGTCGTTCCTATGTATACCTCACCACATGTGCATGGTATACGATAGACTCCAGCGCTTGACAGTGGGTTTCTCTTAACCTTGGCTGATCTGAGTGATTGCTGTATTTTCCTTGTCGGCTTGAAGATTGTTTTTATGTTGTGTTTCTTCAAGACTTTCCCTATCCTGTCTGTCACCCGAGAAATGAAAGGCAGATATGCATTAGCCACCACTGGTTGTTCATCCACGTTTTGTCGTGTGGCAGTTTTGGGTCGCATGGCCCTGTCGATTTCAGATGCATTGTAACCATTTGATAGAAAGGCCGACTTGAGATGATCCAGCTCGAGATATTGTGGCTCGCAGATGTTCCGAGCACGTTCTGTTAATGTTGTTATAATTCCACGTTTTTGCCTTGGATGGTGGTTTGAGAGTGCATGCAGGTACCTGTCTGTGTGTGTAGGTTTTCGGTACACCGTGTGGCTTAGTTTTCCTCCAGATTTCTTTATGAGCACGTCTAAAAAGGCGATTTCCTGGGTTTTCTCCTTTTCCATGGTAAATTCTATGCTAGGATGTTGCTCGTTCAGGTGGCCTAGTAACTGGTTAAGCTTCTTTTCCCCATGACTCCAAACCACAAAAGTATCATCTACGTATCGAAGCCAAACCGTTGGTTTGTGGTCAAAAGATTCTATAGCTTTCCTCTCGAATTCTTCCATAAAGAAATTGGCTATGACCGGGCTGAGCGGACTTCCCATAGCTACACCATCCGTTTGCTCGTAGAAATCGCCGTTCCACAGGAAGTAACTACCAGTGAGACATGTCCGGAAAAGCTCAACTATGTCATTGGGGAAGGTACTTGATATCAACTCAAGAGATTCCGTCAATGGCACTTTTGTGAATAGGGACACGACATCAAAGCTGACCAGGATATCGTTAGGTTGAAGAATAATATCCCTAATTTTCCGGACAAAGTGAGTGGAGTCCTTGACGTAAGAGCTAGTTTTTCCTACATGCGGTTGAAGAAGCGATGCAAGATGTTTTGCTAGGTTGTACGTTGGTGCTCCCGGTGCACTTACTATAGGTCTTAGCGGGACTTCCGGTTTGTGAATTTTGGGTAGGTCGTAGAGTCGTGGTGGAACTGCTTCTGTTTTTATGATGACTTTCTTTACCGTGTCTGTTAGGGTAGATGACCTAATCAGTTTGTTGGTATTCCGGAGTGCGGCTTGTGTGGGATCCCTCTCTAGCTTTCGGTAGGTAGATGGATCAAGGAGTTCCTGAATTTTCCGGTTGTAGTCTTCAGTTCTTAACAAGACAGTTGCGTTGCCCTTATCCGCAGGTAGGATAATCATATCTTCCGCTGAATTCAGGTTCCTAACTGCCATTAGTTCCTTCTTAGAGAGGTTACTGGTTGGTAGTCGAGCCTTTCGTAGAATGTTGGCCGTCTCAATTCGAATTTCTTCCGCTTCCACACTCACATAAATACAACTTACGGTCGGGAATGCGTCAGTCTGCTACCAGAATCGGACATGGAAGCACCTCTGAAGATGCTAGCCACGCGTGCTGGCGAAACGTCAGGAAGAAATTCCAAATTACGACGGCCATTAAGCCCGAATGAATACCCCTCATCATTAAACCTGGGCCACGAAAGCCTCACAAACTTTAACGTATTTTTTTCTTTTTTGCCCTGTATGTATGTTGCTATTTTAAGTTCAAAGAAGTTGATGGCAGATTATTTGTAGGCACTTGATTACGCAACTTTTTCCCTATGTACTTTAGGTTATGCCGGACACCCTGTATACTCCTTTCTGCTGAAACAGGAGTACCTACTCATGAAGTTTTCAAGAATCAACATAACTACTAAATTCAATGCCAAGCCAGAAGTTGATGGTACCTACCCACATAACAGTGAAAAAACATTCATATTCTCAGAATATTCCCTCAAAGTGCTTTTTCGAATGTTCTTTTAGGAATGTTTAATGAATATTCTAAGATTGTTTCGATTGAAATATTCATTTTTGAACGTTCTATTTATGTACTAGGAATGTTGCTTCTATGCACCTACCTGAAAGATTGTGCTAAGAACCTACTTCATATAACAATCTTTGAATATTTTCATACGAACATTATTATAATGTACCCTAAAAAATGTTCTTTCGGCTAATATCTCTATCAAGTATTAAGAATATACCTACCAAGTTGTGCCGAGAAGTTTATGTAGGAAGGTAACCATGATAAGAATATTTTCATATTGTTCACCTAATTATCTGAAGTACCTACTCAAAAATCATAATTTAACAATTAAACAATAATGCTCTATCTAGAATCTACTAAGAATATTATAGGTATATTCTTTTCCTTTTGCTTTGTAGGACTTCCAAGAGAGGGAGCGACGTGCTATTAAAGATCTACATTTTACCTCGCGTTTGAATCACCTTGGAACCTGTTTCTCTCAGTTGGCGTGCTTCGACGAGAGCATAGCAAGCTCGAAACAGGAGCTTTGGTTAAATACTTGTGTTTTCCAGAGAAGTTTTCTAACAACTCTTTCACTGCCTTTAATATAAAAGGGCTGAAAGGAGCATTATTTGGAAGCGAAAATTAACATTCCAAGTATATCCTTAGAATCAACCAAAAATGTTATGTATAGGATGCATATTGAGAATGATATATGTAGATATATTCTAAGAATATTTCAATCATATTGGTATAATATGCTTTCGAGAACATAACTATAATGTCATAGAAACATTCTTTGAATGTGAGAATACCTATACATATCGAGCATATTTTTAGAACCAAACAAGAATATTCTTTTCAGAGAATCTCATCGGTATATTCTAGGAATATCCTAATGGATTTCTCAGGAAGTTCTTGGGTATTGCAAACAGTATTTCTACAATCTTTTCTCAGAACATTCTCAGGACATTCGCAATGGTTTTGGCGAACATTCTAGGAACATTCCTCCTAAAAAAAGAACATTCCTAATACATTCTAAGGATGCAATTTTGTTATGTGGGTACTTATTTCTAGAGAGTTAATTTTAGTGGCATGCAGACGACAGAAATTAACGCTCTATAAATTATATAACAGCTAGACGATAAAAACTTCAAAAAAATTGTAAAAATATTTGGCTACTTATTTCTTCCTCTTCTCAAAACATTTATTTTGGAAAAATAACAGAGAAAGAAACTGCAATATATTCATTGAATTCGTGGATCTCATTTAGTTCTTCATTTAGATCATTTCCAAACAAATACTCTTACAGAATTTGAATTGATTAAGCTGATATTTGGTGAAAATTAAAATCCATGTTGGGAAGAAAAAAAACTGTATTTGGAGTAAATTTTATCAAAACAGAAACATGTTTCGCTACACTGTAGCGTCATCAGTCTGATATATTTTTACTGTTTCAATAAAATTTAGTGAGAATATAGTAAAAATTAGTTTTACCTATTCCCTATCATGAATCTTCTTCCATTATGGGAGTATCATATTCTTACAACATATAGGTACCTACCTATAAAATAACGAAAATATAAAAGTCTGCTTTATTTATTCAATTCTTTCATAAATTTCTGTATATAGGTATAAAGTCTAGGTAATTAATATAATTATAATAATGCGCTATTGCCAGAAAAATTATTAACTAAATTGGTGCACAAAGCCATGAAATTGAAAATCAAGACAATACACTGCATATTTGTTAATAATGTAAGTATTGAAATAAATGTAACAGTCAAGATACAGGACCTGACCCATATGCAAAGACATTCCAGATGTTGTGGTCGTAAAATGGTAATAGCCTTCAACATTTTTAGTCCGTTTTTTACTTCTTTTCGGGGTGAGTTGAGTTCAATCTTTTAACGATTTCTTAAAATATAAATGAAAATAATGTGGTTTATTTTAAATGATAAAAATTTATTTTTATTTTAAACTTTTTGTACGAGATTGAAATAGGCATTTCCATTTTTGGCAATAATTGAGATTGCTGGTTCACAATAAGTGTAAAATAAAAACAATTTGACCAAAATTTTTATAAACAATTTATTACACTGAGCCCAAACAGCACAGAGGGATCTTAAAGATGCCCACAAAAGACATTAAGACGTCCGCTTAGGTCTTCAAGACGTCCTTAAGACAAGGAAGTCACAAAATCCAACGTCTTTCTCAGGCGTCTGCCTAAAAACGTCTTCAGGACTAATATTTCATTTTATAACTTTCAATTTTTGTTTATTCTAAACGCTAGGCTCTTAAATTCTTGATTTCTTTTTAACGAAATTACACAAAATTCAGAGCCTGAAATTCCAAAATACGGGAATACATATGAGAATTCAAGAACTTGGAATGAAAAAATTCAAGAACCAAAAGAAAATTAACAATTAAGAATAAAGAATTGAGGAAAAATCAAGAGCCTGGCATAGGAAAAATTATAAAAATTCAAGAATTTGGATCCAAAGAGTAAAATTTTCTTGTTAATATTTCCTTATTAATAATATTTCCTTATTAAAACTCATTTTATAACTTTCAATTTTTGTCTATTCCAGACACTAGCGGCTCTTCTGATGGTTTTAAATTGTTCTGAAGCCTTTCAAAATGCTGCTGGAAAGTGTTCTGGGACGTTCTAAAGGGCTTATCGAAGTTCTAAAGTGATTCTAACTTGAATTGAAGAGTTCTGGAACATTCTAGAAGTTTTTCAGTAATTTCTGAATTGTTCTGACAGATTTTTAAGTATTTTGGTCTTGAGAAGATTTATCAGGTTTTGGTCTTGGTCTTGCTACCAAGACCAAGACAAGACCAAGACTAGTCTTGTGGTCTCGCGAAGCCCTATTGTTAAGGTATTGATTAAGTATAAAAATTGTAACTTGAAAATACAATACATATTTATATGGTTTTATTTTTCACTATAAGGATACACATAAATACATACCTATGTACCTTTATGTATAAGGTTTTC